GTGTACGATGATGGTAATATATGGAATCACTGTTTCAGATACCACCTTGGACCACCTTGGAAAGAGTATATATTAAATTCACATTCCGTTTGTAACAACCATAAATTTCTCGGAGACCCCATGAAGCATATATGTTCATGATCAGAATAGAGATCCAAGTCGATTAAACGTCCGTCTGTCTGTTTGCCCGGCTAGATCGCGTTCGGAGTGGGTAATATCGGCACACTCATTCTATTACCTTCCTCACCAATGGTTACAATTTTGAATAATCGTATTTCTTATAAAAGGTCAAGTAAGAGTTTTATTGTCTTTAAATTTCGTAGATTCCAAGTATATAGATCTAGTGTGGAGATATATCTGTTCTCTTCTTCTCATACTTCCCCACGAAGGGTCAAAATTTGTAATAATTTTCAATCTGATAACATCTGAACTGAGTCCACGCTTCTCTTCAAATATATCACATTTTTTACCAACACGAGATCTAATGTGCTGAAACTTATCAGCCAAAACTTTCTGGTACCTTCCAAACAAGGGAACAAATTTGAGAATAACTGCAGGGTCTGCAATATAAAATTTGTATTTGAAAGCACAATATTTCCTATTATTAATGCAAAATATGCAGGCCCAATTTTTAATCACTTTATCGATTGTTTCCAACTATATTTCACCAATGGCTTTACGAATATTGTCCTTTAAAGATTTAATTGTCTCTGGCTTATCGGCGTAACACTAATCTTGCACAGCACTCCACATAGAATAGTTCCAAATAGAATAGACCCAAACAGAGAGTCATTTTGGGTGCATCGACTTTTCAGTGTATGAGTGCGGGGTTTTTGTGCCCCAAATACGACAATTATTGTTGTTTACAACAGAGCTGACGGTGCTTCTCTTCTTTCAAAATTCGTACGCAATTTACGCACGCATTCTTCAAAATTACTATTATTTTTAAAGTATAGTCGCAATATTTTCCAGCATTGTTCAAGCGTATACACAACCATGTTCGTTCAGAGGAAGGATGCCACTAATTATCTTTTAAATCAAATTATTACCATTCACGAAACAGAACAAGTCGACTTCTTCGGTACCTCTCCCATAAACGGCCAACATTTTGAATAATCATAACGCATGTCAAAATGTATTTTAATAAACGGGCAGAAGTTGAAGGAAGAAGTTAAATGTATAAATAGTCGTAATTGTCCTTGTTTTCTGAAATATATAGCAATGGTTTTATTAAATAAATTCATAGTGCGGCATTGTGAGAATGTTTTATTTTATTTATTTATTTTTATAAAAGTATGTGTGATATTATATGAGAATGTGTGAAGTAGCAAAAATATAATAATAAAAATAAATACATTTCAATCAGAATTTGGATATAATTTGCAACATTTCCATTCACTATACTAGGTCAAAAATACATAAAGGATCTGTGGAGCAAGATTTAAAATGGACGGAGGCCTTTTAAGATTTATTTTTCTAATTCAAATTTCTAATGATTAATTAATCTATGTTCTGCCTTTTTTATTTTTATTGTCTGGTTTAAACGTCTAATCCTGAAATGCATTCTGCATTTAAAAAAAGATTTGTTTAATTTGTTCTGGTATGTTTATGTTGTTGCTCATTCATAGAAGTCGTTGTTGTAAATTGTAGCTATGATCTATTGCGGATCCATTAAGAGTCGTGAAAAATTGTTCAAGACATCGTATGTCATTCAGATTTCGTGGGTAGGTTTCTTGAGTAACCCTCTTAAAATTTGATAAACTCACTTATTATTATTTTCATTTTCCTCACATTCTGACAAATCCATTTTGCGAATGATATAGCCAGCCATGTATTCCAGGGCATCATCTTGAAGTTCTGTATGGATTCGTCAAATTCGTCTTCGATTTCAAATCATTCTTCTTGTGACTCCCCTATATTCATAGGTACATTTATAATCTCATTGACATTTGTAATCGATTCAGAAGACGACTGAATCCATCCTGTGGAATCGTTTGTAGTATTTCAGTGATCATTAAGTACTTCAGAATTGCGGGCCAAAATATAGTTGTGTTCCAGTACTTTTTTAGTAGTAAAACTAGCAGAAGAGAGAACAGTTCGAAATGTCATTCTCATTTAGGTTTGCTCAAAAAATAAGGGAACGGAAAATTAGCAGAAATGCGATAAAATGTCAAAATTCAAAATTCCAAAAGTAAAGAGCCTAAATCGGACTGGTGAAACCTTAGTGAAAAGAGCGCCAACATTTAAAAAATGAGTATTGAAGACGATAAGTTAAAATTAATAATTTATAATAATAATTAATAATCTGATTCCTCATTCAGCCAGTCCTCTTCACTGCTGGAATCATCCAAAAGTGAATACATCAGTTGCTCCATATTTTCTCTTTTTGTTTTTTGCACGACAAATATTAGTTTTTCCTTTAGTTTTCAAGTTGATCATTTTCTTTATTGAAATGTATCAATACATTTTTCAACCTTGTTAGCCCTGCCAATTAAATGTCAAATTTACAATATGCACATTTCTGCTCGGCCAAATTCATGTAGCTAAAACAAGCAGAAATGTGCACCACTCAGCGCCATTTTTTTCTCGAGAGAGATGCAAGTTTTGCTAGTTTTTGAGTATGGGAACGCGTTGTAGCAGAATTATTGCTAATTAGTACTAATTTGCAGGTTCTGGAACACAACTTATGTGATATAAAGATTGTAGAGGAATATAGAAAGGGTAAATATTAGAACTTGCCTAATATGCACTTTCGAATCCTGTATTTGAACTGTTTTGGTGAAGGTTAATCAGCCAAACCGACCTTGCAACGGCTTGCTTTTTCTAAAATATCTTGGTTTTAGCGATATTGCATATTATAATGTTCTTTTAAATAGGCATAAAGCATCTCCAGAGCATAGCCGACATTACGATCCCTTTTTGAAAAAATTCATGGTAATTTATTAGGTATTAACAATGTCTAATGCCTTCATTCGTTTGGTACTCCATATTCGGTACAAATGGTTCCGAAAATCGCAAATATATTTTAATACAATATGAAAGGAATTATGCTGTACCTTGCCCGGCCAAATGGTTTTAAAATTCGAATTCCTGATATCGAACCAGTTACTAACCTGCTCTCTATAGGTTTGTAAATGATTAGCCCTTGTGAATGTCAACGTCTAATGGCTTTGGCCGTTGTATTTGAAAAAAGTTGGGCTACCAATTTCACCTTTTGGCGCACTAATAATATGAACGTACATTTGGGCTTGCTAAGTAAATATGATATACAGACAGACACAGTTATATGTTCATTATTTATTTTGTAAGCTATGGACAAATCTAAGAAACATCGTCATTTAATAAGTCTAATAAGTTGTAATATGGTCATCGTTTATTGTAAGCCCAGTGCCGATAAAATGGTTTCGAACAAGTTTAAGGAGGTGTGGAGCCATCGGCAAACACAAAAATCTTACGTTTTGTTTTCGATGGGTTGTGAAACAATGGCCGATCTGCAAAAAAAGATTTGTTTCCAAATATATCCACTAACTGTGTATACTGGTAAAGGGTATTATACATTTAGACTTTTCCTTTCCTAAGATTGCTGGTTAAATAATACTTTTTAAGGACTAAATTTGGTTTATAGATTTTGTTAATATCAATGAAAAAGGGGCAAAAAAATGGTGTTCAGTGTTTTTTAATCAGACATCTACTACAATTTTGGTTACGGATGGTTGCTAAAAACATACCTACAACGAAGGATGCTTTTCTGAGGAGGAATTGGTCATCAGCGATTTTTGTAAATCTGTCTTCCTCATAATCCAAAATAAACCTTTCATAAAAAAGCATTTTTAATTGGAGAGTTAACTAAGTTTTTTTGCCGTCAAGTAAATTAGAATATTGTGCGTGACATGATATATAATGCCTTTTAAAATAATAAGGATTCGACCGTGATAAAGTACGTTGGCAAACCAAACATGTCTCAGTGCCCTCAACCATTTTCTATAGATATATTAAAAAAGCGGATTTGAAACCTTTATCATTCGTTATCGAAATGAAACTGAAAATGTTTTTGTGGGAGCAAATCAAAACACACAAATAGTCAGTGGCTACTTTATAAGATCTTTTCTGAAATCAAAGTTAAATATTCAAAAGTGCCGATGTGAATATTCAATATTGAAAGTGAAAGTGCCAAAAGAGTTAAAGAAACGTTGAAACTAACTTTAAGGAGCTAAATCTAATCTAAGCAAAGTTATTACTCTGCCTTATTTGAAGTGCTTGCGGAGACATTATCTTCATTCCATGAACATTGATCATTTGCCGATATTCCAATGTCACTGCTAGAAAAGTATTATATTAACAATTTCGTCATTACATAATTTACTATTCCTTGCCCGCAAGAGTTTCAGCCTGTTCCACGATATCGAAAGATAATTTGTGCGAACGAAGGCTTGTCACTCACTTTCAGAATGTGTTCCACTAACATTCGTTTTGTATTTCGCATAGCCTTACGGGACGCATTTAAGCAAAAAAGCGCCAGAATAACTGACGCGAAAAAGCAATAAAAAATACAACCATACGTAAGCTGGCTCTGCCTGAACTGACAGTTCGTAAACAAACAAAAACAATGAACAATTGAAATTCCCAGTGATTGTGTTCGAAAAATAAAAAAATAATATTTCTGTAGCCCCATACTTTATGGATGATGTGGAGGAGCTTTAAAATGTACCACGGAGGCATTTAAGAGATGCTTCGAATTTGTTTGAAGTACCTAACAACCAGTAAGTATGATTATGCTTTTACATTTTTGAAATAATAAAAATGTATTTTTCTAGGTTTGTGGCCAATTTTCGTGTGTCGAAGGAAGTTTTTCGGGCTCTTTTAGATATACTGAAGATAGATGGGTTCCCGGTTGCAGAACAACCCATATACGCCTCGATTTTAAACTTGGCACATTCTTGCGATTTTTGGCGGCGGGAAGCTACCAGCATTTTGTGTGTACATATCCCATCTCTACACACAATTTTTTCCAATGGTCTTCAAGGGATTGCCTTCTGCTTCCAAAAATTGGCACTCCTCTGGCGAACTCAGGATTCTCCTCCATATATTCAATTAGTGCCCGTTGATGTGCAGTTGAGGATTTTTTCGTGTTGGAACTGACGAAATAAAAAAATATATATATGTTGTTGGCATAGTATAATTGTATTTATTATTTTTACTTACCTTTTTGTTTCCATTTTTAATCAAGCAATATTTATTTTGAAATAATTTCCTGAATTGTAGTCATACGACAGCAAACACACAAGTGACTGATTTTGACATTTGTGTTCGCATGCGTACGAAAGAAAAAAGATAGTGGAACGCAAAATTGCACAGAAATGCTTACCTTTTCGTTCGCTTTGATTTTCGTAAAATTTTTCGTTCTGATGGATTTTAGTGGAACGGAAATCAGCTGTTTGTCGTAAAAGTTATGCGAGCATGTTCTTTCAAGATCGTGGAACAGGCTGTTAAATTCATATTTACAGCTTTTGGGGAAACTCTACTTTTGCTTTTTTGGATGAAATCCTCGTCTTTCTACTCATTTGTGCGTTTTCTCTTAAATCAAAAATTGTGAAAAAATGTAAAAAAAAACTTGTTGAGTTTGTTGTTGGTAAATTTGGTGTTGTTTTTGTTTTTTTAAATTTAATCATTCTGTCCTACCTTGTAATTATTACACCGTGACCCGTTCCTAAAGGTGATAATACATAAACACTTTTTTGACTGGCTTAAGTCATCGGCTGGTTTCTTCGTAGAGGAACAAAGGAGTTTTAGGTTGACTAAGTTCGATTTTGGCCCTATTCTCACCTTAATACCGGATAAAGGCCTGCACAAGACGAATTGTATGAATCATGTTTTTTTCGACCACTGACTTTGTCTACTCAATCATGCGCATGTGTATTTGATAGGAAATGACAACCAACAACATCCCTCATTTTGATTCATGTGTGCCATTGTCTAAGGTTCAATCGTGGCATGGCTGACTCGAATATTTGCATGGTGTTCTCCTGGGTGTCAACGATGACATCGAACCGTGTTATCGTCAAATCGATGGGTTTGAGTATGACCGACATAACGAGACATCGAGCATTTGATTGGATGTCACGTACTGTTATGCGTTTGATCAAACAGGGCATAAATAGAGAAAATCGTCACATTTGCAGCCCTTTAATACCGGACACGCCGTACAAAATTACTTACCGTCCCCACAATGGTAATATGTTTCGTAAGGCCGTATTACCCAAAGTCTAATCTTCAACGCAACCAATCAAAATAAAATTAAATTAAAAATTTCTTCAAACTTTGTTGCACACGTTCACATTTTTTATATTACTATCTATTATTATTTTTTTTTTTTTTTGCTTTCAACTCAGAAAATACCATGTGGCGCAAAACGTCAAAAGTGTACCAAGGGGTGTAAAATAGTAAAAAATTACATTAACTACACTTCATTTTTGAAGACGATTATGAGCGCTTTTCTTTCGTTTATTGTTTGACGACATTGACATCTGCCGGCCTGTCAGGAACATTTTCGATCTACAGGTCTCTAATGTTGTTTGTTTTGGTTTGCTTCTCCCTGTTGTTGGGTTTTTTTGTTTTGATTCCAAATCTTTATTCTGCTTTGTTTCTATGTCGTCTTTCGCTCCAGGGTTGCCATATCGCACTATCGTTTATTCGTTATTTCATTTTATTGCTGGGAATTATCGGTTGGTAAATTAGAAAATGTTAATAAAATATTAAAAATGCTATTATAGTATGATTAATTTATTATATTTTTTGTCTACATTGATGTTAATGGTAAGAACTAAGAAGGTAAAGTCATGTAATCATATCTTTACAATTTTATTCAAAAAATATACATTTGACCTTTGGCAAATCCTTTGTGTCCACACAACAAAATAAAAAATAAAATAATTTGAAATTATTTTAAATTTGGTTGCAAAAGGAATGCATATTTTCGACGTTTATGGGCAGCAGGAATAACCCTAAAATTCTATTCTTGTTTCGCGGTATTTCCCCAATATAAAAATTTTGTTTAAATAAATGAAAAATAAACAGAAGCAACTGTTGCATATATAAAAGTCTATTTGACTCCATAAGACTCCAGCACAGAGTTGTATTTTTCCAATTTCTTTGAAGTTGAGCAGCCTTTCTTATTGAGCCATGGCTACATGTAAATTCGTCTAATATAAATCTTATACCCCAGACAGATGGCACTCTTAATTTACATTAACCCTCTTAATGCGAATTAATTCGTGCATTATCTCCATTGTTAATGCACAAAATGAAAAGTAAATTCAGATATTGCTGTCTGTCAGGGCAAAAATTTAATGCGTATTAAGAGCTTTTTAATGCATCTTAACTCTGCAACATGGTCTATATTACACTTTACTTTTTAATACAATTATTAGCGATTTTCTTTCATTTGTGGTTTGACAACACTGAATTCTGCAGCCGGTGAATTGACAGTTGATTGGAATTTGGGGATTTTGGGGTTAAGTTGTTTAGTTTCTTATAAACTAATTGTTTTGATGTTGAAATCCACAATTGGCAGAAGTCAACAGTTTTTACGCTTTTACGCAAAAATGCCAGAAGGAATAGCACTCAAAGAAGTTGTTACCAGCTTGGAGCGCTTTGCGCCTCTGTCCTATGCCGAGAAATGGGATAACGTGGGTTTGTTGCTGGAGCCGTATGATCAGAAGTAAGTTGAAATCCCATTGGACTGGATGGAGTGCTATAACATCTTGGTCCCCGCTTACGGTTCAAGATGAATTTATGGGCGATGCTCGGATTGGCCTGAAGTTTTTATCACATCTAGCTATTTTTGATCTTTTTAACCTGATGACGGCAAAGTAATTTTTTGTTGTGGAGGGAAATTACCGCTAATTCCACCAATAAGAAAAAGATCTACAAAACCGAAATGTACAAAATGGGTATCATTTGAAAGCTAATGGAAATATCCAGCAATTGGTGATATTAAGGGGTTTGTTTGAATCGGTTCCGGAGTTACACAAGAAAATTGGAATTTTTATACCAGAACTTTTTGAAAACCCCCTAAGAAGTCAGAAATTGACCCATTATGGGACTACAATATATCCTACACTCTGCCCTTTCTAATGTGTTAATATCCCTTCTTGTTCCGAAGATATTAGTCATAGAAACATATGAAATTGAGATTTTCTCCACTAATGTGTATCTAACCTTTATAGCTTTCTAGTTCCAAAGATATTGACTTTAAATTCGAAGGCCAGCTACTTACAAAAGAGTTAAAACTATAGATCGCGCAGCCAGTGTTGGACAATTCCTTATAGGAGAAAATGTCAAGCCCTCAATTTCATGATTTATATCACTAATATCTTCGGAACTACAAGATATATCACCACATTTTGAAAAGCAAGAGTTACCAGTTATAAAACACCTACCTACCGAGCATAGCCCCTAAACTCAACTTGCTCCCCGCTTACTAATGTACTTATTTTTATGGACTATTAAAACCTACTCCCCTTTTCAGACCAGTTGAGAAAATCCTGCTGACCAACGACTTAACCGAAGCTGTTATGCGCGAAGCCATTGAAAAGAAAGCCAATATGATTTTATCATACCATCCACCAATATTTGCAGCCATGAAGAGGATAACACAGAAGTATATAGTTTATATTGCTTGCAAGAAATCACCAACATTATAATTAAATATTTTATATTGCAGAGATTGGAAACAGCGCATTGTGTCCATGTGTTTTGCCCATTCAATTGCTATGTATTCGCCCCACACAGCCTGGGATGCCACGCTGGGCGGTGTAAATGATTGGCTGGCAAGTGCTTTGCCCGTGAAAGACATTAAACCAATTCAGGTATTTATTATGTAATTAACAAGATTTAGTTTGTCATGTATGGAATAGTATTTCGAACTTATATTCGAAAATCTATTATAAAAAGTCTAGCCGTAATAGGAACAAAGAAAACTTATATCAAATTTTTGTATTAGTTTACACGTTTACAATTAAATACATATTAAACCCAAATGTAGAAACCAAAGGTACAGAGCTGCTAAGTTTTTATCGCTGCGGTCGATAATACGTCGATTTTGTAAGCCAATGTGATGATCCTGCGCCATAAATATTGCTGCTTGAACCCCAGGACACTCCTTGTAGTCTATTCCTTTACAAACACTTAATGGTTGGCCAATGTTATATCTGGTTGTTGTGAAAACTATAATAAAAACTGATAGCTCCAGGCAGCTCCAAACTAAAGCTTCAAAGGCGAAATCTGGCTGTAAAATGGCATTTGGAGTTATTCCCCTCGTTAGCCTACGGATATCTCGTAGTAGTCAGGTGTGATTAAGGGTCTTTAAAGTGGAAAGCAAAATTAACGCTTTCGCGCATTTCAACTTACACGATATCGGTGAAACAGAAACAATATGGATTTAGTCGTTGTTGTTGCAATATCAATAATTTTGACGGAAAATTAAGGCATACAGTCATTTTAATGATGATCGAATCGAACTTTTAATTTGACGGTTAAATATTAATGTAAGTCCCCTCGAAGGACTTGTTTAGTGCTCTATAGACATTGATAGACTTAGATCTAAAAAGTAGTTCTAAATTGTAGGAACCCTTAAAGAAAGTCGACATTTTTTTCTGTGAAATTACTGCAAACAAAAATAACAAGAAATGTTAGTTGAATAAAAAATTGTCAACTCATATTACTATGTAATTCAAAGCATACTTTCAGGCACATAAAAATGATTAAATAGCTAATGCATATTTTACACATTATATTCTCCACCGTAGTGTCGAGGTTATTTCAATGTAAGATATTTTGATGCTTTGTGTTGTTGTTGTTGCAACAACAATTCAAGCTTGGTTGATTTCTGTTAATCTGGTTGTAACGCAGGTTTATATATTTGGCTACCTTCAAAACAAATCTAACCAAATACCTTCTGGAGTGATTGGGGGAACTTCCTGTTTTACCCTACGTGGTTTGGACTTCTTGTTTCGGAATTCCACGTACGACTGGCACACATATAATTGATTATCCAACGTTTCAAACTTGGAGTGTAGTTCTATCTGCATCCTCAAAACAGTACGGTGTGGTTGACTGAATGATAAGTCAAGGGTTACCAACAATGTTGTAGGATACGGCTTGTTCTGGTTTGAATTCTCGTCTGATATGTGTGGATATGGAGTGCAATGATGTTGTGGACGGAATCCGCGTTGACAGTTAGCAACTGGGTGGCTTCCTCTGATCATGATGAAGAGAAAATCCTTAAGTCTCTGTTACTAGCGACAAAGCGAAATTGGGCTTTGTGATTCGCCTATCGCTGGCATCCTAGCCTGGGAGTGGATTCTTGTTCTATGAAAATATGAAATGAAAAATATTTCCTTTATAAAAAAATTTTAATTTTCACTGAACAAGAATTGAGACTCAGTTTTCAGTAGCGGCAACAACTGGCCCATTTTCCACGATTCGGGACCGATGTGGGTGGCTAGCGATAGGTTGCAAACATTTGTCAAGTACTCAATCCCCGGCGTATCCATTTGTTCTCAAATTACCATTGACATTCCTTCTGGGTCCAACCCTATGGATGACTTAGCCTTACCGATGGTGCCTCCTAGACTGGAAGAGATCTGATGCGACGTAGAATTCATCGCTTCACTCTATCGTTCTCGGGGTGCTCGAGCGATCCACTTTAGATCAGTCGCCGTTACGTCGTTAAAAGTGAATGAGGTTGTATCATTCTCTTTTCCCAGTGTTCGTGAGCGATTTAACCGTTTCCCACAACTTACTCATATCGATTCCAATGTGGCAACACTTCAGATGGTCTAGCTACATTTTCCTTATGCAACCAATTAGTTAAATTTCACTGTCAATTCACTGATTATGATTATGAGTCCCGCTGCCTCTGCCAGCGTGCTGCCGGATAACAAGCGGCTGCAGCTTTAATGATGTCCCTGAAATCCTTTCTGTTTCCCAACATTAGAAGGGTTGGACAGTTCTCTGAATCGAAGATAATGTAGACGATTATCGGGATATGATAAAATAAATGACGGCTTGGAAAGTCACACCAGATTGGCCCGAGGCAAGAACATCTCAGTTTCGACTAGCATCTGACCCCAGTATGTATACATGCTCGAAATTCCATATATAATTCTACGTCTTCATATAGTATCCATATTTTCGATATTTTGATGATGATTTTAGAAATATTTTTTAACGGAATTTTTCGAAATTTGGTATTGATACATATTTATATTTTAAGTTCTTGAAATCAAAACCACACACATGCGCGGCATTAAAGTTAGAGTATGTTATGGACACAAGCACCTGAACAACAGACTTAGAGGCCCTTAGTGCAGTTAGTTCATATGTTTGTAAAAATGTAGTGGTTTAAAAAAAGGAAGATGTTTTAAAGAAAAAGGTATTTACATATTAACATTATTTTATTATATTTTAATTAACATTGTTATCAATGAAAACCTTCGCTTGTTTATATTATCGTTCTATGTCAATAAATTCGATTTAAATGTATTTATTATTTATTTATTTATTTCTTAGTGTTTTGATAATTGATTTTAAGCTTTCCATTGTATAACAATTCGATACGAACAAAAAATATTAGCATTTTCATTTTTTGTCAATCATGAAAATATATCAATTGTTAATATGGGTCATAATATTCTACAATTCTACAATGACGGATATCAAAGCGATTGAGATTTCAGAGCCACCACTGACACGAAATTCACAGCAACAACAAACGATCGATTAATTAAACAATAAACAAAAGAAGTGACCATTAAACGATTAAATGTCAATAGAAACTGTAGAACTTTTTCGATTATTCACGTTTAAATGACATGACATTTTTAAACGAATTGACGTAGACATTGAAATTTTTAAGAGATTGAGTTTTTTTCTTTTATAATGCCAACAGCCAATATCGAATGGCGCCAATAAATTAAACGAAAGTGTATCGGAAAACTATTATAGCATTATTGTTGTCAATATGTGTGTGAAATGCAAAGTTTGTCAGAATATTTAAACAGGGATATATATAGAAATCAGCTTTTATCTTTTGATTTGTAGCATGCTATAGGATAATCAGTAGTGACAGTAGTCCTCGGCTACACACCCTTCTTTGTAACTTAGAATCTCAATGTTAGAAATATGTCAAAAAAAAGCTCTTGGTGGTGCCCTCTGGGTTAGCATTGAATGCATATCCGGTCTTTGTCGTTCAGTCCCTAACTACGTTGTTAACGTCGCCAAACAATGCACCACCAATTTTAACGGATTTTGTCGGACTTCACCTCAATTAGATGGCTAGGAAATTTGTGTTGCTAACTAGAAAGTTACTGCTGGCATATTATCTTCCGTGTCATCCTAACTATTACACGGTAATGGAATTTACCATTGTCGATGGTGAGATACATTAAAAACAGCGGTCGGTCTCCGAAGCTGAAAATTTGTAAACTAACATCTTCTTCTTCTTCTTTTTTTTGAATTTTTAGTTTTAAAACAACTACTGTTCGGGTATAGTTACATCATCAGATATATGTTATCTCTGTCCCTAATCTCCCCTAGCTAATTCAAGTTAAAAATTACCACATGAGTCTTTACTGGCCACTGCTGGATAAAATCTGTGGCCCGACAGAGGTAGGATTTATTTTTTTATATATTTGTATACCCTCCACAATTCCGTTTGCAACTCCTCGAAATACTTATGTCTGACCCAACAAAGTATATTTTCTTGATCATCATTAAATGTTATGTCGATTAACCGATGACCGTCCGTCTGTGAATGGTTTCAAATTTGGTATTTGAAGTTCGTAATTGATTCTAGAGGATATTAAAGAAAATTGTTTGTGCAGGTTCACTTTTTGGTATAGGTAATGGCTTGTGACAAAACTTGCCTATGCAGGTCCACGTCGTCGTATAGACCCTAATATAACGGCTACATTTTTAAGATTCTAACATAATTTTTAACGGATTTAATTTTTTTTTTTGAAAATTGCCAAATTCGTTCCTAATAATGGAGGGTATTCAAAGTTTGGCCCGGCCGAACTTTCAGCTTTTTTACTTATTTATCAGTATTACCTAATATCAAACTATTTTCTTCTTGGTACACGAGTACCTCAACTGTGAAAAATTTGAGATATCGAATTGTTAAGTCATCCGCCGTACTGGCGTTTATGATATTTAATTCAGGAAAAACTACTTGGTCGTCGTTTTCAGAACCATGGATAAAGGCAGAAACGAAATGTAGAATTTAAGCTATTCGAAATCTCTCGATATTAAATGACACCATATTTAGTAATTTTATGTACATTTCAAGAAAAAAAAAACTCTTTCGAAGAAAAGGTGTCTCTTCGAAATGATAAATAATAGGATCTTAAATTAGTTGTATAAAAAGCGAAAAATAACCACAACTACATACCTTCTGTATTAGTGTGCTAAAAATATATCGTCTACTCTTTTTTCAACATTTTTTCAAATTTCAGGACTTCAGCTCCATTCCTTTGTCCAATACCAAATTTTAGTACTTTTCGTACAAAAACCACCTTCATGTCTTAACCGTAGACACCAACAGTGACATTTATATCAAATTTCAGGATTTCAACTCTATCCCTTCACCCAATAACAAATATAGTACTATTTAGTAGTTTTCGTACAATTGTAGTACACATTTCCAAAACCACCTCCATATCTCAATTCCAAATACTAGCAGAGACCTCAATATCAAATTTGAGGATTTCAGCCCTGTCATATATCAAACTTACTATCCAACCATTTTTATCATACCAAATGGTACCATTTCAGAAGTTTACTACCATTTTATAACTTAACGTGTCTGTAGAATTCGAATTTCCAAAAACCCCTTAGTTCATTCATCCTGCACTCCATCAGTGATTCTTATTTCGAACTGTAGCTCATTTCGTTTGACCAATGCAAAGAACTCAATTTTTTATACATTTTAGTACTTTTCGTACCCTTTTAGAACAAATTGACAGAATCTTATCACACACCTACGCACCAGCCATATGGCCACAGAGGGTATATATGACTTGATATGGCCAAAACGTGCCTCATCGAAATAACGGTTTTAGACCCTAGGTCTCTTTGGAAAAAATCCGTCTCAGGACATATTTTTTACAAGCGTACAAAAGCATTTTGGTGAGAATTTTCCAGAAAAAAAGTTATTCGTGGGAATTCAAGGATGATAGTGTGATTTCTTTATATTTGACTGGAAAACTACAAGTGCCTATAATTAGGGCACTCCAGCATTTAAATGTGAATACATTTTTGCGTCTCGTACCATCGCTCGTTACCGTGATACTGGTAGCGTAGCCCAACATCAAGCAAGTGAACGGAAGAAAACAGCAACATCAGCAGAAATGGTTCGAAAAGTAAAGAAGCGACTTGGTCGAAACCCGCGTCGCAGTGGCCAAAAATGGCTCGTGAGCTGAACATATCGCAATATTCCATTCGGCAAATATTGAAAAATGAGCTCGGGGTAAAGTCATTGAAATTCCCAAAAATTGCAAGAACTTACACCATAACAGAAAGAAAATAGACTTAAAAGAGCTAAAGAGTTGCTTCGTTTGGCCGAAAGTGGTGAACTGCCGAATTTGGTTTTCTCCGATGACAAAACATTCGTTGTCCAGCAGTACTTGCCAAAGAGTTCAGCTGAAAATGTGCATCTTCGGTTGGCCACCAGAACTCAATCGCCGGCCATGGACCGCCATAACATCCGATGGTCGCTCTCCGCTCGTGTTAATCGACCGTGACATCAGAATAAATACCGAATATTATCGCGAACATGTTCTGGAGGGTGTATTAAAGCCTTGGGCACGCAAACATTTTGGTCCTTAAACATTCCAGCAGGACTCAGCAGGCGCCACCCAAGAATGGTTACAAAATGAGGATCCTTGCTTCATTTCCAGGGCACAATGACCACCAAAATCTCCGGATACCAATCCGTTGGACTATTGTGTCTGAAGTATTTTGGAAACCAAGGTTCGCACTAAAGAATACCAAAGTGTCGATCACCTTAAGCAAACGCATCGCCTGGAACGGCCCAAAATACCTCAGGGCAACATTCGGGCAGCGTGTGACTGTTTCATTGGCGGTTTGAAGGCCATAATTAGTGCCAAAGGTGGCCAATTCGAACAAATCTAAACTTATTCTAAAATTTGATGCTATTTCCGACATTTTTTGCTTTCATTCAATGAAGTTATAAAAAAAGTTAAAATTATGGCGTTTGACTTTGTTGCAGTTGTTTCATCTCACCCTGTATATTTAAATCCATTCTTTGGTAATGAAATTCTCTATAAAATTCTCTAAAAAAATGTCCAGTTAAATAAGGGGTCTTCATACATTTCAATTTATCCATTAATATCCATAAATATATAAGTCGTTTATCTCTCAACTGCATTCTGGATTTAGCTGCCATCCCTAGGTCAAAACAACCAAAGTTTTTATAAAAAAAGAACAACAAAATGTTTATATTTAACTCGTTCGTTAAATAAAATCGGAATATACGATAATTAATTTAATCATCTGACAAATGCCACACGTGTCCACATTGAAAGATAACATCTGCAAGTTCATGGGAAATTTATTTTCACTTTGGGGTATAATAAAAAAGAAATTCCAGGAGATTACATTTTTACAATTTGTTATTATTTTTTTATTTTTGGAATTCCTTAGTCATTATCTTCATTTGTAAAAAAATGCATTTTAGGGTATTAAGCAATCGGGTAAATATTACCATAATTTATTAAGTCATTGCTATTGTCTAGTCATATTTACAGCATTAAAAAAATTAAAAACATCCACACAAATACGTATAACATTATTAAAACGTCTATGATTAAATAAAACTATCTACAGCAACTAATTTACGGATCAGAGCGCACCTCTTTTTCCTCCTTCTTCTCATTCACCATAATTGTTTCGACTTTTTGATATTCAATTTGATCCTTGTCAACATTACCCTCTTCCACCTTGGTTTTATTACGGAAGAATATCTTCTTTATAATGTAGAGCAATAGCAGAGGTACTGGGGTCATCATTGAATTGGCCACCGGCACTGCACTCGTCATATCGGCCTGTGGCTGCGGCAAGGTGAAATTCAACATAAATATGGCAATGCCTGTGTTTTGTATGCCTGTCTCAATGGCAATGGTTATGGCATCGCGTGCCGATTGACGACATATTACGGCAAATACCCAACCGATAAGGTAACCCAGCCAGGACAGGGCACTACTGGCCATAAGAATCTGAAAAGAGAAAAAGGAATAATTTTTTTAATTAGTGTGTAAAAAGTATTTGTAAATTTTATGGGTTATGGCAATTGCTTAAAATTGCTTGAGAAAAAAATATTTGCGTATTTTATTAAAATTTATTAAATGGCCTCTCAGGAATTCAAAGTCCAACTTTATACTTTTACAATTTTGCCTTATAAGAAGGAGTTTCGATTTTTTCAACAAGTTTCCATAAAATTTCGACAGTGCACATACAGATATGACAATTATGCCAACAGATGTATACCCCAAGCCTGGAGTTATGATTATTCAAACTGTTTAGGAGGTTCCGAAGCAGTTGGCCAATATTGACCAATTCGTATCTAACCTAAGACTGATATAAATATTACAACGTGCCAGATTTGGACTATATCGAAAATTTCTATACTTTATATGGGATATGAGCAACTTTTTGGAAAAGGTAGAAATATGCGTGAGGTACCACTTATAGTCGACTGAAGTATTCCATTTTTATACTTCATCGAATGCAGACAAAAATATTGGTATGTGAAGAAAATCGAACATTTATATCCAATTTTATGCGAAATCATCAATTTCGATAAATTACATATTTCTATCAGATTTCTGGTTAAGAGAAGTATTTCGATATGGCAAGTTGTAAAGAATTAATTTCGTGTTTTAAGAGATTCATGCATATTCAAAATTTTGAACCTTTGTGGGGGAGGTACTTGATGGAGTGGACCGATATTTTCCATTTTCGCGCCTGACCTAGCACTGATGCAAATATTAGGATTTGCAAAGTTGAAGCAAAATCGGAGTATCCTTTCTCTTTTTCTGTGTAGTAAATTATTTTCTTTGAAAATTTCGACCTTTTTTGGGGGGGAGGTAGCAGAAGGAGTGGACCGATATTGCCCATCTCCGAACTAGATTTAAGTTTGACAAAAACATTACGATGTACCATGTTTGGATCAAATCGGATTCTTTGGATCAAATCGGATTCTCTCCAGCCAGCCAGACAGACGGACGGACTTCGCTAGATCGACTCAAAATGCCATGAAACGGATTTGGTCCAAAGGGACCTAGGGCCTAAAACCTTTAGTTCAAAGAGGCCCTTTTTTGCCGTATTGGACAAACAGAATGGCCTAGAATGAGAGTCACTGATGGAGTGTAGGATATATGTATCAAAGGGTTTTTGGAAATGCGAACTTTAACTTTACGAAAAGTTTTATAATGGTACCATTTTTTTTAAAAAATGGTAGCATTTGGTATTATGCCAACGGATAGAACTAAAAATTCTCTCTAAGCTAAAATTTTGTTTTAGGGCCCCTGTTGGTGGTAGGTTTGTGACAAAAAGGTGGTTTTGGAAATGTATACTACAAGTGCCCGATAAGTACTAAATGGCACTATATTTGTACAATTTGGTATTGGGTAATTGGATAGTGATTGAAATCTGAAATTTGGTATTGAAGTCCCTGTTGGTGCTAGGTTTGTGGCAAAGAGTTATTTTTGGAAATGTGTACAAGAGCACGATATGTACTAAATAGTACTATATTTGGTATAGTTTAATATTGTGCGAACAGATAGTGCTTGAAATCTGAAATTTGCTATCAGGGTCGCTGTTCATGTGTAGCCTGGGACATATGGAGGTGGTTTCGGAAAGATGTACAACAATTGTTCGAAAAGTGCTGAATGGTACTATATTTGGTATTGGGTAAAAGGATAGAGATAAAATTCTGAAATTTGATATTTAGATTGCTGATTGTTCTGGGTTTGAGATTTGGCGGTTTGGAAATGCGTACTATATTTGTACGAAAAATATTAAATGGTACTAAATTTGGTATTGGGTGAATTTGATTTTTGTATCTGAAATATGTAGATGTGGAGTGGGAAATGTGTGCTATAATTTAAACGTACTAAATAGTACTTTATTTGGTTTTGAGTGAAGGGATAGAGCTGACATTTGATATGCTTGTCACTGTTGGTGTCTGTGGGTGGGAGAAGGAGCTAGTTTTGGATATGCGTACTATAATTGTACTGAATTTAGTAATGGAGAAATTAGAGAATTGAAATCCTGAAATGTGATATTAAGGAAAATTTGATATTACTGCTGGTATCTGAGGTTGAAATATGGAGATTTTTCTTTGAAAGTTCGTACTATTATTGTTCGAAAAGTACTAGATTCTACTTATTTTGGTATTAGGTGAAGGAAATATGCTGAAATTCTGAAATTTTATATAGATGTCACCGTTGGTGTTTGTGCTTAAAATACGGATGTGATTTTGGAAATGTGTATTTTAATTGTTCTTAAAGTACGAAGTCATACTTAATTGAGTATTGGGTAAAGGAATAGAGCTGAAATCCCGAAATTTGATATTGAGGTCTCTCTTGGTATCTGGGAGTAGGATCTGGAGGTTTTTTTTGGAAATGTGTACTATAATTGTTCGAAAAGTACTAATTGGTACTGAATTGGGTATTGGTTGAAGGCATAAAGCTGGAATCCCGAAATTTAATATTGAGGTCTCTGTTGGTGTTTGGCAGTGGTTTTGCTAATGAGTACTATAATTGTTCGAAAATAACTAAATGGTACCATTTTTTTTTATCACTACTGGTGTCTCGGATAGAGAGATGTAGATTGGTTTGGACATGCGTACTAAATGTTACTAAATTTGGTGAAGGGATAGAGCTGAAATTTTAAAATAGCTATTGAGGTCATAGTCGTTTTCTACATATGGAGAAAAATTGACCGAAAACTTGGATGTTGGTCCATTATACAATGGTTTTACAAATATCCTCCTCGGTAAACTTCAGAATGAAGAGGACGAGTTACAAAAAGTTTATTCTTTACTCTTTTATTTGATGTGTGTAGAACATAAGAGTGGGCAAAGCATGTTAGCTCTTATTCTCATTCTTACTCGATCTATTTCCGATTTTTCACTCAAATTCGAGTAGAAATTGAAATTCACTCAAACAGAAAATTTCTCAGCTCTGGTTGAAACTACTTGGTCTATATAGGACCTCTTAGAGGAATTTTCTTGCGGTCCTATATTTTCTATTTAGGATCCGCTTTAAAACCACTCGTACTTGGGACCACTCTACTGGTTACATTTCTAGATATATTTAGCTGAAGATCACATGAAGATCTTTAATATTTTGGTACGTTACCACTTGATTTTTATACCCTCCACCATAGTATGGAGGGTATATTAAGTTTGTCATTCCGTTTGTAACATCCTTCAATATTCGTAGTAGACCCCATAAAGTATATATATTCATAATCCGCATAAAGTTCTAAGCCGATTTAACGATGTCCGTCTGCCTGTCTGTTGAAATCACGATACAGCCCACATTATTTGACGTAGAGCGCCAAAATTTAGCAGAGCAATTTGTATTGTGTCTAGGATGGTTGGTATTGAAAATGAGATATATCGGTCCACGTTCTGGTACAGTCCCCATTTAACGGTACCTCCCGATATTCGGTATTTTGATGATTTATGCCACATTTTTTTACGGATTTGTCTGAAAATTGGTATTTGTAGGTCATAACGGGTCCCTGTGCGTGTGGCAAAACATTGCATGTATGGGTTCACGTTTTGGTATAGCCCCCATAGAGGTACCTCCCGATATCCGGTATTTTAATTGGTTTTTGCCACATTTTTTCACGGATTTGTCTATAAATTGGTATTCGTTGGTCATAATGGGTTCCAGCTCCGGTGGCGAAACATTGCATGTATGGGTCCATGATTTGGTATGGCCCCCATATAACGGTACCTCCCGATATTCGGTATTTTGATGTTTTTTGCCAAATTTTTTCACTGATTTGTCTAAAAATTGGTATTTGTGGGTCATAATGGGTTCTAGTTCGTGTGGCGAAACATTGTATGTATAGGTCCACGTTTTGATATAATCCCCATATAACGGTACCTCCCAACATTCGGTATTTTGATGATTTTTGACACATTTTTTCAAGAATTTCTCTGAAAATTGGTAGTTGTAGATCATAATGGGTCCTAGTTCGTGTGGCGAGTCATTGTAATTATAGGTCCACGTTTTGGTATATCCCCCATATAACGGTACCTCCCGATATTCGGTAATTTGATGATTTTTGCCACATTTTTTCACGGATTTGTCTGAAAATTGGTATTTGTCATAATAGGTTCTAGCTCCTTTGGCGAAACATTGTATGTGTAGGTCCACGATTTGGTATGGCCCCAATATAACGGTACCTGCCGATATTCGGCATTTTAATGTTTTTTGCCACATTTCTGGAGGGTATTAAAAGTTTGGCCCGGCCGAGCTTATTATTTTTTTTACTTGTTAATGGAACCGTTTGATATTCTATAAGTCCACTTCATTTCACCTGGGTAATTTTTTCAATATTTTTTTTTTTTTCAATTCTCTAATCTTATTTTGTACTTACCTTCCATGAAAATAACTTATAGATGTACGAATTGACCGTAAACGAAAATCCCATAATCACAACAATGAAACACAACGCCAACGGCTTCAATAATCTCGACATTTTCTTGGCGAAATTCGGAGCATATTTCTGCAATACTATGCCAATCGAAAGCGGCAACACCAACGAAAAACTCATGCTGGCAATTGTCTTGTAGGGCACAATCAAATTACCATCCTTAAAGATGAGAGCACCCAAAGTGAATATCCACAGCGGCATCATACCGAAAGCGGCCAGATTACTTATCGCTGTCATCGTTATGGATAAATTGAGGTTGCCATTCAAAACGACGGTGAAAATATTCGAAGCTCCACCGCCCGGTGTGGAACCGGTAAAAAACAAGCCCAAGTGCAGCTCAATCATATCGCGAAACAGAAAATAACCAATGCAGAAACTTAACACAGGCATAACCAAAAATTGTCCCACAAAACCAATTGCCGGGCCAATGGGTTTCAGCAGAATCTCCTTTAGGGCATCCAGCTCTAAAACAGCTCCGAAATTGACATACAGCAACATAACGAATGCTCCCACCAATACCCGAAAGGCCACATCCATTGTGCCAATGTTACGCAAGACAATTACATCCAGAGTTTCCAGAGCCTTCTCTGTTGATTTTCGACTTCTCAACTCTACATAGATTGGACTGTGACCCAAGAAAATGCCTTCAATTGTAAAGTTTCCCCTCCAGGTTGTTTGGCCGGCCTTCAGGTCTTTGGTTATAATGATATTGTGGCTTAAGCGCATCAACTCCATATCCATGGGTAATATGTGCAGTTCGAAATCTGGGCCCCATTTGATTGGATCCATATTCAATATTTCCATTTGTATAACTTTTGTTTGGGTCATGGATAAATTGACATTTTTCTCTTCAAAATTAACCTGCCATGTGGGTGCAAATTCATTGGGGAAATCTTCATTTGTTGAATTGAGAGCACTCGCGTTTGAATTATCTGCGAAAACATAATCCAGTGCCTGAATTATTACCGCAATGCAAAATATGTGTTTAATTATTCCCATTTTTTTGTTCTTCTTTTGTTTTTCTTTTTCACTTATTTAATTTTGAGTTTCGAGTTTTTTGGAGCTTGTACTTCGCGTTTCGTCTTATCCCCGTTCATTCAGTTCGCAAACTGGATTAAATTTTCCACTTTTCATTTTGAAGAAATTTCTTTTTTTTTGGTTCAAATCACCTGTAAAGACGATAAAGACCTCTGCCATCTGATATGATGGCATGCTTCGCCTACCGCCAGCCCCTTTCCCGTTTTATTGCAGTTTATCGTAACCGATATGAAGGCTATAAAATTATAACAAATATTTTCAAAAAAATAATATTAGTCGTGTTTTTTCTCTTTTTTACGTTCCACCAATTTCGGATAAGAATTCAAAATATTTGAAAGGATATATATAAAAAATTTGACCCTTTGTGGGGGAAGTACTTGATGGAGTGAACCTAGCACTGATGCAAATAATTAAATTTGCATCCTTTCTCTTTCTGTGCAGTAAATTTGAAAATGTTAACATTTTGTGGGAAGGAATGGACCTATATTGCCCATCTCCGAACTCGATCTACGTTTGACAATAATACGATGCACCAAGTCTGGACGAAATCGAACACCACCCTACACTGGTAAGTAAAGCTCAAGCAATGCATTCGTACGGTGAGAATCGTAAAGAGTTCAATTCCGAGGGACTCAAGATTTAAGAATACCCCAAGAGGAAATTAAGTAGCGATACTTCCAAGGGTTACATACACATTAATGTGTCAATTAAGGTCGCTTCGAGCGGCTGACACAAAATTCTCAGACTTGGCGGAGCGAGTTAGTTGTTGTAACTCTGGCTTGTAGCAGATGCTCTTGTTCTTCAGCTGCGATGGCAGGCGAATTCTGTATTCTATTATTACTACCGTAACCGCATTAAAGTAAATACTATTCAGTACTACTTGATAGACCTGTTGATCTAGAGGCTCTCTCTTATATCTCTGTTATATGTCTGTACCTCTCTTCCTCTCTAGATCATAAAGGTCTTTCCTTACGTGCCTGGGCGTAAGTTGCCTTTCCACCAGATGGTGATTAGGATGGTTGTGTTTATAACACCCAAGCAAATGTTGCATCGACAGTATTTCCCTCCTCCTCATGCAGATGGTCAGCGGAGGCAAACTATAACGGTTCTTAGGATGGTGTTCTAGCAGCACTGCGTGTGTTTCCATTCGGGTGCACTTACATCGGCGGAGCACAACGGAGCCGCATAGTTTGCCACAGTCCGGCCAATCGCATTGTAAGAGGTCTACAAAGGTTATTTATCAGCTCCCAAGTACTGCCGGCCATAGACTTGAGAAACGTGTTCCTACTCCTAATTTTGTAGCAGATAGCTGTGGTATGTTCCGCCGTCGAAGCTAGAACCCATTACGAACTACAAATACCAATTTTTGTATTTGTTTCAAACAACCTCAAAATACCGAATATCGGGAGGTAACTTTATATGGGGGCTTTGCCAACAAGTGGACCGATATATCTCATTTTTAATACCAGTCATACTAGATACAATACAAATTGTTCTGCCAAATTCTCTACGTCAAATAATGTGGTTTAAAATTGTGATTTCAACAGGCAGACGGACATCGATAAATAGCATTTTTTGTTAATACAAGGTGAGATAGAAAAACTGCAATAAAGTCAAACGCCATAATTTTTATTATTTTTTAAATTTTATTGAATGAAAGCAAAAAATGTCGGAATTAGCATCAAATTTTAGAATAAGTTTAGATTTGTTCGAATTGGCCACCTTTGGCACGAATTATGGCCTTCAAACAGCCAATGAAACCGTCACACGCTGCCCAATTGTTACTCTGCCGTATTTTGGTCCATTCCCGGCGAAGCGCTTGCTTCAGGTGATCGACACTTTGGTAGTTTTTAGTGCCAACCTTGCTTTCCAAAATACTGCAGACACAATAGTCCATGGGATTGGTATCCGGAGATTTTGGTGGCCATTGTGTGCTGGAAATGAAGCGAGGAACTTCATTTTGTGACCATTCTGAGTTCAAGATCTGCGGCCAAATGTTTGCGTGCCCAAGGCCTTAATACACCCTCCAGAATATTTTCGTTACAATACTCTGTATTTATTCTGATGCCACGGTCGTTTAATACGAGCTGAGATCTGCCATCGGCTGTTATGGCGGCCCACACCATCACCATGGCCGGCGCTTGAGTTCTTGTAGCCAACCGAAGGTGCACATTTTCAGCTGACCTCTTTGGCAAGTAAACACGATTATTTTCTTTGTTTACAAACTGCTGGACAGCGAATGTTTTCTCATCAGAGCCAAATTCGGCAGTTCACCACTTTCGGCCAAGCGAAGCAACTCTTTAGCTCTTTTGAGTCTATTGGCCTTGTTGGAATTTCAATGGCTTTACCCCGAGCTCATTTTTCAATGTATGCCGAATGGAATATTGCGATATGTTCAGCTTACGAGCCATTTTTCAGCCACTGCGACGCGAGTTTCGATCAAGACGCTTCTTTGCTTTTCGAACCATTTTTGCTGATGTTCATAAAATTCTTTATTATTTAATTATTAAATACATATTTAAAGTAACAAATATTTATTAAGTTAATTATTTACTAAAATTGCAGCTATTTTGTTTTCAAATATAATTCACTATAACAAAACTTAACTCCTAAACGAATAAGTACAAACAATTCTTTTTACTAAAATAAATTATATTATTTCTTAGAAATAATCACATTCTCATTATCACGATTTATCGATTTGTTCGTTTTTCTGTTTTCATAGCTTTTGGCCAACTTTACGTTCGCCCTTTTCCATAATAGCTTCTACTTCGGTTATTTTAGCCTCTTTTGTCGGTGGTTCTTCCACCTCTTCGATACTGGTGCGGCAAAAGATTTTCCTAATCAAATAGATGATGAGCAACGGTATGGGTGTCATCATGGAATTGGCCACCGGCACTGCACTTGTCATATCGGCCTGTGGCTGGGGCAGGGTGAAACTTAACATAAATATGGCAATGCCAGTGTTTTGTATGCCCGTCTCAATGGCAATGGTGAGGGCATCACGAGGCGATTGACGGCAAACAATGGCCATTAGCCAGCCGATTATGTAGCCAATCCAGGGTAGGGCACTGCTGGCTACCAGGATCTGTAAAGGAAGAAAGAGAAAACCAAACAATTTAGAGGTTTATGAAAAATATTTAAATCTAGAGCTAGTTTTTATGATAAAAAGAATATATAATGGGGGCAATTTCCAAATTTGCAGTTGCCATTTTTCCTGATCCCTACATAATGACCAATAGGAAGATAGCATAAAGACTCCGGAGGGTGATATGCCCTTAAGGCTTATGGGAGAACAAAGCAACCGAACTGTTGCCTCATTTTCTTAGGTAGAACTGGCCTGTTCTCCATCTCGCTAAGTTTTTTAAAAAAGGCTACAGCCTAGAGCTGTTGATTTTAGAGATTCGTACTAAAATAATTTAAAAAATGTTCGGATATTGGATAAAATATTTCTGGCAATTTATAGTAAAAATGTACGAGAAAGTACTAAATATTGTACTTTTAGCCACAGAATTCTAAAATTTGTTATTTAGCTTTGCTTGAAAATTCAAAATTCTCTTCGAAAATCGTTTTTATAAATAGTACAGTTTTGGTACCAAAAAATGTGCTAAATGTATGTGTCATCGTTGTGAAATGGTCATTCCGTTGTGAAGTGGCCTTAAAATGCAGTGTGTGTAGAAATATGGTATAAAAAGTTATAATTACTAAAAAATATTAGGTACTAAATACATAAATGTACTTAAGTAAGGTACTTTAGTAAAAAATCTGTAATTTTAGCATTCGAATCTTAACATATCTCACACATGAGATATGGTAAGGTTTTTGAAATTTTGTACCAAAAAGGTTCTCAATATTGTACCATTAGATCTAACATTTGAAATATGGTTTTCAGACGTCGTGAACATTTTTTTCAAATGGAGTTAAGCTAAAATTATAAAATTGGCACTGATAGTGTAGAAGGTAGCGATTATTTTGAAAATTCCATTTCAAGGAGTTCGAAAGTAAAAAAGCACAAAATAGTACGAACCTGTTATTAAACTATTGATCAGAGCTACAGTGTTGACATTTTGTATGAGGGCAGCTTCTCGTACTGATGGTACAACACTGTTATTCGGCCATTAATAAAGATACCAACAGGGACCTCAATATCATATTTCGGGATTCCAGCTTTATTTTTCGCCCAATATTAAATTTAGTACTTTTCGTACAATTATAGCATACATATCCGAAACCACCTCCATATCTCAATCCCAGATACCAACAGAGACCTCAGCCCTGTCCCTTCACCCAATACCAAATTTATTATTATACGTTTCGTACAGTAATGCTACACATGCCCAAACCACTTCCTTCTCTCTACCTTAGATACTAAGAGTTTCAAATTTCAGAATTCCATATCTATCTCAACATCGAACGGCGCATTTTTGGGCATTTGGAACCTTTCGCACACTCACAATACGCATTTCGACAACACACAATTCGAACAACTACCAACCAAAACCACTACCAGATCTCAATTCCAGATTACAAATTTCAGGATTTCAGCTCTATCTCTTCACCCAATACCAAATTTAGTACTATCTAGTACTTTTCGTACAATTATAGTAGACATTCCCAACACCACCTTCATATCTCGATTCCAGATACTAACAGAGACCTCAATATCAAATTTGTGGATATCAGCCCTATCATTTCACCTGACACCCCATTTAGTACCACTTAGTACTTTCCGAAGAATTATAGTACACATAGCTAAAACCACCACAAGATCTCAATTACAGATACCAACAGAGACCTCAATATCAAATTTCAGGATATCAGCTCTATTTCTTCACCCAATATCTACTTTAGTATTTTTCGAAAAATTATGGTACGTATTTGCAAAACCATCTCCATATCTCAATTGCACTGACATTACGATCAAATTTTAGGATTTAAGCTCTATATTTTTACCCAATACCAAATTTAGTACAATTTAGTACTTTTCGTACAATTATAGTACAGGTTTTTGAAACCACCTCCATATGTCCAGGATACACTTGAACAGACAGAAATACAGACCCCAATACCAAATTTCGAATTTTAAGATCTGTCTGTTCTGGTACTATTTAGTACTTTGCGTGTAATTGTAATACACTTTTCTAAAACCACCCCTTTATCACAAACCTACAACCAACAGGAACCCCAAGTACCGAATTTCAAAATTGCAGGATCATCCGTTCACTCTTAACCAAACTGTATTTAGTTAGGTTAGTACCATTTAGTATAATTCGCACACTTAGTACACATTTCCAAAAGCACTTACTTTCCAACCTTGATTCGCATCCCAAATTTCAAGTTTTTTTTCATTTTAGAAGTTTAATACCATTTTAGAGCTTTTCGTAACCCTAAAGTTCAAATTTCCAAAAACACTTGGGTACATGTATCCTGCACTCCAACAGTGACTCTTATTTCAAATTTTAGAATTATAGTTAATTCCGTTTGTCTAATGCAAAGTATTTAATTTTTAGTACATTCTAGTACTTTTCGTACCCTTTTACTACGATTTTTCAAAAACGCAGCCTCATCACACGCCTACGCACCAACATTGAACTTCAGCCGTTTCGTCAGGGTCAGTGTGTTATTTCTCTACTCTTTTATATATGAATACGTAGCCCTTGGAGTAATTTTATGCATTTCTGGCCAAATTGTGATTTTTTCAACGATTTCCGTATTGAAAATGCTTAGTCAAGCCCCCTAAGGATTTTCGGTTTTAAAGAAAAAAATTTCAGGAATTTGTTTTAATTTGTTTTAAGGAAAAAAAAATAAATTTCTAACTGCTCGAATGTCGTAGGGTTTTAAAAAAGCCAAGAGTATAATGTTGAGAAACATGGAAGATGTCTTGCATTCGAATTATTCGATCTTCATATGTTCCTTCTCATTGTTTCCACATCTTAATGAATTCTACTGGCAAACATTGTTATTTTCAGCACTTGAACTAATCTATTCTTCGTCTGTTTATTAAACAAATCAATTGAATGAATTGAAGTTTATCGAATTCGAATACTATGACCAAAAATAGATTTTTTTAAAGTCAACTCATTTTATTGAATTAGTGATAAGCGTGCAATTGGCATTTTATCACCAAACCAATTTCGAAATGGTGTCTGGCACAAAAGTGCAAACAATGACGCCAATGAAAGATGGCTGGAACGAAACTGCCACCAACAAGAGCAAAACAAAACAAAATTATTAAATTGTCCTGTTTTTTATATGGGAATATATCCTGCACACAAAAGTATTTAATGAATTTTTTCCAAGTACTCTTCTTGTCATACCGTAGTTTAATAAAAACGAGAAAATCCGAGCTCTGCCTGAAATATAATAGGCAGCTCCCCATTTATACATACCTTCCACGAGAACAGCTTGAACATATACGAATTGACGGTGAATGCAAATCCCGTGATGACAATAATAAAAATCAACGCCAAAGGCTTTGTTATTTTGGACATTTTCTTTGCCACGGTGGGGGCGTATTTCTGCAGCGCCAAACCAATGCCCAATGGTATAACCAATGAAAATGACATGGCCGCAATTGTCTTGTAAGGCACTGCCAAATTGCCATCCTTGAAGATGAGAGCACCCAGTGTAAATATCCATATTGGCATCATGCCAAATGCTGCCAGATTACTGATGGCCGTCATGGTTATGGACAAATTTAGATTGCCATTTAATACCACGGTGAAAATATTCGATGCACCGCCACCAGGTGTAGATCCCGTAAAGAACAAACCCAAACGCAATTCGATCATGTCATGGAACAGAAAATAGCCAATGAGAAAACTTAAAATTGGCATAACAATAAATTGGCCCACAAAACCAATGGCCGGGCCGATCGGCTTGATAAGAATACGTTTCAATGCGTCCAGCTCCAGCACGGCTCCGAAATTTACATACAATATCATCACAAAACAGCCCACCAAAACTTGAAACACAAAATCCATGGTGCCAATGCGACGTAGGACAATCACCTCAAGAGTTTCCAGGGCCATTTCCATTTGTTGCCCCTCACTTGAGGGCAGATGTAATTCCACATAGATTTCACTGCGACCCAAAAATATGGCTTCCGCTGTGAAATTACCCTTCCAGACATTGTTTTCCGATTGCAAGTCTTTCAGCTTGAATATGTTATGGCTAAGCTTGAGCAGATCATGATCCATGGTGAGAATGTGAAATTCATAGCCTTCAGACCAGCTTGGATCTATGTTGTGTATTTCGAACTCAATTGTTCGAACTTCAAACATGGACATATTCAACAGCACCTCGCCAAAGGTCACCGACCACGTTGGCACATTTGCTTCATAATCCATTAAAACGTTGGTATCTTCAATGTCCTTTATTGTTGTGTTTGTGGCCACATTTCCAGCAAATCCAGTGGCCAGGAATTGCAGAATCACTGCCGCGCAGAGAACATATTTCACGGAACTCATTTTCTTTGTTTCGTTTTCAAGGCATTTAATTTACAGCACACTTGATATAGTCGTTCAATGTTCGCAAAATGTTGTTTTTACGTTTAAATCCCGATATTGTCCAACGTCTAGACCACCACCACCGACAACGTACTAAACCTTTAACGTGAGTTCTCTTTGTATTTTTAGTGAAATATATTTTGTTAGCTTAGTCGCTGGCCAATAATCAAAAATTTTTCCACTGATATGACATCCCGCTCGCCTGATAATAAGGGGTAGCACGTTTTCTTCAATGGCCAATGTGGTTGATTGTTTAGTTTATCGTTTTGACGATATGATACGGAGTAGGGTCGTAAAGTCTTATTGGACAAATTAATCTAACCGCTTTCCAACTCTACAATGGGTGTCAATATCAATAAACAAAATTCCGCATGAAATGAGAATTTTTTCACATAGCATTTATCAATTTTGCTTTGTCACTCGGTCTGGTAGAGGATAATAATTCGAAAAAAAAATACTTGTTTTAGAGAAGATGTGCGAAAATGTGACTAATACAGGGTGAGCCAATCATAATATAAAGATTAGTGAAATAACTGACTGAAATTTTGCCGAGGATCAGTCTTAGTGCAGGCGTGTGATAAGGCTGGGTTTTTTGAAATTCGTAGTAAAAGAGTTCGACAGTACTAAGATGAACTAAAAATTTAAGACTTTCTATAGGACAAACGGAATGAGCTAGAACTCTGCAATTTGGAATGAGAGCCACTGATGGAGTGCAAGACAGATATACCAAAGGGTTTTTAGGAAATTCGAACTTTAAGGTCACGAAAATTTTTAAAATGATAATAAACTTGTAAAGTAGTACCATTTGGTATTATGTGAACGGATAGAAATTTGGCATGGGAATCAGGGTAGGAAAATAAGTTTAATACATGAAGGCGTTTGTGTACTAAGTGTGCAAACTGTAGTAAATGGTACTAAATTTGGAACTGTTCGTTTAGGGAGAACAGATGAAGCTGGCATTTTTAAGCTTTGTATAATAAAGAGGTGGTTGGAAGTGGGTACTACAAGGACACAAAAGGGATAGAACTGAAGTCCTGTAATTTGATGTAGATATAACTATTGATATCTGGAATTGACATCTGGTTTTGAAAATATGCACTACAATTGTTCGAAAAGTACAAAGTGGTACTAAATTGGGTGTTGGGTGAATGGATAAAGCTGGAATCCCGAAATTTGATACTGAGTACTCTCCTGGTATCTGGAATTAGGATATAGGGATTGTTTCGGAAATGTGTACTATAATTGTACGAAAAGTACTAAATGATACTATATTTGGTATTGGGCTAAGAAAGATTCATAATGGGGTGTTTAAGATTATGCGGTGGTTTGGAAACGCGTCCTATATTTGTAGGAAAAGTACTAAATGGTACTAATATTCTGAAATTTGATATTGAGGTCTCTGGAATCTAGGATGGAGATATAGAGGTTGTTTTGGAAATATGTACTATAATTGTACGAATACTACTAATATTAATATAATTGATAATGGGTGAAGGTATAGAAATACTATTCTGAAATTTTATATTCAGGTTACCAATTGGGTGTTTGAGATTTTGCGGTGGTTTGGAAATGCGTCCTATATATGTGCGAAAAGTACTAAATGGTACTAAATTTTGTATTGGGTGCAGGGAAAGGGTTGGAATCCAAAAATTTGATAAAAAGGTCACTGTTGGTATCTGTAATTGAGATATAGAGGTGGTTTAGGAAATGTGTACTATAGTTGTTCAGAAAGTACTAAATATGGTATTCAGTGATGGAAAAGAACTGAAATCCTGAAATTTGATATAGATCCTGTAATTTGATATTGAGTCCTCTTATGGTATCTAGGACTGAGGTATAGAGGTGGTTTTGGAAATTTGTACTATAATTATTCAAATAGTACTAAGTGGTACTAAATTTAATATTGGGAGAAGGGATAAAGCTTGAATTTCGAACTTTGATATGGAATCTCTGTTGGTGTCTGTTATTGAGATATGGAGATTTTTAAGTCTTCAAACGGTACTAAGAAAACAAGTAAGAATGTATCAGTCGGTTTGGGGGCAAGATGTACCAGAAAGGGTGGGAGGTACCATTTTCGTACCTGACCAGTATCTGATATAAATATTACGACGTGCGAGGTTTGGACTATATCGGCATCATTCTCCAATTGCTTCCCCTGCGTATATTTTTATTCCATTTCCACACCCTTTCCAATATTGAAAAAAATATTGGGATGTGTAAAGTAACAAACAAATCTGGCACTTATTCTCTCGAATGGGGTTTTTCCTATTTCCTCCAAATTTGGTACATCGTAATATAGCTATCAAACTTAGATCGAGCTCGGTTCCTCCGAAAATTTCCAAAAAAAAAAAATAAATAAATAAATAAATAAACCATCGAAAAATAACACTTAAATGAAACCCGTTATATGGGAGCTACACGAAGACGTGGACCTGCAAAAGTAATTTTCTGTAATAGGCTGTAGTACCGATTCCGAATTTCAAATACGAAATTTGAAACAATTTCGTTGAATAATGTCGCTAATATCATCGAATTTGAAACAATTCTGGTGAATAATGTTACTAGTAGCAATAAAATACCGAATATCGGGAGGTATCGTTTAATTGGAGATATATAGGATATCGTGGCATAGACAAATGAAAATATAGACAACGAAATGCTCTCACCGTTCATCTTCGAAAAAAATCGGATCAGCAGATGTCGTATATGTCGTTTCAGGGGTTTGAGTGGGAATTTTGAAGTCACTCAATTTGAAAATGTTAAAAATAACAAAAATTGTAGGATATTTGTCAGTTGAAAATTATTTCATAAAAAAAGACATCTGAAAAGTACGTGATGACATCGAAAAATATGGGAATATTCCAGTGAAATTCTTGAAAAGCGATAAAATGTGTTTTCGAAGTCGAGTGGCTTGAACGCGTAAATCAACATGTTGACTATGCAAAACATGGAGAGAGCCACCTGGATAAAAAGACAAAACTAACTTTTGGTTGTCTATATTTTCATTTGTCTATGATCGTGGACCTATATGGACAATTCTCTTCCAGCCGGCTAAGGACTCAGAAGAAACTTCCTTTGTGGATTTTAAGACAATTCCATTGAAAATGTGCCTAAAATAATCAAAATACCAAATATCAGGAGGTACCGCTATGTGGGAGATATACGATACGTGGATCTATTTAGACAATTCTTATTTTGGAGGGTAATGTAGTCAGAGGGAACTCCTTGTGTGAATTTTGAGACAATCCATTGAAAAAATTGGCTAAAATCATTAAAATATCGAATATTGGGGGTACAGTTATATGGGGCCTATACGATATCGTGGACCGATATAGCCCAACATCGAACTTGACATGCCTGAAGATTAATCTGTGCAAAATATTAGCTTCCTATCTAAATTCGTTTTGACTCTCCAGCATGATTACAACAGACGAACAGCGCTAAATTGTCTTTGTTAGGTCGAAAATTATTATTTCGATGAGTTACAAACGGAATGAGGTAATTAATATACCTTCCATACTATGTGTGGTGGAAGGTGTAAAAAACAATTACTGGCGTCGCATTCGATTTGGTTGGCATCACTTTTACCGTGTTCATACGGTCGTTGCATTTTTGTCGACACGAAATGTGGATCCCGTTTCATTTTCTGTTGTCAAAAACACAACGACCGTAGGAACAGCAAAAGTGATGCCAATTACTCCGAAGGCTGTTGTTTCTTACTTTTCTCGGGGAAGAAATTACAAAATAGATAGATCCCAAAGACCTAAAATGGTAAAGACTAGACAAAATACATTTTGAGCAAATGGTTTGTGTCTACATTAAATAGAGTAACAGCATATGGCAGAGACATGTTAATATAAAAACCACAATTACAAAAACGAATAACAAATAAAATTTTGAAAAATTCTAAATATTAGTTTCAAAATTCTATTCCATAGACCTTTCCAAAAATTTGCATATTTCCTTAGTGGTTTAAATCAGTTAACATTGGTAACTATGTTGTTATAATATCGTAACAACAGAGGCATTTTCACAGGGTTGCCATATTTTATTTTTGTCTTGTCCTATCTTTACACTTCTATGCCTTTGTAGATCCTAGCTGCAGGGCTTTTTAGGCAGAAAAATTTACTTGCGATAAGGCGATGATAGTCAATTGGCTATTAAAACCACCAAATCCTGGAAAATCAAATCTCAAGTTTTCCTTAAATACAAACAAGCCATAATAACACATTCTAAACATGAAGGCGATAGTCGGCACGAAATCTCAAGGCATATATCCATGTTAGGAGAATACAGGTAGTCGCATCGACACAACTGTCAATACAATTTTGAAATTTAAAGTTTTGAATGAAAAATTATTCAAATTCGTTAAAATTGTTGAAATTGAAATGATTAAATGCATCAACGCATTCCTGCATTCTTCTACCATGGTATAACCGCTGAGCATCGTGATTTGTTTCGTACGGTAGAAGAAAGAAACAACCACATGGCGTCGCATTCGATTTGATCAAAGACATAGAAGTGTAAAGATGGGACAAGACAGAGTCAAGATATGGCAACCCTGTGAAAATACCTCTGTTGTTATGATATCGTAACAACATAGTTAGCAATGTTAGGCGATTTAAACCGCTTAGGCAATATGCAATTAACTGGGAAAGTCTATGGATTAGAATTTTGAAGCCACATTTTTGGATTTTTCAAACTCTTATTTCTCATTCGTGTTTGTAATTGTGTTTTTTATATTAACATTCCTCTGTCATGAGCCGTATTGTAGACACAAACCATTTGCTCAAAATGCATTTTGTCTAGTCTTTACCATTTTAGGTCTTTGATTTGATTGGCATCAGTTTTACCATGCTCATACGGTTGTTGTATTTTTGCCAATACGAAACTTAACGGAATGCCTTTTCTGAGGAAGATATTGAGAGCGAGATTTCAGTTGCACTGCCACAAAAAATCGACCGATTTGTTATATTTTTACACTCCTCCAATATATTAAAAAATTGGCACTCATTTCAATTTTTTCATGAGTAATTATTAATCAATATTCTGACCTTTTTGTGGGGAGGTATTTGAAGGTGTGGATTGTCATATCCAAGATTTATATTTGACAGACGGTCAAACATCACAAACTTGATCAACTCAAAATGTTTTAAATCCATTTTCGTCAAAAGAAATATGGGGTCTCTGTTAACAATAACAAGTAAATGGAAAAATGTTCAGATTTCATATATCTAAAACCGTGAAATTTCCCAATTTCCTAATTGTCCTTACGGTTTCTAATAATTGTTTACTATATGTATGTGTTAAAATGAACTACTAACCACCTTATTGACCTTGAAATTTTCTAACACTTCGAGAAATATTCAAATATCCCTCTCTTATTATGTCTACAGCAAGATCCATCCTTCTAGTAAGCATTGCAGGATTAATTACCCAAATTATTTCGTTTTGGCCAAAAACAAATATACCGAAATGCACCACCCTTTGAAAAATGTTAACAGTTTTCGGCAGTTTAATCAATCCGCCTAACTAAATAATGAAAAACACATATTGCGTGATAAGAAAACTGGTTGGTGGTCAATGTTGTTTACATACTACACACACATATTGTCAAGTTGCACATTATCAGGTCATTATCGACAATTTATTGGAGTACGTTAATAAAATTTAAGACGTTGCTGGCAGCAGTAACTCAATTTAAATTGCGATTATAGTTTTCATTTTGCAATTGTCATGGCTTCCTCATACCACAGAAGGAAATAAAGAAAAACACAATTCAAATATCCTTATCATTTCAAAAATTAATTCAAACAAAATTCAATTGAAAAATGATGAGTGATTATAGAACGTTATCAGGACGTACATCAGACTAGGAATTAATAGCAGCGATCGACACCGACACAAACACCACCTTTAACTTCAACCCGTCCGCCTACTACAATTATCACCGTTGATCATATCGACGCTTCAAGAAATCTCGGCGAACTAACCGTTTTGTTGTTGTTGGCATTGCAATAAAATATTGAAACACAACGAATACAACAATAATCATTGTTAGACGAACGGACAACGAATACTACGACTGTTTTTGAAAATAATTGATAAAATGTTTTGTTGAAAATATTTCTACCATTAATTGTTTGTTTGTTTTTTGTTTGAAAAAGCTAAACGCTTTGCTTGGCAGAGGTAGTGGTCAGTTTATTTTGATTTTCGAATACCCTATCCAAAGTTGTGAGACTGCAGAATGTTTATTTATATTTTTAGCAAGTACAACCAACCATTGATCTAAAATATTAACTTTACATATTGATTTTAAGTATTTCGAGGGCTTCAAATATATTCTCCAAACACACTATTTATATGTTTATATTAGAAATTTTTACCGGTGTAAGCTTATTTATGAGAATTTTTTTTTTTTTTTTGACGAATGACAATTTAAATCCACTTGGCTTATCAAATTTGGTACACTGTAAACGTACTTGTCGGATTTATCTTTGAAGAACCAGTTTAGTTTCGCATAGCAAGAAGAAAGAAAACAAGTAAAAAAGCTGTAAGTTCGGCCAGGCCGAACTATGAATACCCTCCACCGTTTGGAACGAATTTGGCAATTGTCAAAAAAAAAAAATAAATAAATAAAATGCGGTTAAAATCTTAAAAATACCGAATGTAGTTGTTATATTATGGTCTATATGACGACGTGAACCTGCATAGGCAACTTTTGTCATAGACCATTACAATATTCAAATTCGAAACTTGGAAACAATTCGGGGAATAATGTAACTAAAATACTCAAAATAACGATAAATAATGAGGTGCCATTATATGGGGGCTATACCAAAACGTGGACCTACACAGACAATTTTCTGTCATGGGCTTAAAGTGTCCATTACGAACTTCAAATACCAACATTTGAAACAATTCCGGTGAATAATGTCGCAAAAATCATCAAAATACCGAATATCGGAAGGTACCGTTATATGGTGGCTATACGAAGACGTGGATCTGCACAGACAATTTTCTGTCTAAGGCTGTAGTATCCATTACGAACTTCAAATACCAAATTTTAATCATTTACGGTGAATAATATCGCTTAAATCACTCAAATGCCGAAAATAGGGAGGCACCATTATATGGGCGCTATACCAAAACGTGGACCAACATGGTCCATTTTCAATACCAAAAGTTCTGTAGACATAATATACATTTGAGTAAAATTCTACCAACCTACCTCATTACGTTCGGAAGCTAGGTGTTACAAACGGAATGACAAACTTAATATACCCTTTATACTATGGATATAAAAACGAATGGCGTTGCATTAAATTTGAATGGCATCACTTTTACCATGTTCATACGATCGTTGTATTTTTGACACCAGGAAATTTAAATGAATGCCTATTCTGTAGGGGAAATTACAAGATAGATACCTAGTGTATTCTAGGTAAAGAAGTTTACTATCAAGAAGGCGACTCTAGTGTACTGGAATTCTAAAATCTTCCTTAAAAACAAATTAGCTATAGGAAAACATTACAAAAACAACAGCATGGCGTTGTATTCGAAGTGATTGGCATAACTTTTACAATGTTCATATGGTTGTTGTATTTTTGTAACATTCGTGGGGACATTACAAGCTAGATTGCAGTCGCAGTGCATTCATTCTAGGTAGAAAATGTACTTTTCTGAAAGGAGACTGAACTGATTTGAACTCTGCCTACTGATATTGACTCTCAATACCATTAAATCTTACAAAATCAAATCTGAAGTCAGATTAGCTATGGCAAAACATTGTAACCTTCAAGGCGAAAAACAGCACGCAATATTAGGATCTCTCTCCAATTTGCGGTTCTAATCGTTGAGCATTGGGTTTAGTTTCATGAGTGATCACATTCATGGCATCACTTCTACTATGTTCATACGGTCGTTGTATTTTTGGCAACACGAAACTTAAAGGAATGCCTATTCTCGACATTCAGTACAGTACATTCTGGGCAGGAAAATTTACTTTTGAACAGGCGACTGAAATCTACGCATTGATAATCAATTAGAACTTAAAAGCATCAAATCAGAACTGAAGGCGATAAACGGCACACAATCTCAAGATCTCTCTCTCTCTCCCTCTCTAGTTTGTGGGTCTAATCGTTCAGCATCGGGTTTAGTTTCATGGTAGAAGAATACAGGTAGATGCATCATCGCTTAGGTTCAAGTTGCAGTGCTCTATTTTATATTCGTTATGAAACGCAGGGTACATATCATTCGTATTAATCTCCCCTGCATCATGATCGCTAATAAAACGTAACGATTTGATTACTGTTTTATTTGTAGTTTTACATTTGTAAGCTCTATTCGATTAAAGCTATGATTTTGCTTGTGCCTGCCGCTACTATCGCTGTTGTTGTTGTCGTAGTTGCTGGAATTGAAATAAGCCGTGCATAAAAGCAAATATAAAATGCACATTTACACGCGTCCGTTCAAATGTTTTTCAAACAAAAAAATGCATTCCATGAAGCAGCGTCAATTAATTCGAAGTTCAAGAACAGATTAGTCAACGAATTGAAAATGACAGTGAATTTGGCTAGTGCTGGACTTTGAAGTCTGTAAATAGCCAACGTCCAATATAACCTGATTTGATTTTTTTTTCTGTTCTGATGAATATAGTGTACTTGTTTCAACAGAATTTTCATATGAACAATATCGGGATTTTAAATTAATTAAACACATTATCATATTAATGCATTTGATGTTTTAAATATACCTTGAACAAACATTTTTTTTGTTTTAATGAGAGGAAATGCTAAAAAGTAATTAAAGAATATTTTTGTGGATTAGGTAGGAAAAGTCGTACAGTACGGATACAAAAAAATGCATTCTTGTGTGAGAGTGTTTATTTATGTCTCTTTTTTCGCATTCTTCCCTCAGCCTTGTTACTTTCCAGGGAAAACGAAAAAACTGTTTCATACGATATTTGTTTCAGGCAATTTGGAGTTAATTTAACAACGTCTGTCACTTTTGTCTCGCAGGCACAGTTGTCCAATATTGAGCAATTCGTATCTGACCTAAGTCTGATATACTAATGTGGAAATATGCGTGAGGTAACAGATATAGCGGAACGAAGTATTCCATTTTCATACTTCATCCAATACAGATAAAATTATTGGTATGTGCAAAATTTGAAGGAAATCGAACATTTATATCCACTTTTATGCGAAATCATAGATTCCGATAAATAACATATTCATATCTGATTTCTGGTTAAATGAAATATTTAGATATAGCAAGTTGTAAAGAGTCGCCGACTTGTTTCGCAAGTTATGACAGACATAAGTATACATAAGTACTTGAACCCTATGTAGAGGAGGTACCAGAAGAAATGCTCCGATCTCTACCATCTTTATGACAGTGTTTCTTGTGTTTATGGAAATATTGAGATGTGACAAGTCTGAATGGGATTGGATGTAAATTTCGTGTTTTATTAGCTTAATGAATACTCAAACTTTTTGACCATTTGTGGGGAAGGAACCAGAAGGAGTGGACCGATATATTCCATTTTCACACCAGACCTTGAGTTAATAAAAATATTGTGATGTGTGTAATTTAGAGAGTACCGGATGCTTATTTCGGATTTTATGATCGTTTTGTATATTCAAAATGTTGATCCTTTGTGGGGCATATACCGATATCTACCATATTTATAGCAGATCTTGTGTTTATGGAAATACTGAGATGTGACAAGTCTGATAATTTGTTAATTTCGTGTGTTATGAGCTTAATGAATGTTCGAAACTTTGACCCCTTATGGGAGAGGTACCAGAAGGAGTGGATCTATAGATTCTATCTTCACACCAGACCTAAGGCTAATAAAAATTTTGTGAGGTGTGAAATTTGAAGACAATATAAAGTTATAATTATTCAAAATTTTTACTCTTTGTGTGGGAGGTACTTGATGGAGTGAACCGATATTGTCCATTTTCGCACCTTACATGACTCTGATGTAAATATTAGGATTTGCAAAGATGGAACAAAACCGTATTATCTTTTCTATTTCTGTGCAGTAAATTATTTTCTTTAAAAATGTTGACATTTTGTAGGGGAGGTACCAGAAGGAGTGGACCGACATTGCCCATCCCCGAACTCGATCTAAGTTTGACAATAATATTTCAATGTACCCAGTTTGGATCAAATCGACTACTTCCTTCGAGAGAGTTGGCCGCATCAAATGATATATACCCTCTCTAGCCATATGGCTGAGGGTATAAAAACGTATAATTCATATAAAGCACACGGTAGCACACGGCATTTTTGGTTGGAAATCCATACAAAAAATCCAGAATTTAGCAAAAAAAAAAATCTTAAAGTTATTCCTAACAAGTAAAAAATCGGATTGAGAACTTATTAAGAACTACAAATACTAATTTTTAGACAAATCCGTGGAAAAATGTCCCAAAAAGTATCAAAATAGCGAATATCGGGATGCACCGTTATATGGGGGCTATACGAAAACGTGTGGTATTTTCAATACCAATTATCCTAGACACAATACAATTGGTTCTGACAAATTTTGAAGCTCTACGTCAACAGGCAGACGGACATCGTTAAATCTACTTAGAATTTTATTCTGGTTATGAATATACGACGACGAATATCCCGTAATGACAAAGTTAATATACCCTCCTTTTCCAGGTGAAGGGTATAAAAATTATATATCCGGTCAAATTTTACCAATCGTACTGACTTGGCTAGGTTTAAGGATGCGTAGTTACACGGGATTCGGCAGCCTCTTTATTGGTCTGCGGTTAAGTCGACATAACATCAGCCTTGCCTTCTCTTGCTTTGAAGGGTGGTACATCCAATTTAGGCACCGCAGAGGCCTTCTTTGAAAGTTTCTGTGATATGATATCCTTTGATGTCACCCTTTCAGATGTGCAGAGGATTCCCGCTGACGTCGTTTTTGGGGCCTCGACTGGTTTTACAACTGTTTTGTATGTGGAGTTCCTGCTTATCGGTAGTTCTCTTTAGTGTTAACGTTAGGGCATGTCCTATCGAACTTGATAAAAGAACTTTAGGTTCACACTGATAAGCCGCAGATCCTTATCAGTGAGTTTTTGTTTTAACACGTATTAAAAGTAAGCCAAATCGAAGATCTGGATGGCATTATACAAGTTGTTCTAAGATGTAACCTTTTTTGGTTAGGTAGAGGAAGAAACGGATTTAGGTATTCCCAATCAAAAACGTCTTAATTTTTATAAATATATTATGATATACAAATTTTGTATCAACAGAATAAGGATTTTTGTGGAGGAAGTAACAGAAAGAGAAACTTTGTATATCATTATCGTACTTCTTTGAATTCCGTTCAAATTTTTCGAAATTGTGAAGCTTAGGAAATCGGGAATTGTTCTCAGCTATACAGGGTGAGATAAAAAAGTGCAACAAAGTCAAAAGCCATAATTTTTACATTTTTTTTAATTTTATTGAATGAAAGCAAAAAATGTCGGAAATAGCATCAAATTTTAGAATAAGTTTAGATTTGTTCGAATTGGTTATCTTTAGCACGAATTATGGCCCTCAAACGGCCAATGAAACCGTCACACGCTGCCCGAATGTTGCTCTGCGGTATTATGCCCCATTCCAGGCGAAGCTCTTGCTTGAGGGATCGTCATATTGGTATTTTTTACTGCCAACCTTGCGGAGAAAAACAAATTCGGCAGTTCACCACTTTCGGCCAAGCGAAGCAACTCTTTAGCTCTTTTGAGTCTATTTTCTTTCTGTTGCGGTGTAAGTTCTTGCACTTTTTGGAATTTCAATGAGTTTACCGCGAGCTCAGTTTTCAATGTTTGCCGAATGGAAGAAAGAAGGTATCCCAATATCTTCAGCTCACGAGCCATTTTTCGATCAAGTCGCTTCTTTATATTTCGAACCACTTCTGCTGATGTTGCTGTTTTCTTTCGTCCACTTCCTTGACGCCGGGCTACGCTATCACTATGACAGCAACGAGCGATGCTACGAAACGCAAAAGATTTATTCACATTTAAATGCTGGAGTGCTCTAACGATAGCCACTTGAGGTCTTCCAGCCAAACATAAAGAAATCACACTATTACCCTCGAATTCCATCATGAATAACTTTTTTTCTGGAAAATTCTCACCAAAATGCTTTTGTACGCTTGTAAACAATATAATGAGTTGTCACTGGAATCATTTTAACAGCTGTCGGACCAATGGCTTTGAAATAACAGCAGTCTGAAGTTGTTTGCAGTTTTTTCATCTCAACCTGTAAATATATAGTGCCATAAAGAGCCCTCGAGCTTAAACATTTGTGTAATATCACAATATAAAATATATAATATGTATGTATATTTCTTTCGATCTCAAAGCTCGCATTTCATCTCCAGATTCATTGTCGTTTTCTATTTCTTAAGAGTTAGGATATTTATATTCTTAAATCTAAGGATTATATATCATTTCTAAATCACAGCTTAATTTTCCTCCACCAAAAATGCCTTCTCATCGAAACAGTCTCGATCCACTGGACGATTCCAGCCGAAAATCCTTCGTACAATATAAAATATTAGAACTAAACATAGGGATACTAAAGCCGAGGTTATCGGCACCACAATCAGCATATCGGCCATTGGTTGGCTCATAGTGTACTCCAGCAGTACTATGGGTAGACTCATATTCAGCACACTCGTCTCTATGGCAATGGTCATAGAATCGGTGGCTGTACGGCATAGCAATTTCGTAAGGATAAACGATAGAATATAGCCCAGCAGAGGTAGGCACAAGGCCAACAAGAAGATCTGAAAAGGCAATTTGAAAATTTAATATTGAATTCAAATATATTTTTCATATCCATGCATACCAATAATGTTATTTCACCAAAAATGTAGTAATTCAAACCCACCGTCAATGCCACCAAACACAAACTGAGCACTATGGATAGGGGCTTCAGGAAACGGAAAATAAAACGTATCGTCTTGGGTATGCACATGCGTAACATCACACCCACCACTAAGGCCAGGCAAAGGCCAACACATCCCACGCCCAAATCAATGAAGGGTAAATCGAATTTATGTTCTGGATACAGGACGGGACCCATTAGAAACACCCACAAAGGTAACATGCCCAAGGCCAGGATACTATTCACCGTCGTTGTGGCCAATGAGAGGTTCACATTACCCCTTAGGAAGATATTACAAATATTGGCAATACCACCACTGGGCGTAATGGCAGTGAAAAATGCAGCCAATTGCAGTGGCTTGTTGTCTTTGAACATCAAAGCACCCAGACCCAAGGCCAAACCAGGCATTATGATATAGCGACAGCAAACACCCAGCAGGGGTCCAATTGGTCGGCTAAAAATGTTGACCAAACGTTGCAAATCCAAAACGGTACCCAAGTTTATAAACATCAGCAGAGCTATGGCCGCAGCTGTATAAGTAAGGGTATTATCAGCCACACGTTTGGTACGTCTCACAACCACCTCCAGGCTTTGAATACTATGCTCCGAACGACTTGTCACGGGATCCACTAGTTTCACATATAACCTAGTGTAACCAAAATGTAAGCCATTAACAGCGAATTCGCCTTGCCATTTGTCTGGACTTGGAAAATCTCTTATGGTGATAAGCTTCTCCTCCTGCACCTTGGCCAATTTTTCATTTTCCACATAAATTTCGAAATATGAATCCTGATTATCAGCAGTTCCTGCCACATCATATATCGTCAATGGCAAAACATCTCTTCTCGAAGTCCATAAATCAAGTGTTTCCACAGAGTCGTTTTGACCACCATATTGTACCTTCCATTGACCTGCAATGTTGCCATAATCATCGGAAAGCACCTTCCCACTTTGATGCACAAACAGCAGAATGACTAAAAGCCATTCGATGGCGCCGTAAATTTTACTTCTTATGACCTTCATGTTTCTTCAGCTACTGACGAATAGCTTCACATCTTCAGTTAATGTAGAATCAGCTGCGTCAATTATTGCCAATTATTCAAACAAAAGAAAATGTTCCAAAATTTTGTTTTTTTGTTTTTTTTTTTTTTTTTTTTTTTTTTTGTGGTATCACGGCGTTAATACCAACAATCGCCAACTGACCCTGATAACTGCAATTGATTTATAATTGGAACAGTTGAATGTTGTTTGTTTTTTCTTTATTCGTTAGGTTTTAAATTCCTTTATCGGCCAACTTCTGTTTCTGACATTGTTTATAAACAGAAGCCAGAAATGATCAAATGAGTAGCTAGAAAACAAGTGTTTTATTAGAGGTTGGATGAAGTGTGGTGTTGCAAAGTGGGCTGGCTAGATCGAACCCCCCAAGTCAATGGTCTTTATGGTCAGTGCGCTGCATGGAGAATGATTAGAATTTAATTGGCGAAAATAACAACTGCCTAAAACGGAAATAAACTCTGGCGATTTATTAGAAACCCTCTGCAATGAAGGACCATAAATAGGCTCGAAATATTGTGAATTGCCGGTGCTGTTGAAGGTATAATACAAGGACTTTTATTGACAAATTTGTTGCTTATACATTATATTTAGCATTTAAAGCATGCTTTTAGGCGCCCTCAATTACTCTTCAACATAAAGAGAAGTGAAATAACTAACAGACTGACTGAGAATCAACATCCTGGCGAAATGGCTGAAGCTAGAATCTTGAAGTTTTGTACGAGGGTCTGTCTTCGTGCGAAAAGTACTAAACTGTACCAAAAACAAGTAAAATAGTATCAGTCGGTTTTGCCGACAGATGTATATCCCCAGCCTTGAGTTATAATTATTAGAACTGTTAACCCTCTATTGGTGATGTTCCGAAGCAGCTGGCCAATATTGACCTATTCGTATCTGTCCTAAAACTGATATAAATATTACAACATGCCAGATTTGGACTATATTGACTATTTCCTATACTTTATACGATAAATGCGCCAATTTTTGAAAAATGACCGAACTATTCCATTTTTGGTTATTCAAAACATTGACCCTTTGTGGGGCAGGTACCAGAAGTTATTGTCCGATCTCTACCATCTTTATAACAGATCATGTGTTTATGGAAATATTGAGATGTTGTGAATGAAATCTGATGTTTATTTCGTGTTTTATGAATTGCTTCATGAATTTTGAACCTTTGTGTGGAGGTACCAGAAGGAATGGGCCGATATATTTCATCTTCACACCAGACCTTGGGTTAATAAAAATATTGAGATGTGTGAATTTCGAAGACAATCGGACTCTTACATCAAATTTTATAAAAGTTTTTCATTAATTCAAAATTTTGACCCTTTTTTTGGGGGAGGTACTTGATGGAGTGGACCGATATTGTCTATTTTCGCACCTGATCTAGCACTGATGCAATTATTAGGATTTGCAAAGTTGAAGCAAAATTGGATTATCCTTTCTCTTTCTGTGCAGTAAATTATTTTCTTTGAAAATGTTGACATTTTGAGTGGGAGGTAGAAGAAGAAGTGTACCGATATTGCCCATCTCCGAACTCGATCTAAGTTTGACAATAATATTACGATGTACCAAGTTTGGATCAAATCGGATACTCCCTTCGAGAGTTATCGTGCGCAACAGCCGGACGAACGGACCTCGCTAGATCGACTCCAAATGTCCTGAAACGGATTTGGTCCAAAGAGATCTAGGGTCTAACACCGATATTTCGATGAGGCACTTTTTGGCGATGTCAAATGACATATACCCTCTCTAGCCACATGACTGAGGGTGTAATTAAATCCTCTGTATTGAAGAAAAGGAATGAGCTAGAATTCTGCAATTTGGAATGAAAGTCACTGATGGAGTCCAGAATAGATGTACCAAAGAGTTTTTGTAAATTCAAACTTTTCAAACGAAATATACTAAATAGTATAGGTGAGGTTTCTGTTGGTATCTGGAATTGAGATATGAAGATGTGTGCTGAAATCCTGTCTGTGGTTAAGATATGGAGCTGGTTTTAAAAATGTGTATCACAGGTGCATGGAAAGTACTGAATGGTACTACATTTGGTATTTGAAAGGAATAGGGATAAAATTCGGAAAATTTATATTTAGATTACTAATGGTACCTGTTTTTGAGATTTGGCGGTGGTTTGAAAATGAATCCTATATCGTTACCGTGATACTGGTAGCGTAGCCCGACGTCAAGGGAGTGGACGAAAGGAAACAGCAATTCGGCAAATATTGAAATATGAGCTCGGGGTAAAGTCATTGAAATTCCAAAGAGTGCTAAAACTTACACCGCAGCGTAGACTCAAAAGAGTTGCTCCGCTTAGGCGAAAGTGGTGAACTGCCGAATTTGGTTTTCTCCGATGAAAAAACATTCGTTGTCCAGCAGTTTGTAAACAAACAAAATGATCGTGTTAACTTGCCAAAGAGGTCACTTAAATATGTGCACCTTCGGTTGGCCACAAGAACTCAAGCACCGGCCATGGTGATGGTGTGGGCCGCCATAACAGCCGATGGTCGCTCTCCGCTTGTATTAAATTACCGTGGCATCAGAATTAATGCCGAATATTATCGCGAAAATATTCCCAAGAATGGTTACAAAATGGGGTCCTCGCTTCATTTCCAGCGCACAATGGCCAATAAAATCTCCGGATACCAATCCGTTGGACTATTGTGTCGGGAGTATTTTGGAAAGCAAGGTTGGCACTAAAAAATACCAAAGTGTCGATCACCTCAAGCAATCGCTTCGCCGGGAATGGGCCAAAATACCGCAGAGCGACATTCGGTCAGCGTGTGACGGTTTCATTGGCCGAAGGTCATAATTCGTGCCAAAGGTGACCAATTCCAACAAATCTAAACTTATTCTTAAATTTGATGCTATTTCCGACATTTTTTACTTTCATTCAATAAAATTTAAAAAAAATGAAAAATATGGCATTTGCCTTTGTTGCTGTTTTTTATTTCACCCTGTAATTTACTAAAACAAGACTTACATTTAATAATTGATTATCTTCCTTTTCAGCCCCTTGCAAATTGCGATGATCCTAATGTTGGTTCGGGACGCATCTTTTCTACGAAAATAAATCTAGAGAATGCCATCAAAGCTGTACAAAAACATATTGGATTGGATGTACATGTTGCAATGGGCGTCGAACATACCCTGGCAACGGACATTAAAAAAGTAGCTGTTTGTGCCGGTTCAGGAGCTTCATTGTTGCGCGGCGTCCAGGCAGATCTGTATATAACCGGTGAAATGTCTCATCATGATGTTTTGGATGCAAATCATCAAAATATCTCGGTAATTTTATGCAATCACAGTAATTCGGAGAGGGGTTTCTTGAAGAAATTCAAAACGAAATTGGAAGATATGTTAAACGAGCAATGCGAGGTATTGGTTTCTGAGGCGGACGAAGATCCAATTAAGACACATGTGAAGCCAAGGGATAATTAAAAGTGGTAATTTCCTCATTTTCCCCATTCGATATGGACCAAAAATGCATTTTCTTCAGCTTGAATTGATCATTTTACTTTTTCGTTACTGTCAAAAGTGTTTATTTTTATTTTTGTATTATTATTATTATAAAATATGGTTTGGCTAACTATATAGTATATAAAATGTTGATATATGAAAAAACCAAATAAAAAAGATGTTGTGAAACTAAAACCAAAACGGTGCACGAAATGCTGACTAACAAGTGACTTTCAATTGGGGGAGGGGGGATGAGAACACAAAAAGAGGATACAAAATAAAAACGAGCATGGAATGATTTCTAGAAAAATACCACAAAGTTTTTTGTATTTTATTTAGAAAAAGTTAACTTTTACTTAAAACTGGATGTTATGGGTTTCATAGGTTATGTTTTACGGTTTAAAAATACTAGAAAATACTTGAAAATTAAAAAAAAAAATTAAATAAAATTTTGTTTAAAAATATCTGTGTATACACTCGTAAAAATTATAAAACAAAAACAGAAAAATTATTAAGATTTAAGGAAAAGGAAAAGAGGAAGAGGTCATATGTAATAGAAAAAGAGCAAATTTGACATAAATGCATTTTTTTTATAGAAATTGTAGACAAACAAGAAAATAGAATTGTATAACAATTTTGTTGTTGTTAAGGGAAGAAGTAAAGTATAATTCTTATTGTTTTTGTTTGTTTTCCATTTTTGCATACAAAAAATAACAAGGACTAAAGTCAAAATTTAGATAAAGAACAGCATTGAAGGTAGTATTTAGAATTACAAGCTGTTTTGGTATGGAAGATTTGGAAAGTTCTTTAGCAACTTAGCATAATTTTGTTTGTTTGTTTTAAATGACTTTCTAGTGTAGTGTTTGATGAATATGCCGGTTGAAACACCTCACATTTGTTAATCGTTTTAATGCATTCTTTGTCACCTTCATCAATAATTGTTTTATGTTTGCGGAATTTCATTTTGTATAGTGTTTCCCAAATGAACACGAATTATATTCGTTTTCAGGCTGTTATTTTCTGTAGTTTCTGTAATACTTTAAGACCTTGCTCTTGATACTCTTGCTTCGACATCCAGAAGGCATCACGATCTTTGGTTACTTCAGCCAAGACAGCACCACCAATGAATACCATGTCTTTTCTTCGGGGTGGATCTTCAATGCGAATTTTGAATTTCTGGAACAAAAGAAAAAATAGGAAAACATGATTAGGAAACTTTTTAGTCTTTGTATATATTTTCAAGATTTGATATTTAAACATCTATTATATTTAAAACTAAAAGTAGGGTATTTTCGGGACTATGGGGAAACTTTTTTATTAAGCTGGCTGGCGTACAGGGTGAGATAAAAAAAACTGCAACAAAGTCAAATGCCATAATTTTTACATTTTTTTTAATTTTATTGAATGACAGCAAAAAAATTCCGGAAATAGCATCAAATTCTGAAACCGTCACACGCTGCCCGAATGCTGCTCAGTGGTATTTTGGCCCATTCTCGGCGAAGACCCTGCTTGAGGTGATCGACACTTTGGTATTTTTTAGTGCCAACCTTGCTTTCTAAAATACTCCAGACACAATAGTCCAATGGATTGGTATCCGGAGATTTTGATGGTGTGCGCTGGAAATGAAGCGAGGAACCTCATTTTGTAACCATTCTTGAGTGGCACGTGCTGAGTGCGATGGTGCTGAGTCCTGTTGGAATGTCCAAGGTGCCCAAGGCTTTAATACACCCTCCAGAATATTTTCGCGATAATATTCGGCCTTTATTCTGATGCCACGGTCGATCAATACGAGCGTAGAGCGACCATCGGCTGTTATGGCGGCCCTCACCATCACCATGGCCGGCGATTGAGTTCTGGTGGCCAACCGCCGAAGGTGCACATTTTCAGCTAACCTCTTTGGCAAGCTAACACGATCATCCAGCCAAATATAAAGAAGTCTCATTATCACGCATGAAGTCTATCAGGAATAACATTTTTTTCTGCAAAATTCTCACTAAACTACTTTTGCACGATTGTAAACAGTATAATGAGTTGTCACTGGAATAATTTTAACAGCTGTCGGACGAGTGGCTTAGGAATGACAGCAGTCTGAAGTTGGTTGCAGTTTTTTCATTTCACCCTGTATTGTATCAATTTTAAGGCCCGCCACCACTTGAAAAGATTTAAAATCTGGATCTGATTTAGGAAGTTGATGGGGAGCTTCTAGAATAGTTTATGTATGGAGCAAACTTAAAATTGGCCCAGACAATTGAATAGTGGGACACAAATTTTAACTCAGGTCTTTTAAAAATATACAACTACTTCTCCTCATTGTTGGTACCCCCAGTGTTTGCTTCGTCGTTCGTTTACAATTCATTTTTCTTCTTTTCAACTTACCGCCAATTTATCGATGTCATTCTTTAAAACTCTTTCCAAATATAACTGCTTAATTTCACGTTCCAAACGACTAGGTAGGCCGGGATACATGGTCGAACCACCCGATAGCACAATATGTTTATACAATTCTGGACGCATATCAATGTCGGCAGCTTGTATGGTATTGAATACCAATTCGGCAATACCCTGACCTTCAACATTAATCAAATGTGGTTGGAAGAGAGCCTCGGGGGCTTCAAATCGTTCGCCGCCAACTTTTATCACCCGACCATCCGGTAGGGTGTATGATTCCACTAATACTGTCGTTTCCAAAGCCAGTCTTTGTTCCATTTCAATATTGTAACCAATATAGCACAACTTCTCCTTCATCATGCGCACCGTTTCGAAATCAGCGGAATGATTAAATGCATAGCCACGTAATAGGAGTAGCTGAAATTTAAAACGATATTTAAAGAGAATATTTCGTCAAGAAACTAGGCACCTTACCTTGATCAAATAACGGGTAATATCACGGCCGGCAATGTCCAAACGCCTTGTTAAATGCGGCAGAGCAAATTCTTCATATACCGGACATATGTGGGTGACACCATCTCCCGAATCAATAACAACTCCAGATATCAAACCTTGAGCGTAGAGAGTGAGAACAGCTTGTATGGCAATATAGGTTGAATCAAAGCCATATTTTTCAAACATCACCTGATAAAAAGCAGGAAATATGAATTAATTGGTTTTATTTTGAGAGACTGTGTTCCTTACCTCAATCATTTTTTCGCGATTTTTCAAGGGATTCATTGGAGGTTCTGTCAGCAATATTTTGGTATTTGTTGGATCGATATTCATTTTCTTGGGTCCGAATGTGTAATCCCACACATGACACATATCTTCCCAGTTTCGTACAACACCATTTTCCATGGGATATGATACCTCTAATAAAGAACGTAGCTGTGATGCTTCATCACCAACCATTAAATCCTAAAAGTATGCCACATTATATTCCAAAATTTAAATAGTTTTTTTAAAATGATTATCCAACTAAGTTACAAAAACATATCAAAAGTTAAGAATAGAAATAAACAAAATTAAGGAAGGAAAAAATAACAAAAGAATAAAAGCAAACACTAAAGCTTTAGCTTTACAAACCACATCTATTCGCGTACGACGTCGTGTTTCTATGCTGAGACTAAGGTATACTTTTTAAATCAAATCAGTGCTGGGATACTAATACTAATACAGCAGATATAGGTATCTTCTAATTCAAATGAAAAAGTATAGATCTGTGCTTCTATAATATCATCGTCACTTCTATAATAACGTCGTCAAAGAACTTGGTACATTATCTTTAAATTTAATTTAAAATTCCTTTCAAATATTGTTTGGTCCACGAAATTAAAAAAATCATTAAATCTTTGAAAATTAACTCCAAATAAATCCACATTTGTCGATTTCGGGAGTGGCCGAATATATGATATGCTACACCACTATGATGAGCTACCCGTAACAAATAGACGTTTATATTGGGAATTTATGTCAAGTAGATCATACCAACTATGAGCCTTTTTTGTATGTATATAATGTTTAGAGCAGGAGCTAATATATTGCAGGTATATCCAAGATTAAAAGATATATGTATATCGGAGCAGTAGACATATGGAAAAAAATCGGTCGTAAAAATCCACTCCATTTAGACTAATCCCACGAAAGTGTATGCAGGGTGAGATGAAAAAACTGTAACCAACTTCAGACTGCTGTCATATCTAAGCCACTCGTCCGACAGCTGTTAAAATTTTTCCAGTGACAGCTCATTATATTGTTTACAAGCGTACAGAAAAAAAGTTATTCGTGATGAAATTCGTTATACTGGAAGTGTGGCCCGACGTCAAGGAAGGGGACGGAAGAAAACAGCAACTTCAGCAGAAATGACTCGAAAAGTAAAGAAGCGACTTGACCGAAACCCGCGTGACTCGTGAGTTGAAAATATCGCAATATTCCATTCGGCAAATATTCAAAAAGGAGCTCAGAGTAAAGCCATGGAATTTAAAAAAAAAAAACAGAAAGAAAATAGATTCAAAAGATTTGATGAGTAAACACTCGTTGTCCGGCAGTTTGTAAACACACAAAATTATCGTGTTTATTTGCCAAAGAGGTCAGCTGAAAATGTGCACCTTCGGTTGGTCACCAGAACTCAAGCGAAGGCCATGGTCGCTCTCCGCTCGTATTAATCGATCGTAGCATCAGAATAAATACCGAATATTATCGCGAAAATATTTTGAAGGGTGTATCAAAGCCTTGGACACGCAAACATTTTTGCCGCAGACCTTTAACATTCCAACAGGACTCAGCACACGCTAAACAAGAATGGTTACAAAATGAGGTTCCTCGCTTCATTTCCAGCGCAAAATGGCCACCAAAATCTCCGGTTACCAATCCGTTGGACTACTGTGTTTGGAGTATTTTGGAAAGCAAGGTTGGCACTAAAAATACCAAAGTGTCGATCACCTCAAGCAAGCGTTTCGCCGGGAATGGGCCAAAATAGCGCAGTGCAGCCGCTTGTTACGGTTTCATTGCCCTTTTGAAGGCCATAATTCGTGCCAGAGGTGACCAATTCGAACAAATCTAAACTTATTATAAAATTTGATGCTATTTCCCACATTTTTGCTCTCATTCATTAAATTTAAAAAATGTAAAAATTATGGCGTTTGACTTTTTTGCAGTTTTTTTATCTCACCCTGTATATATATCCGAGCAGTAAACATCGTCTACTCAATGGAAAAAAAATTGGTCGTATGTGCAAAAATCCATTCCATTTAGGCTAATCGTACGAAAATATATATGGGAGACATACAAATCTGAACCGGTCTTGATTAATTTGAGAGACTTATTTGTGAGATATATCTAATATCTGTTGCCAAATATTTATTGTTGTGGAGTGCATATTACGAATGTGAGGGCTTTAAACCCAAATTCCGATTAACATACATCTGGAATGTATTGCTATTTCTGAATCGATTCAGAATGTGATTCTATGAAGATCATCAATGGGAACCATGGGTCACAAAGCCATGATACCTTGCACTACAATGCAAACACGTATGTAGATCACACAAAAATACACGTGAAGAAGATTTTCTTAAAAATATCAATTTTTGTGCCTGGAGATCCTTGAAAATGACTTAAAAATCCATGCTTGTGGGTTTGTAGATTAGTAAAAATAGGTTTCTTTGTGGCCTTGCACATCCTTGACAAATTCATTAAATAATTACGTTTGCGACCTGGAAAATAATCTAAAAACTCCTTTGTGTCGTTGCAAATCTTTAATTTTTATTCCTAAAAAATAGCTTGTCATATTATTGGAAAAAATCTTAAAAATCCAATATGGATTTGAAGACATGCTAAATCTGAAATACTGTCTGATCTCAATGGAACTATAAATATGGCTTACTTGAAATTCTATGGCCATTTTCACATTTATTTTTAACCTTTCATAATTATAGCTTTGTTTAAATTGTAACCGTACAAACAAATAATCATGCATTCTAACGAAATGTATGTGTTAGTAGGTAAAATAAAATAAATAAAAAGAAAACAAAATAAATAAGAAAATCAAACCAGAAAAACTGGAACAACAAACATTCATAACAAAACGAAAATTACAAAATAGTAATCTATTCAAGAAAGCATTCTATGCAGAGTCAATTATTAATGCAGAACAATTTCATTTGGAAACAATAAAAAACGGGAATTACAATATAAATATATTTAAAACAAATATAAAACTGATCAAATCGAAACTATAACAACGTCTATTTGGCTAAATTTCATTTTAAAAAGGAACAATTTTAGTGGCGGTTAGTTAGTACGCAGAAAAACGGACAACTAATTCAAATCGATCATAGGCAAAACAAAACGAAACAAAACAATTTGGTAATTGGTGATAATTGAAATTAGGAGACTATAGACTTACATCAACGTGTAAATCCTGTAAAAATATTCAAAAAACAGATTTATCCAAAACAAGTTTTTTTATTTATTTATACATATAAATAAAGAAGAACGAAAAAAGAGATATGTATATAATGTATTTTGTTTGTCTTTGGTTGTTGGTATTATATTCATATAAATGTTGTATATTATAATAATTCACAAAACTAAACTAATGAAAATAGCAGTATAATGCTATAATTTGGTGAAAATAATTGAATGACTGACTGGCAGATTGTGTGACAGATTAGTTAATGAAAACTTACCTTAACTTCGATATCTCCAATTTTGTTAACAGCACGAATGATTGGCCTGCCAACCATTGAGGGAAAAATATGTGCGGGAAAGTTACTGCCGGCATAACCGCATTTGACAAACTGAAAAAATAAAAATATTTTTATGATAATTATTAATATATTAAAAATAATTGATTATATAATTCCTAATTTTTTTAAGACAATTAATATTCTGCGACAGGGAAAAAGTGTCCATATGACAAAATCTCTTGAAAAATTATTCGATGGTATTTTGTGTTATGTCCTTTTAGGGTGTAAAAACCTCGCTATATAGGTATATATAGAGTCCGTAATCTAACGATTTTTACAAGTCTGTAATCTTTGATTCTTTAACTAACGTTTATTTCGTGAATGGTAACACTTAGCTCATGTCTGATTTCAAAGATAATTAGTTGTATCTTTCCACTGAACGAATATGGTTATGTATGCTTGAACAATGCTGGGAAATGTTGCGGTATTACTTTGAAAATCATTTCAATGTTGCAGAATGTGTGTGAAAATTGTCTACGAATTTTGGAAGAAGACAAGCGCCGAAGGTCCGCATGAAAAAAGCTAAATTATCGCATTTGGGAAACAAAACAAGTAAAAAAGCTAAAAACTCCGCCGGGTCGAACTTTGAATACCCTCCACCGTTTGGAACAAATTTGGCAATTTTCAAAAAAATAAAATCCGTTAAAAATTCTTTTAAAATTTTAAAAATAGCGAATGTAGGCGTTATATAAGGGTCTATACGAAGACGTGAATCTGCATAGGCAACTTTTGTCATAAGTCATTACAATATTCAAATGCGAAACTTGAAAAAAAAATTCGGTGAATAAAACAAATCATCAAAACACAGAATATCGGGAGGTACCGTTATATGGGGGCTATACGAAGACCTGGACCTGCACAGGCAATTTTCTGTCTAAGGCTGTATTATCCATTACGAAATTCAAATACCAAGTTTGTGAATATAACAATTCCGGTGAAAAATGTCGCTTAAATCGCCAAAATACCGAAAATAGGGAGGGGGCTATACCAAAACGTGGACCTACATGGCCCATTTTCAATACCAAAAGTCCTGCAGACATAATACACATTTGAGTAAAATTTTATCAACCTACTTCATTTCGTTCGGAAACTTGAGTGATTTCCTCAGACAGACGGACGTTAAATCGACATAGAATTTTATGCTGATCAAGAATATATATCCTTGTGGGATCTAAAATGTATATTTCGATGTGTTACAAACGGAATGAAAAACTTGATATAACCTTCCACACTGTGGTGGAGGGTATAAAAGCCGCATGCATATATTGAAAAGCCGATGCACCTAAAACGAATCACTGTTTGCTGCGTATTTTGGTCCAGAGGCATAATTGGTCCATCTTTCTTTTATTATCGGACATAGTTGAACAAAAAATTTAAGAGAAGGATATTAGTAACATTTGGTTTCAAACAGCCGAAGCTGCACTCACGATTTTCAAACCTGTAACTGGGCGGTGCCATTATACAACGGTATAATGTACTAGGAGACCACCCCTCTTCCGTCGCAGCTGAAGAACGAGAGCTGCCCTGACAAACTCGAGTAGTTTTGGCTCAATTACGATGCGGATGGTGCAACCGCCTAAATTCCTACTGGGCCCGGATTAACAACGATGTGCAGAACATCTGCCCAGCTTGTGGCACAGGCCCACATGACACACTGCACATATTTCGCGGTCCGGCCAAGCCTACTGACCTAACTCCAGTCTCGTATGAGCTGCTACAACAACAACCTTATACAACGGTCAAAATATGGAACTACACTGACAGTCATTTAAGTAAGTGTTTTAAAATGAAAGATAACCATCACTTGGGGATAATAAGGAGGCGCCAAAATATCAAAAAGGGTCTGGTTGTTTTCTTGGAGGCTAAGCACATGGACTAAAAAAAACATTTTTAAAACATACTTTAAATATAATGGTGAATCCTTCTAAACAAATTCGGTACTATTCGGCTAATCAATCGCAAACATTACTAGAAGTATTCTGCATTGTAAAATATTGATATGATCCTTTGGTTTTTGATTGAAACCTTCAACAAAACTCAAAACACAAGCTCCCATATTAATAGACCTAAGAAATCAATAAAAGTTTTGTTGGTTTACGATAAGGCTTCACCTAACACTAACAACAATAACAGCAATAACAAAGATAACAAAACAAAAACACATTCATAGTGGGTATGAGTAATCGCCGTAAAGATTGAAAAAACTCTAAAGTAGGGTGGTGGTCACTGCTTAAAAATACAAAAAATAACGTTGCATCTAAACAACAACTCCAGGAAATCTATTTTCCCAAAGAAAAAGAAAACAAGTCAACACGTTAAGTGTCATTCGATATCCAGTCGATTGAAAAGTGTGTCACTGGTAATTTTGTCTACTGCTTCTCCCACTTCTTGCTAATCCTCTTGTGCGTGGTGGACATGAGTAGAAATGCATACATGAGAATACTTCTCCACTTTCGTTATTTGTTGTCTACTTACGCCGGTACCATTGTCGCAAACTATAACATTGCGTCCTTTACTATCCATTTTTAACACTTGTTATTCCTTCTGCTTCTGCTGCTTCTTCGCGTTGCACCCACTCTCTGCTCTGCTAGTTCTCTGCTATGTTTTTGGCAAAACTTTTTAAGGTGTGTTCTTTTACTTGTAGTTTCTTGATAACAAGAAACCGCTAAAACCAAGTCACCAACAAATTATCTAAATTATTCTCTTGTATTTATTTATTTAATTTTGCCTTAATTAGACTATATTTTAAATTATTTTATACGACAAAACAAACTTTAGGTTTTTACTGCTGAGATGACGAATAGTAATGTCAAATGTATTGCGGGTGACATTTCATACGGCTGTCAAATATTGAACAACGCCTAGGGTTGCCAAGTTCCTGAGAAACTGTACAATTAGAAGTACCGATTACGCATTATGCATATACAAATATAATATGTAATAGCATGTTTACATTAACATGTTTACATCTGTTCAAAACGCATTTTATGGAGGGTCAATAATTAATGAAAACCTACTTCATTTGGAAACAATAAAAAGGGTGATTACAATACGAATATATAAAACAATATAAAATTGAAACTATGTCTTCATTTGCATGGAAAACGCGTTATCTATAATATATTTTTGATTGTGAGAAGAACAATAATGCCCAAATCGGAACAATAATGGCCAGTTTTTCTAAGGCGATTGAAAATAAAATGATAAAAAATGAGAAACAGATGCAAAAATAATCAAATTCGGTTGTAACAAAATTGCTTATTACAGCGAATGTATAGATAAAATTTGGGTATTTTATGCAATATTAATTTATTAAAATGTGTAGAACTTAGATTTGTTAGAATATTCGAAAAAAAAAACAACTTGTTCTATTGGATTTGATAGTAGTTTCGACATAACAATCTATGCAGGAAGGCCTAATTTCTTACAACTTTTTATACTGTACTATTTTTTTCCAATGTACAATAATTACAAGGTAGGACAGACACACTAAAATAAATAAAACACAACCCTGAAGCTATAGTCTTGTAACTTTAAATTTACTAATAACAAGCGGGCTAGCCCTCTTGATAAGATCGACCAGGAGAGAGGCAAGATACTTCTCAAGTGAACACTTAGGCAGTAGCAGGTGGTTCTTTTTGAACTTCCTCATTGCTTTTAGTTTCGCCCTGATAAGGTTTTTTTCCTTCTACGTCACCTGAGAGGAATTTTTTACAATATTTCACAGACCGTTTTTAACCCCTCTTAGGCTGGAAATACATAAAGCGCTTATCTGGCTGGCTTCTTCGTAGATGAACAAAGGAGTTTTAGGTTTGTTTAGTTCGATTTTGGTCCTAGGCTCCTTTGTTCATTTCCGAAGAAGCCAGCCGATGACTTAAGCCAGTCAGATAAGCGCTTTATGTATTTCCAGCCTTAGTCTTACCCTCCTTTGCGCTGGAGTCACTGCGGTTGATACGGATGTTGGAGGGTGTACTACTTCACTTCACTTCATCACCTTCCACAGTCGCAACCTGCATAGGCACTCGGATATTTAGTCTCAGACTCTCTCTATTTGATTCCATTTGATTCGCAGTTGCCCAATATATCTATCAGGCGTCACTCACTCAGCTATGTATCCAATCCAGAGATTCTGCCAACGGACAGAATGATTAAATTTGAAAAGCACAACCCTTATTTCTAAAAATGAAAATAAGTAAGCTAAAGGTGAGGGTACAAAAAAGGCTTTTTTGACTGGCTAAGTCATCGGCCGGTTTCTTCGTAGAAGAACAAAGGTTGTTTTAGGAGTTTTAGGTTGACTTACTTCGATTTTGGCCCTACGCTCATTTCTTCTTTTTCAAAGAAGCTAACCAATGACCTACGCCAGTCAAAAAGGCGTTTTATGTCTTTTCACCTTTATGTTCCTTCGTTCTCATAAGCTTCTTAAAACTACAGAAATACAGCCCTGATGTTCCTGTCAGACTCATTCAAAATTATATACAACAATTTGTTTTCACTTTTTTCAAATTTTTCCTTATTTTTAAAATGAGTTAAATATCACGAAAAATGAATGTAGTGCCTGGATTTTCTCTCAAAAATATATGGCTAAGTACATAAGAAGCTTGAGGTCATGGCTAGGCATATTAATGTCAAATTATAATGGAAAACGACTGCTGGATTTTAGTGCGGCTCTGTAATCCCTTTGTGAAATGTCACAAAATATGCCTAGCCATGACTTCAAGCTTCTTATGTACTTAGCCCTTATGATCCAAACTGTTCAATCTTTCAACATCGTGGCTAAACTTGTTAATAGCTTTAATGCGCGAGTCGCAATGTACGTGTCTTCCAATCATTGGTTTTGAAAATATATTGTTTTCATTTTTCAAAACAACCAAATACATATACAAAGTTGGCAGAAGTCAGGCACACTTATAAAAAAATTTAATCAGCTGGTAACATTACCTTACCCTTTTATTGTACCATGGAAGTTTAGTTCAATTTCAATTAAGTTCACTTTCGACCCATAATTTATACTTGTTCACCCTACGATTCCTTGTTTTTTACGATGAAGCGAAAACTTAAGCTTGTCAAAAAAGCTTTGTATGTACTCTCGTTAAAAAGCGTTTTATGTATTCTCACATTTAATCCAAGCCTTCTGTGTATTCTCACTTTTATAAATTCAAACTTGATTCGATAAACCGTCCGTTTCATAAAAATATCGATATTGTCGATACATTTAAGAAATAATGGAAATTGAGGGAATCAGATAAGAAAAGAGTAGTAAGGGAAAACACATAAATCGGAGAGTGAAGATATGAAATTTACCAACGCCGACCATAGCTTTAAATCGACTTCGTACTCGCAAATCGGACAGAAAAATACCGATGATTAAAGTTAATAATAGTTAAAAAACCAATATTATCTGCTTGCTGTATGACAATTTAGGGACAAAACGCGTACGCAATGATAAACAAAAGTTGAAGTGAAACACAACAAACGAAATAACAATAATTTTATATTATTTGCGAGGCTGGTGTCTGCAAAAAAATTGTGCGAGAGAGAAAGTGACGAGCAGAAGAAATACCAATCATTTTTGATATTCGCAAAAAAATACAGAAAAAAGCAGAGGAGGTGGTTTCAAAACCTTTCGTGGCTGGATTATTAGAAAGTTAACAACAAGCACAGAAACAATTTCCATCGAACGGCTAATAAAACAAATATTTTGGAAGAAACATTAATTGTTCAGTGAATACATAGCTGCTGCTGCTGCTGTGCTTCTACTCCAAAAAAGGTGGTGAGAGGTGAAAGAAGGAGAAGTAGGAGAAAAAAAACGAAGATTTTCCTTGAGTTGAGGTGGAGGTGGAGTAGTCGAAAAAGTACGAAATTTGGTGTGAGGTGTTGTTGGTGTATAAAGCAAATTTATTCAGTGTACGTTTAGTTTGCTTGTGACAGGAATAATGTCTTCAAATAATCAAACATCTGCCTCGCAAGGCAATCAAAGTGCATCTGGACAAGGATCCACAAGTACCGATCAGCAAACACCAACAGGCCAGTCCAGTCAAGACAGTCCAACGCGCAGTAGCCTAAGACCCGCAACTAACACGACGGATCGTGTTGTCGACAATGTGCCATTTCCACCTAGTCATAAACTGACGATGTCCGAGGTGTTTCCGGATCCACGCACAGGTAAACCCAACCATGAGTTGTTGAAACAGCATTTCATTTTAGAGGGACGCATCGAAGAGGCGCCAGCACTACGAATCATACAAGAAGGAGCAGCATTATTGCGCCAAGAGAAGACAATGATCGACATAGAGGCCCCAGTAACAGTGTGTGGAGACATCCACGGCCAGTTTTATGACCTTATGAAGTTGTTCGAGGTGGGAGGATCGCCCGCTACCACCAAATATCTTTTCTTGGGAGATTATGTAGACCGAGGCTACTTCAGCATTGAATGTGTCCTCTATTTGTGGTCCCTAAAGATCACCTATCCCAACACACTCTTCTTATTACGAGGCAATCATGAGTGCCGTCATCTTACCGAGTATTTCACCTTCAAACAGGAATGTAAAATTAAATACTCTGAACGTGTCTATGACACATGCATGGAGGCCTTTGACTGTCTGCCCTTGGCTGCTTTAATGAATCAACAATTTTTGTGTGTGCACGGTGGCCTGTCGCCTGAAATTCACGAATTGGATGATATTAGGAGATTGGATCGTTTTAAGGAACCTCCTGCCTTTGGACCTATGTGTGATTTGCTTTGGTCCGATCCGTTGGAAGATTTCGGCAACGAAAATAATGCCGATTTTTATACACACAATTCGGTTCGAGGCTGCTCATACTTCTACAGCTATGCAGCTTGTTGTGATTTTCTGCAAAATAATAATTTGCTTTCGATAATAAGGGCGCACGAAGCCCAAGATGCAGGCTATCGCATGTACAGGAAGAGCCAGACGACTGGATTCCCCTCGCTTATAACAATCTTCTCGGCACCAAATTATTTGGATGTGTACAATAATAAAGCGGCTGTTTTAAAATACGAAAACAATGTTATGAATATTCGCCAATTTAACTGCTCGCCCCATCCCTATTGGCTTCCCAATTTTATGGACGTGTTTACTTGGTCGCTGCCATTCGTGGGCGAAAAAGTGACCGAGATGTTGGTCAATGTATTGAATATTTGCTCCGATGATGAACTCATGACAGAGGAGAGTGAAGAGCCTCTATCCGACGATGAGGCTGCCCTACGAAAAGAAGTTATACGCAATAAAATACGTGCCATTGGCAAAATGGCTCGTGTATTCTCAGTATTACGTGAAGAATCTGAGTCGGTATTGCAACTGAAGGGTCTGACACCCACTGGAGCCCTGCCTTTGGGCGCATTATCCGGTGGCAAACAATCGTTGAAAAATGCCATGCAGGGTTTCTCACCCAATCACAAAATCACCTCGTTCGCCGAAGCCAAGGGCTTGGATGCTGTTAATGAACGTATGCCTCCGCGACGCGACCAACCACCTACACCCACAATTGAAGAGCAACAGCAACATCATCAAAATCAAACTGGCAATGCTAGCACAGCATCAGGTAGTACTAACAATAATAACGTCTCTCATAGTGGGTAATCATTAGGTCATTAAGCAATAATTAGATACCAAGATACCACAGTAAACACAACAACAACAACAACAGACGAAATCAATCACACACACACATATATGTAAACGTTACAAATAATAAACACAATACAAAGGATACCAGAAGATAATATTCGAAAAGGAAAAACAAAACAAAACACAAAGGATATACCTATTTGTTACAAATAATAACAAATCAAGTTTTCCTGTCTAAATTAGTTTATACATTTTGGACTGAATGCAATTAAAAGAAACCTCCATATGCAAAACTATTCGAATGCATTAATTTTCGCACTCATCAGTAATCATAAAGGATATACAAATCGATGGTAGACAAAGCTATTTATATTTCATATTTCCCCATATTGTTGCAATCTGCTGATCTGGCAAACAATTTTAAAAATGCTGAAATTTTAAACTATTTGAATATGTTTTAAGCGAAAAATTAGATTCTATGACCCTATTTGCTATTGGAAAATTTTCAAACTGTAATATTCCGCTCTGTCAGGATTTGCAAAAAAATAAGCAAGTTATCACCTTCTCAGTGACTGATAATACATTTTATCAGAAAGTGTTTTGCTTTATCTGTGAAAACTTTAAAGAATTGTTTTTCATTTGTACACAATTGACTGCATGCTTTATGATTCCGATTTTGGTTAATGACGTAGGGACAGACGTCATTAGTGAATGCCTAATTTTATAATATATAAAGTCGAAAAAGAGAACGGAGTATGTGAGCATTATTTATTTACCTCTGTTGTTTTTAATAGAATTCATTAAAGCGCCAAAGTTTGACAAACTTGTTGAGGCAAAAACAATTCAATAAAATAGCCGGTTTAGTTTCTGTAGTTCTGTGGAGATAGGCCTATATATTTATGCTGATAAGTTTGTAATGAGAATCGTATTCCATTAACGAAACATATCATCGCTTTCCAGAAATTATATACTATTTATGTAAAAATGTAAATGTATGTGCATATTTTAATGTGGAACTTATTAAGGCTTAAGAACTAACCTAATACGATTTTATTTTTAGCGCAATGGGCAATAGGTCTTTTATTAAATACAGAAGGAGACAAGATGGACACATTTTTGTTCTCTTAAAAAGACTTTCCGCCCCTATCTCTGTCCGTTCGGCTTAAGATGAGTTTAGGGGCTATGCTCGCATTGACCTGAACATTTTACCACGTGCAAGTCTTTTTAACCTGATTGCGGCAAAGTATTTTTCTGTGGGAAAAATACCCGGTTATTCGAAGTTTGAATACCGGTTCTACAAAACTGGACTCTACATTGTGGCCTACACTCTGGCCTTTCCAAAATGGTGCCATATGTATTGATATCTCTTGTAGATATTAGTGTTGTAAATCATGAAATTGAGATTATCTACACTAATTTGTATCTAGCCTTTATAGCTTTGTTCCGAAGATATTGACTTTTTAAGTCGAATTCCGGCTACTTAAACAAAAATATAAAGTTCATGTAGCCGGTGTTGGACATGCCCCAGGGGAGAAAACTTCAAGCACCGGCCAAAGGCTGGCTACTCACAAAAATTACAATGTTTAGAAAAACTATGGATCACGTAGCCGGTGTTGGACATACTCCCGGCCAAACGCCAGCTACTTTAAAAAGGTTAGACACTTATTGCTAGAGAAAATCTCAATTTTATGATTTGCATTACTAATTGATGTATAGGTATTTAAATAAGCTTTTTAATGATACCCATGTTGTAGATAACGGTTTTGTAGAACCGGATGTTGTATCCGAACTTTCGGGTCAAAAAAAAAAAAATACTTTCCCTTAATCAAGTTAAAAATACCCCCCTGCGGTAAAAATTTCAAAATGATCCGAGCATATCCCCTTAACTCAATTTGCTGCCGAATGCCATTGGTTTTATATTGGAAATCGTTTCAAATTTGTAAACAGCTTCCATATATGTGTTTCGGCCGATTACACATTTACGAGTCTTTAAACCCGTAATCGATATCCATAATATTTGGTATTGGACTGAAAATAAACCTATTTATTGTATTTGAAACTCCAGTCCCAAATATATCTGCTATCCAAGTTGAAATTTAAACGGTACCTCTGTGAATTATCTAAAATATTGTACGACTATTGTCCTTTTCTTACTGGTTTTTGTATTCAATTGTTCAATTGTCCTTTCCTTACTGTTTTTGTATTCAATTGCCTTAATTTTGCTTCCCTTTTCAAATACCCATGAACTTTGTCATACCGATTTTTCCAACGTTTTTTTTTTTTGTTAGTTTTCCTTTTTTAATATCCTAAGGCCTGTTTTCCTATTGGCCATATAAACAAAGTGAATGCATTTTCCACTTGCATTGCATTCTACAACAACAACAACATGTCTGTGCCTAATTGGTCTGCAACAAATATCTCCACACATTTGTTTGTGTCTGTGCCAAAAAATGGTTATGATACTTCAACTCATTTTATTTACCTTCACCTTCTTTGTGATAAAAGGAAAAATATAATGCAATACTACAAAGTGTTTAAGAAACGGCTGTTGTTTTTGTATGCGCTATGCACTAATTCCTTTATATGTGATTTATATCATTTGACCTCATACATACATATTATGGGTAAAGATTTTAGTTCTAAGGAATTCATAGACATTTGCATGGGGTTCAATTTTCACTCAATGCAGCATCATTTGATAGAGTATTGCAATTGTTGGAAACTTGTCGGCGATTTGATGTGAAAGTATACGCGGGGTAATATTTCGAGTATAGATTTACCCAATTCACTTGAGTAGAATAACACAATTCCACTTTTTATGAACATGGTACAAAGACGCCACTAATAAAAACAACCTCTTTTTACCCTACACCAAAAGGTGGTCTTTTGATAATCTGCATGATTCAATTTATGCATGTCCGTCCGTCCGTCTGTCCATGTATTTTTGTGAACAAAGTACATGTCGCATTTATTACACGATCCAGATGTAATTTTGCACAAATCATTTGTTTGGCCCAAGGTCGAATTCTATTGAAATTGGAGATAATAGGTAAAAATTTAGATATAGCTCCCATATATATCTTCGTTCGATTTGCCTTTTATTGTGCACCAAACGTGTAATATCAGCCCGAATAGTATGCACATATAACCAAATTAGGCCCGAAAATAAGTATGCCAAATTTTATCGAAATCGGTTCAGATATAGCTATAGCTCTCATATATATTGTTCATCCAATTTGTTATTTTTATCCTCCGCAGCCGTAATATGCACTCTGTAACAACAGTATTTGGGGAAATATATCAAATACAGCTCATAAATACCTTTGCTAAATTTTATCGGGATCGGGTAAGATTTATATATAACTTCGTCCGATTTACCTTTTATTGTGGGGAAATGGGATGGAATTTGGCACTTACGACCAAATTGAGTCTAGAAGCTAGTATGCCAAATTTGGTGAAGATCGGTTCAGATATAGCTATAGCTCCCATATATATTGTTCATCCGATTTGTTATTTTTGTTACCCACAGCAGTAATATGCACTCCGTAACAACGATATTCAGGGAAATATATGAAACACAGCTCAGAAATATCTTTGCCAAATTTTATGAAGATCGGTTCAGTTTTGGATATAGCTCCCATATATATCTTTATCCGAATTCAAGTTAATTGCGCACCTAATGGGCAATAAAATATACAAATGCTTCGGCATATTTAGACCTTTGAAATTTAAATTGTAATTATAATCATAGATTGTATGATTTAATTCTCCCATAAAAACTTTTAATTGTTATGTGAAGCTCTACTAAATATGCAAAGTGGTGTAGAGTATCATAAAGTCGGCCCGGCAGTTCTAAGTATAAATATTCTTGAATCAATCCGGTAGATAAAGTGAATTTTTGGTGTACTTGTATATAGATCACCACCACCACTATAAAAACCAAAGTCAGAGAAATGGAAATTTTGCGAATTAGGTTTTTACTTACAAACAAGTAAAAAAGCTGTAAATTCGACCGGGCTAAACTTTGATTACCCTCCACGATTTGAACGAATTTGGCAATTTTCAAAAAAATAAAATCCGTTAAAATCTTAAAAATACCGAATGTAGCCGTTATATTAGGGCCTGTACGACGACGTTGACCTGCATAGACAGCTTTTGTCATAAGCCATTACAATATTCAAATGCGAAACTTAAAAAAAATCGGTGAATATCATCAAAATACCGGTAATAGGGAGGTACAATTGTATGGAGGGATATACCAAAACGTGGACCGTGGATAGACAATTTTTTATCATAGGCTGTAGTATCCATTACGAATTACGAAAATACCAAATTTGAAGCAAATCCGGTGAATAATGTCGCTAAAATCTTTAAAATACTGAAAATATGGAGTTACCATTATATGGGGGCTATACCAAAACGTGGACCTACATGGCCCTTTTTCAATACCAAAAGTCCATAGTATAGACATAGTATACATTTGAGTAAAATTTTATCAACCTACTTCGTTCTTTTTGGAAGCTAGTGTGATTTCACAGACGAACGGACATCGCTAAATCGATATAGAATTTTATGCTGATCAAGAAAAGATATACTCTGTGGGGTCTAAAACGTATTTTTCGAGGATTTACAAACGAAATTACAAACTTAATATACTCTCCATACTATGGTAGAGGGTATAAAAAATAACCTTTATCTAGCCTTTAACATATTTACTTTAATACCTATAAATAGACCATGAATTGTATATTGTGTTAAAAGCAAATCCCAGTAAATATCAGAAAAGCCAAATAAGGGTAAATTTGTCTCTTGAAATATTAGCAAATAATTAGGAACTACTTGAACGACTTCGATTTTGTAACAATAGATATCGTGATTTCATGCATTTTATATGGCCTATAATCAGACTGCAGAGTATTACTACAGATCCACAATAAAGGGGTGAATGAAATATATGTATATGTCTTTTAAACAATTTAATTAATCTTATAATTGGCATTCCGAAATTTACACGAAACTCTTTAAGGTATTTTATTCAATAATTCCCAGCTTTTGTATATTCTTTTTTTAATTTTACTAATCTTTTCCCTTAAATGAAGTGCAATATTGAATTTTATTCCACTAAATATTCAGTTGATAAATAATATACATTAAAATTCGTTACATCACATCAAGGAGGTTTTCAAATTAATGTTACTCAATATTTTTTTAAAACACTTACACTGACCCCCTCAAACACGCAACCTCTCCTTCAAAAAGGAAAACAACAAACAACAATATTCATCCATAACAATAGATAACATAAATATATATATATACATATATTTTTTAATTTAATTATTTTTCTAAAATTTATTAATGAAATTATTTTTCGTTCTAAACGAATCTATCATGCATTTGCTTTACTCTCAAATTGTTAAACAATTCTTTATACTATTATAACAGCAACTGTATTATCATTACAATTATTGTTATGTGTATGAATTAATTATTACTATTATAATTATTATTATTATAATTAATATTCAAAGAAACAAACAAAAAAAGAGAACGAGATATATATAAATTACATGTATATCCAATTTATATATATATACATAGATATATAAATAATTAAATAAATATTAACAATATATGTGTATTTTTGGTAGTTTATTGTGTTCCTTATTAACATGTAACAGCAAACATACAAACAAACAAAAAATCGAAAAAAAAAATACAAAATCCAAAACTTAAAGCAAAACTAATCTATTATTTTTTCTACTCTCCTGTATAGTGTTGTATTATATACTAAGTTTATTATAAATATATTTGTACCTAAAGACTTTTTAAGTTGACTTTACAAAAAACAAACAAAGAAAAATCGGTCATAATTGTGTTTTGTTTCTTTTAACAAAAATAAAAAATGCGCATTTATAATTGTTAATATATATATAAAAAAACAAATTGATACGGAACAAATATGAAAACAATATATTTTATTTTACATACAATTTGGCCAACATTTTCGCATCACAATTTCAATGTAAATTATTTGTTTGATGGCGATGGTTTTCAAAGATTCGTATTAAAAGCCATTTATATTCCATATCTCAAGCTGCAATGACAATTAAAATTTCTATTTTTCTCTCCATCAGGATGTGAGAAAACAAATCAATATCTTATTAAAGTTATCACCTTCCCAGTGACTGATAATGTATTTTATCACAAAGTGTTTATCTGATTTATTTGCCTAACCTATGAAAACTTTAAAAAATTGATTTTCAATTGTACACAATTTACTGTTGACTTTATGACTCCGATTTTGGTTAATGACGTAGGCACTGACGACATTAGTGTATGTCTAAGAAGTGAAGGGGATATATGAGCATTATTTTTTTTTCGCTCTGCTGCTTGTTGAGGTAAAAACAACGGATTGGTATCCGGAGATTTAGTGGCCATTGAGAAGCGCTGGAAATTAAGCGAGGAACCTCATTTTGTAACCATGCTGAGTGCGATGGTACTGAGTCCTGTTGGAATGTTAAAGGTCTGCGGCCAAAATGTTTGCTTGCCCGAGGCTTTAATATTCGGCATTTATTCTGATGCCACGGTCGATTAATACGAGCGGAGAGCGACCATCGGTGGTCAACCGAAGGTGCACATTTTCAGCTGACCTCTTTGGCAAGTAAACGCGATCATTGTGTTTGTTTACAAACTTCTGGACAACGAATATTTTCTCATCGGAGAAAACCAAATTCCGCAGTTCACCACTTTCGGCCAAGCGAAGCAACTCTTTAGCTCTTTTGAGTCTATTTTCTTTCTGTTGCGGTGTAAGTTCTTGCATTTTTCAGAATTTCAATGGATTTACCCCCGCTCATTTTTCAATATTTGCCAAATGGAATATTGGACACATGGCCAAAATTTTCACGCAGATGGTTTTCAAAGATTCGTATTAAAATAAAAAATTAGCCGAACAATTAACACTGTTTCGTAACCAAGGCCATTATAAAGTCAGATCAGGGCGTGTTTTATATTTGAATAAGTTTTGGGACCCAGAATTGAGGATTTATCTCTAACTTGTTTTCAATGGCACTAATGACCTCATATATATACACTAGCTATACCATTTAGTTGTGATCCAGAGTCGACAATTTTTTACTTGAACACCATTTCCGTACCCGAAACGCTAGCAAAACTTGCAGACAAGATAAAGAGAGCACCTACAAATGCTTAAATTTGGCGGAGGAAAGTTTTTTGTTCGCCCAGAATTGCTTGCATTTTAGGGACACGTTAGGCCAGTATATATCAAAGAATAGGTATATACCGGCTTGAGTAGCCTAATTCAGTGATTATAGTGGTTTTGTTAAAATAAGCTGAGGAAAGATAAAATTGAGATGGTAGAGCAAATAGGGAAGGTTCAGTTGAAGAGTCCCTTATTTTCAATGTTAGATAATAATAATAGATTCTTTCTGTGTGATCAGTTAAAGAATTGTCGATGGCTCTGCATCAAGATATGGGTTGAGATTTGTCAAAATCTTCTGTTAACCTTTATCTGTTGAGGTGAAATTTTGTGACGTATTTTATGACGTGGTGGTAATGTTAGATTATTTTGAAATGAATTTCAACAAAATGTGAAGAGAGAGAAAAATTTAACACCACCTTGTTAGTTAAAGGTTAAATATCATAGGACCGTTGCACAGCAGTACACCCATACAGCAAAACAGTCTTGATGCTACTGTTGAATATTTCTAATTTTATTTTATTGGATATGATATTTAATCTCCAAATTTTATATCATTTCATGAAAACTTATCGCGCCTTACTGATACTATCTTTTATATCTTCCACAGAACCACTATGTCTAGATATTGTGCATCCAAGATAATGACATTGCATCTTCAATAGTTTTTCCATTGATTATTGGCCTTGAGATTTCTGAACAGATACGCATTAGTTTATTGTTTGTGAAGTTTATTTGTAATCCGAACTTATTAGGATTTTCGGATAGTTTCATAAGTTTTGCCTCCATAGCGGAGAAGTTTCGTGTCAATAGACAGATTTCATCAGCGGAATTAATATCACCTAAAAAAAAAGTTCCACTGCGTCATCATCAGGGAGTTGTGACTTTGTTTCTTCCATTACCCAGTCCAAGAGTATGATGAATAGCGTGGATGATAGTACAATTCCTTGTCTGAATCCCACTGAGGTATTAAAGGATTTGTTATCCTTACCATTAAAGCTCCACTGAGCACTTCTGGTATTAGGACGACTATTTTATTTGTTACGAGAAACAATGTCGATCGAGCATTCGAAAGCAATAAAGGGGGAGTTATACAATCGCCTTAACATTATCAAAGAATGTAGGATACATCCGTTTTTTCCACCGCTTGTGCAAATCCATTTTATGGGATTTTGTCTACAACATTGATAAAGCCTTCGTAGGGTCTTTAACAAATAGAAAGAAAGTCTAATTGGTCTGTTGTCTTTTGAATGCAACCGGCTTGGTCCGTCTAGAGGCGCAAAGTGTCAAAGATATAGACATGATTTACAAAATATTTCCAAGGAATAGTGACAGATAATGTGATATAACTGGAATATTTGTTTTTTTTTTTTTTGGAATAAGTTAATGTTTCGTGATCTTTCACTTCTTTTGATTGACTCCTTGCAAAAAATATATCAACTTTCGTACAGTCCCAATTTAAGATTTATGAATTTGCATGAGTGCTAGGTCAGTTGCGAAAATGGACAACATCGGTTCACTCCATGGAATAATTATAACTCTTATAAAATGTAATGTAAGTGTCCAATTGTCTTCAAATTACACACATCACAATATCTTTATTAACCCAAGGTCTGGCGTGAAGATGGAACATATCGGTCTACTTTTCTGGTACTTTTCTAAATGGTTAAAATTTTGAAGCTCATAAAACGATCTGTTGTAAAGATGGTACATATCGGACCATTCCTTCTGGCACTACACCCACAAGGTTCAACAATTTGAATAACCAATAAATCTCTTAACCAGAAATCTAATATAAATATGTAATTTATCGAAATTTATTGATTTAGCATAATATTGGATATAAATGCTTGATTACCTTCAAATTTTGCACATACCAATATTTTTATCTCTATTAGATGAAGTATGAAAATGGAATACATCGGTCCGCTATAAAAATAGTGTATATTTCCGTGACCATAAAAAAGTATATCAGGTTTATAACGGAGCTATATACCCTTCTTTTGTCCCGAATTCTCTTAAAGAATGTAATCCAATTCATCAAAGTGTAAATATTGGCCTGTAGTGGAATTCTGTAACTTTTCGTCGTCCCCGGCAGAGGTAATTGAAATGCTTTGTGTTTGAATTGAATTGAAAGTTCATCGGCAAATTCTTTTTCTTTTCCTTAATTACGAAAAAAATAAATTATTAACAAAATTGTAAGAAAATAAAAATTTGCAAAACAAATCATTTTCATTTTTCAATTATTTGCGGCAATTCTGTCGTTTACTAGTTACAGGATGGCACTACATTACTGTGTTTAATAAAATGTATATTATGTTCTAATATCATATACGTTTTTTTAATCTAATAATAAACTATATACATTTAGCCTCACTTTTAGCGTCTTCAGTTAGATCTAAACGAATTTTAAAATGTATTTTAAGGATTAATTGGAGATGTTTGAAATAGAGGCAAGTAGCATATGAAGATAACAAAAGACGCTGTTGCTGCTGCTGAAGTTGCTTCAGCCAATAACAAAAAGAAAGCAAACACATAAAAAATGACAAAATCAAAATATTTGTAACAAAAAAATGCGAGAAGAAACTAAAATGAGAAATGAAGAGAATGGTGTGTACCAAAAAAAAAAAAAAAAACTATTCAAAAGGAACAAACAAAAAAAAAAAGAACGTACATTTTAAAGCAATTTCTTCTAATGTAAAACGAAACAAAAAAAAACCACTATTATAATATTAAAAAGGCGACAAACATACATATATATATTAAAGATTTTACTTAATCTTCATTGATTCTATAAATATTATGAAATATACATACAAATTAAACAAAAAAATCACAAAAATTAAAAAAGTAATTAAAAAACAAAAACATTATATTGAATACCACAAATCAACACACACAAATAATGAAAGAGGGAAACCAGATATATATGAAGAAAATATATTTGAAATTGTGGTTATGTTATCATTGCACGCTGTTTTTTAGATATGACATGAAACAAAACAAACAAATATGCCTTATAACAAAACAAAAAAGATGAATAAAATTTTCAATTTTACAATATATATGTATATGGTGTGTTGTTAAGAAATTATTTAATTTTATTTTTTTTTTAATTATTTATAACGGTAAATACATATGTAACTTTTTAGAGAAATTTTTAATGTTAATTTTTCTGTAAAGCTTTTCTGGGTAAGAGACCAATGAAAGGGACAACCGACACTGGGTCATTGGTCGGCTTTTGTTGGTGATGTACCCCTATTTTTTTGTAGTTAAAACAAAAATGTGAATGTTTTACAAGGATTTTTGCAAATTATGGCCATTTTTGTTAATAACCAGGCCACAACAAATGTTTCTTGCATTTAATACACAGAAGTCGTTATAAAACCTTCGCTTTTTGTTATATTAAAAAAGTCTATATAAGGGTTCAATGTTGTGTCATATAGTACATTAGTTTAGCTATAATTTTATTCTAAGTCAATATTCTTTAATAAGCTAATAATAACGACAACAAAACTATTCTAACTCTATAAGTCTTTAATTAATTAATGAAAATCAACAACAAAGGAATAGAAAATGAAAAGAGAGAAAGGATGTTAAGAGTAAAATTAAAAGAAAAACACGCTCTAGTTTTTAAAGCACGTACTTATAATATCCATATATACATACATATATATTTGCAAAAGAAAATATAAGCAAAACAAAACAAAAAAAAAAACAAACATTTAAGAAGAAAATCTTAAAAGTCTCTAAAAAGTTGATAAAGTTCTAATAAAAACAAACTGTAGTTGAAAATAACAACTCGAATTTTCATTATTTAAATCATAATACACACAGACTCACACACACACATACACAGAAACAGGCAACAAAAACAATTTAAACAAACGAAAACTTTTTCCAATCAAATTAGTGCGCTAAGAGAAAAAAACTTTAATAACAATTTTATGAATGAATTATTATTAAACAAGAACAACAACAACAAAACACATGAAAGAGAATTGCAACAAAATACTTTCAGCAAAACTAATTTCCACTTTCAATAACGCAAAATGCTTTAAAATCAAATTATATTGAACGAAAGAAGTTTATGAGAAATATATATAGTTATATATAAAATACAAACAACAACCATCCCTCTCTTTATATAAATATATTAATTATATGAATGTTTAAATAACACATATGAAAAAAAAAACGAGCGAAAATAAAATTATATTTAAACGGTGATGAGATCTTCGCCAACGATATAAACAAATTATGAAATAAAAAAACCTTTCTTTTTTTCTTATGAATGCGAAAAATGTTACCTTTTTCCTTTCTAATTAAGAGAAAACAAATACGTTTGTATGCAACTTTTGTTAATAACATATTTGTTAGTGTATGGCAACAGGTCTACTTTTCCTGTAGGAATTGATTTGTTAGAAAAAAAGATAATCAAATGGAACCCGAAAAAAAATTAAATGAGCCAAAAAAAATGATGCTTGCAATCATGGTACAATAACAGAAGGTAGAGCAAAGTTATCCCCAAATACAATTTTTATTTTGATGTCTTTATTCTGTCCTTATTCTGAATAAAAATTTCAATTATTTCAAATTCAGTTGCATACTATCGATTTTAATGGGCAAAACATTCTACAATATTGGGATAAACTGTATTGTCCTACTATTTTAGATTCAATCTAGTGGAATGACCCCGAAATTCCATTCTTTTTTAGCGGGCTTCCCCAATATAAATATTTAAAAGTCTATTTGACAGAATAAGACTCCATCACAGAATTGCATTTTTCTTGTTTCTTTGGAGCAACCTTTCTTATTAAGCCATGCTTGCAATTTTCAAAATAAAGATGTTTTAAAATTGCTTGCCCAAATATAAATTACCGGGACGAGAAGAAGAAGAGTTGTAAATGATTGCAAGAAGAAATCTTTCCAAAAAGGATTTTTAAACTCTTAAACACTGTCAAAAGTGTTCTCTCGATTCGCTCTTTTTGGAAAACTTTTGTCTTAACAGACGACTTCCAGCAACAATTTGCATCAATTGTTACGGATTTTAGGGACACACCTAATATTTTAACAATTGACACCACGAAACCATGGATCGAACATCAGTTTTCTTTTTCAAATACTTATATTCTACAAATACTTATATTCAACTGAATTTAATACATAAATAAACGTACACGAATCAAGTATAGAAAATAAATAGATTTTTTTTCAAGTAATTTTACAGGGAATTCCTAATAAGAGGTGTCATATGATTTTGTTTGACTTCGGGTCTAATGTGATCATTCTCCATAGGAATGTGATAAAAAGGAAACAACGGAATATGCAACAGATGTTGTTAAAGTAATTCCGAGGTCATCATTTTTATATCATGGCAGTTAAGTCCTTTGGGAGAAATGTTTACATATTAATTTCCTTTTTAAATCTTTTATATATTTGAGTGAATAAGTTTTCATATCTCAAACACTACATACTACTTTTATAGGGGTTGTCAGTACAATTACCCTATATTTTTCATGTTTTATTTTTATACCCTCAGCCACATGGCTACAGAGGGTATACAGGTTGAGATAAAAAAACTGCAACAAAATTAAACGCCATACTTTTTAAATTTTATTGAATGAAAGCCATAATGTCGGAATTAGCATCAAATTTTTGGAAAACTTTTGTCTTAACAGACGACTTCCAGCAACAATTTGCATCAATTGTTACGGATTTTAGGGACACACCTAATATTTTAACAATTAACACCACGAAACCATGGATCGAACATCAGTTTTCTTTTTCAAATACTTATATTCAACTGAATTTAATACATAAATAAACGTACACGAATCAAGTATAGTAAAATAAATAGATTTTTTTAAGTAATTTTACAGGTAATTCCTAATAAGAGGTGTCATATGATTTTGTTTGACTTCGGGTCTAATGTGATCATTCTCCATAGGAATGTGATAAAAAGGAAACAACGGAATATGCAACAGATGTTGTTAAAGTAATTCCGAGGTCATCATTTTTATATCATGGCAGTTAAGTCCTTTGGGAGAAATTTTTACATATTAATTTCCTTTTTAAATCTTTTATATATTTTAGTGAATAAGTTTTCATATCTCAAACACTACATACTACTTTTATAGGGGTTGTCAATACAATTACCCTATATTTTTCATGTTTTATTTTTATACCCTCAGCCACATGGCTACAGAGGGTATATAGGTTGAGATAAAAAAACTGCAACAAAATTAAACGCCATACTTTTTAAATTTTATTGAATGAAAGCAAAAATGTCGGAATTAGCATCAAATTTTAGAATAAGTTTAGATTCGTTCGAATTGGTCACCTTTGACACAAAATATGTTTTTCAACCGCCAATGAAACCGTCACACGCTACCTGAATGTTGCTCTGCGGCCCATTCCCGGCGAAGCGCTTGCTTGAGCTGATCGACACTTTGATATTTTTTATTGCCAATCTTGCTTTCCAAAATACTCCAGACGCAATAGTCCAACCGATTGGTATCCGGAAATTTTGGTGGCGAGGTGGAAGCGAGGAACCTCATTTTGTAACCATTCTTGGGTGGCGCGTGCTGAGTCCTGTTGGAATGTCCAAGGTCTTCGGCCAAAATGTTTGCGTGTCCAAGGCTTTAATACACCCTGCAGAATATTTTCGTGATAATATTTGGCATTTATTCTGATACCACAGACGATTAATACGAACGGAGAGCGACCATCGGCTGTTATGGCGGCCCACACCATCACCATGATCGGCACTTGAGTTCTGGTGGCCAACCGAAGGTGCACAATTTCAGCTGACCTCTTTGGTCACTGCTGGACAACGAATGTTTTCTAATCGGAGAAAACCAAACTCTTTAGCTCTTTTGAGTCTATTTGCTTGTGGTTTTCCAGCCAAATATAAAGAAATCGCTCTATGACGCTTGAATTCCATCACGAATAATTTTTTTTCTGGAATATTCTCACAAAAATGCTTTTGTACGCTTGTAAACAATATAATGAGCTGTCACTGGAATAATTTTAACAGCTGTCGGACGCGTGGCTTTGAAATGACTGCAAACCGATGTTGGTTGCAGTTTTTTCATCTCACCCTGTATATGTTTCATCCGATTTGGTGTTCAAGTCCCTCACATTCGTTATATGCATTTGACAACAACGGTATTTGGTACCAGATATCTTATAGAGCTCGGAAATACATTTGTCAAATTTTATCGAGATCGGCTAAGGTTTATTGTGCAAATAATGGTTAATATCAGCCCAAATGGAGTAAATTTTGAGACGTACTTTTCTACTTGGCGGAACTCGGCTCCGATATATATCTATAGCAATGTTATTTGGTATAAAAGATAAAAATACTTCCGTCAAACTTAGTGAAAATCGATTCAGAATTATATTGTATTTTTAGTTATATACACCTTCATTAAAGATTTTGAAATATCTTGTCCGGATTCTTTCAACCAACATAGGTTAGGTTAAAGGATGCGCGTTTGTATAAATAACCACTCCACTCGGAGACCTTTTGGTCCATTGTGTTCATCTTAATTTAAGAAGATAGGAGAATAGAATACAGTGAAGAAAAGGAAATGAATTACGGATAGTGAAGAAGTGAGAATCTGAATAAAGAGTATAGAAGTTGGTAGGTTTGCATCCACGGTGTATCAACGTGTCGTCCTTAGTCACTTTAGTCTTCTGGCTAACTGAAGAATGACTGCTGGCTCGATGTCGAAGAGGGAGGACAAGTTTGGCTGAATTTGCTTACCCAGTAGCCTCTGTCTCAATCCTATAAGAGTTGGGCAGTGGCAGAGTAAGTGCTCCATCGTCTCAATTTCTTCCTCGTCCTGACAAATCCTACAGTATTCAGTGTCTTTAGAGCCTTAAGCTATACCGTCTCTGTTAGGTATATGGATATCAAGTTATAGTCTGATTTACTATGCTTCCCACATACTTGAGAATGACGGAGTGTCCAAAGGGCTGAGTCGCAGGGCAAACGTAGCAGCTTTTTCCTCTATAAATAAACCTAACGGTGAGTAGGATGTCTGGTGCGGATTGGGTGTGCTCCTAAACGCGCCTGTAGTTAGAAGCGATGCAACTCTTTGGACGTTATCAATGCTTTTACTGAGGGTGGTTTTCCCTAAGGAGTGCCACCAAACAAGCTCCCCATAGGTTAGAATTGGTCGGAGTTTTTGCAGGAATAAAGTGCATTTAAGCCCTTCTTTGCTCGCTCCTCTTCCAGCATAGTTTCTGGTCTAGGATGGTACCGAGCTTTTTGGCTACCGAAGAAAGACTTAGCATAACACCATCAAGTATTGGTAGCGAAAAGTTTGGCATTTTCCGCTTCCCTGTGAAGAGTACGAATTCAGTTTTTGATGGGTTTACGCCAAGTCCATTGTAGCGCTCATTGCATAAGATCTGAAACAGTTTGAGGGAATTTCCCAGCAATCAACATCGTCGTAAGCCACGACCTTTGTCCCGCCGTGTTCCAGTTCGATTAGAATTTCATTTATCACCAAAAGCCAGAATATTTTCTTTACATATTGTCTCGATTAAAAGACGTGTCCCATCAGAGTCTTATTTGAATGAAAGTAATGGAGGATTTTGTCCACAAATACATTCTTAGTGTACACCAAACCCAGATTCTAAACGGACACTTCAATGTCGACGGGCTTATCCAATAACATTTTTTTGTGGAACAAGGAGTTAATTTAAATTACAGAGAGGGGGTTCGGTAGACTCTTTTGGGATTTTCAATTGTTACACGTCAAACCATTAAAGTGCAACAAAATATTTCCAAAAAAAAATATAATATCCATTTAAAAACTTGATACGGATCTGCATTCTTTGGTATACTTTCTTTTTAAAAAAATATAGAAGAATTACAATTTAATTTTGTTTATTTCTCTAATAAATCGTAAACATATGATATTCGCCTTAACAAAGTAAAACTCCAACATTATCAAAGTTGCATACAAACTTCTCTAATTCATTACAGCAACATTTTTGAAAATTTCAACCTTTAATCATTGATGGAAACCCTTGTTTTATAACACTCTAATATAATTATACAAGAAAAAACAACAATTTCAAAATACTATTTCATAAACATAAACAACTGCAAAAATTACAAAACATTCATTCAAATAAAACATAACAACAAATGAACCTAACTAAGCTACATTTCTACTTTAACAACAAAAGAAAAGATCACAAAAAACGGAAGAAAGAAGAAGAAAATATATTACAAAAATAACAACTATACTAAATGAAAATCTAAATAAATAATATTGCTATTGTGGAACACATTTTTTTACTTATACATTTATATTTTTTAAAAAACAAAACTTAATATTATTCAATTTTATGAATTTAATTATACATACAATATTTAAACAAATAAAAAAATACAACTTATATATTGAATAAAGTAATAAGGACAGCAACAACAACAACAAAACCAACTTATTAATTAACAACAAACAATTTAAACTATATAAAAAAAATTGAAAATATAAGTTTATGGAGAATACGTTACAAACAACAACAACAAAGCAAAACAAAGCCAAGTGAATAAAAAAGATGATACAAAAACAAGTCTAATATTAAAAAAATTCAATAAAACATTTAAAATACAAAACACCAATTTTGCAAATTTTTATTTAGGAGGAAATTTAGTTCAAAGCAATGATTAAGGTAAGACAAAAGTCAACTTGAAGCAAAACAAGTAAAAATAAATAAAAAGCTGTAAGTTCGGCCGAACCGATCTTTAAATACCCTCCACCATTTGGAACGATCTTGGCAATTTTCAAAAAATAAAATCCGTAAAAAAAGACGCATCAACGCTTGGGTACATTGATATGTGAAAATTTTTCAAATATAATTAGATTTTTATATGTTTTCTTATATGACATCATTCGGAGGTTATTATAATTCGCATTTTCAACAATTTTTACAAATTTAAATATTTTTTTCATTCCACATCTTCAATTCCAAAATTGGTCAATTTTCAGCAGGGGTGTCGATCATTTTCCCAGCAGGTGTGTCGATGCGTCTACCTAAATTCTTCTACCATGGATTCTTTGTTCTATTATGAAGAAGCCAGTTGACTTAAGTCAGTAAAAATTTGTTATTTTTTCAATAAGCAAATTCGTTTACGTTGTCTTAAACAACACCAGTCGCAGGATTTCATAATATTCATTTTTAAACAATTTTTACAAATTTGAATAACTTTTCTTCCATAATTTTAAATTTCAAAATTGGTTTGACAGTTCATTGTTTCACCAGCTGTGTCGATGTGACTACCTGTATTCTTCTACTATGGTACGTACGAAAAAAGAAAATGAAAATAAAAACTTGATTGTCTGGGTAGCGATGGCATGTCTGCCTTCAACAAACGTTCTGTGAACAGGCTATGAGTTGATGTTTGATAATTGAAGGTCGAACCAAGGTGTATTTAATAAGGTGTAATTGACAATCATATGTTTCTCAACTTTTTTCATTTTTGTTTTATTTTTATTTGAAATGTTGTTTGGAAAACCTTACCTTTTTGAAGTCTGTTTTGGCTTTTTGGGAGCATTTGCCAGAGATATTGAAGAAACGGAGTTTGTAGAGAAGCTGTTTTTTTGGTGGTAATAGTGTCTAAATTAACATCGGCCAAAGGCCACTTCTACGCGTAGATGTTGACAAACGATGACTTTTGATCATTGCTATTGCTGACGCCAACAGCCCGAACTTGAGGGCTTGTTTCCTGATGCTTCTGCAGTTGTATTGACTGTCGAGTCAAACCCACCATGTTTGCGTGCAGAAGAGTCCACTTTATTATTACGGTTATCATATTCTTTGCAGCGCCTTGAAATAATCGTTCTAGTTCCCACAAAGTGTATTATATATTCTTGTTCAATACTATGTGGATTTAGCTATGTCTGTCCGTCAGTCTATCCACATCCGAATGCAGTACTGTCCGGCCACGGATTTAAATTATTTATTTTTCAACCGAATTTAATGTTAATTGGTCGTATGAGTTCATATTAGGGAAAAAATAACCCTTTCAAATAGCTGCTTATGCAGGTCAATATTTTGGTATAAACATCATCTAACAGTACCTCGCGATAAACGGTAGAAAATGGTCTATGTAGATTTACATTTTTGATGTTGCATTGACCATTTATGTACACCCTTTGTGGTTGATTTACAAGGTAGAGTAGACCTACATATCACATATTATTCGGACATGTATGGTCTGTTCCAGAACTGCATGAATGTAAAAGTTTTTACTACGGTAACCGATTTTTCAATTATGATATCGAAGAAAATAGGTAAAAGATTTTGGATGTGCCAAGTTTGAATAAAATCGGTCATTGATTCACACTTTTCGAGAGTTATAATTCAATCTTGACCTTGTCCATTGTCGCACCTGGGGCTGGATTCTTGTTCTATGAAAATATAAAATGATATGAATTCTTTATAAAATTTTTCATTTGACATTTCTTTCCTTTATAAAAGTTTTCATTTTACATTTTCATAGAACAAGAATTGAGGCCCTGGTCTAGGCCTGATTAATTATTAAATGGAAAGTTTAAACTATTTTGGGTATTTTTATTTAGGAAAAAATGTCAATTTTTGTAATAGCAAAAAAGAAGCAATACCGCCCACCACCCAACTCCATCAGAGATTGACAGCAATATTTTAATTGTTCCATATCGTATGCCGGACAGGTATTTCTAGACTTTTTCCAAAGAGATATAGAATATAAAACCGTTCATGCTATGTAGACATTTTTAGTGCGTTTCAGCTCGCGACGGTTGCCTAACATTTAGTATTTTCTCCAAATGGTTGTCCGGAATGTTTGTCATGTTTGTTATTTAAATCAAAACTAATTGGCAACATGACTTTTTAGTTTCTATAACAACAATGTTGTTATTGATGCATACACCTTATTAATCCACCTTGGATCGAACAACGAATAGAAAGTGAATCACGTGCTATGTGAACTTAGTATTAGATGCAACAAGTGAATAGTGTAAAAATTGAACAATGAACCAAGTGAACCAGTACTAAAGGTCGATTATTCGATTAATCGGAAGTCGATATGTTCCTGTCAAAGATCAATTGTAAACAACACGTGCACTTTTAACTTGTGAAAAACAAAATATATTGTCGAATTAAAAATTATATACAACACATTACAAAGAAAGATGAGTGTCAATATGGAAATAATCATTGGCACATACGAAGAGTTCTTGCTGGGCTACAAAATTGATATTAAGGTGAGTGGCTCTGATGACCAAAGCATAAAGCACTGTTTACATTTTTTATAATTCTTTCTTAGGATAACAAACCGGCAATTATTCAAACATTTGCTGATAAATCCCATTCAGGATCAATAAGATGTGTTGCTGTCAAAGATCAATGGGTGGCTAGCGGAGCTACCGATGATCGTATATTTATTTACGATATGAGTACAAGAAAACAGGCCCAGGTAATTGATTTGTAAATGGAACGAGACAACGTGAAGTCCTGCATGTATGCGTTATGCCTAGTATGAAAGATTAATAACCCAAGAATGCATTTTTATTTTTTTAGATTTTACTTTCACATGATGGTACAGTCAATTCTTTGGCATTCACACCAGACGGCACTCATCTTCTATCTGCCGCCGACGATGGACGTATGGTGGCCACACGCTTGAAAACATGGTTTAATGATGCCACATGGAAAAAGGCGCACAGCGGTTCCAATGTTACTCATGTTAGCTGCCATCCTAGCGGCAAGCTGGCCTTATCATTGGGTTCAGATTTAGTTTTACGAACATGGAATTTAGTTAAGGGGCGTGTGGCTTACAAAACTAATCTTAAAAGTCGCAACACTTTGGGCTTTCAGCCCGATTGTTTGACATGGTCCCCAAATGGCGATTATTTTACATTAACTGGCCAACGAGTTGTTGAATTTTGGTCTATAAAAACAGCTGACGTTGTTCGTTCACAGAAGACAAAATCAAAACCCATATGTTTGGTATGGATTGCGGACGACGTGTGCCTAGTTGGTCTTGAAGATGGTAAAATTTTATGGCTAACAGTGGATAGTGAAGATGAAAAGGTAAGCTAAAATTAAGCGCATAAAAATTATAAATGTGGTTCCTAAATGTTCTTTTGTATTGTCAGGAAATTGTTGCTCACAATAGCCGGGTGAAAGCTATGCATTCGTTCAAGGACAATCTGGTTACAGCATCAAGGTTCGTATAACATAGCTTATTTTTTAAACTATTTTTAATGATATTCTTTCTTTCAGTTCGGGCGAAATAAAAGTATGGCAAATTATAAAAAATAAACAAAAGCTCAAGGAGATAGCATCTACCAACATTGGATGTCGCCCGACATGTCTGGGAGTGCTTGATTTGGAACAATTTGGTACAAATTATATTATAAGCAGTACAATTGAAGAGGCGAAGGATGTTAAACCTATAAAACCAAAGGCTATGCCTGTTCCCAGGGGTATTGTGACGATTGAATATGACAATGAAGATGATTCGAAATTGGACAGCGATGGTGAAGAAGATGAGGATGAGGATGACAACGAAGATGAGGATGATGATGATACAGAAAATGATGCTGACAGTGTAGCAGAAGAGGACAGCGACGATGCGGAGGAGGAAAATGACAAAGGAGTTGAAGAAAACGAAACAAGTGAAGAAAGCAGTGACGACTGTGATGAGGAGGAAGAAAACCCCGAGCCATCAGTACGTTTACCCAAATCGCGTAAACACAAAATGCAAATCTTAAAAAGTCAAGAAAAGGGAAACAAGAAACAAAAACTTGATAACTCTAAAAAGCAACAACCGAAGCCAAAATTTCCCCAACAAAAAAGTAATAAACAAAAGTTGAAAAAGTGAGAAGTGTTTTGTATTCCTTTGATGACATTAAGATCTTGTCATGGTAGAAGAATATAGGTAGACGAATCGACACAGCTGCTGGGACAATGAACTGTCAAAACAATTTTGCAATTGAAAATGTTGAAATTCCTAATTATAATAACCTCCGAACGATGTCGTATAAGGAAACATATAAAAATCTACTTATATTTGAATAAACATTTAAAAATTTTTGACATATCAATGTTCCCAAGCGTGATGCATCTACCTGTATTTTTCTACCATGGATCTTGTTCATGGCATGCATTAGATTGGTCTATAAGCTCATCTGGTGGTTTGAAATTCAAAGAAAGTAAAATCACAATATCGTAAAATCAACTTTTTTGTCAAAAGCAGTTTTCTTGGCCGACCTGCTCCTGGGGAAAAATATTTCTTTATAAAATTTTTCATTTGACATTTCTTCCTTTATAAAAGTTTAAATTTCACATTAAATTTTGTTAGATCTTTGTTCTATGAAAACAAAAACTGAAGAATATTTTCTTATTTTGTCATAAAGGGGAAATCTGCAACAGACCATCATATGTTAAAACAAACTTTTGGAAAGTCTCTGGTGTAATGTCATTTCTTATTAATATCTCACTTTATCCCATGGCTAGTTTAGATCGTTTATTTGTCTCTGTGTAGTAATTTAAAAGTTATCGAATATCGATGACATTTTAATCGGGAAAACAACAGTTATTATTTATCATTTCAAATTGACATATGAATTCCATGACACAACTTAACCAATTACCAATTACAACAAATGGACAATATTGATAGTGGTTTAATAAAATAAACAAAATGGAATTGCTGGTATTGCTTTTTTCATTTCTAATACAAATATCCTTAGCTGAAGATGGGTTAGAATCGATTTCTACAGTGGCAAGAGCTCCAGACAAATTTAAAGGTAAGTCTGACATGTTTAGTGTGTGTGAATAGGCATTGATATTGTTTCTGTTTCAGTCCATTTCATGGAAGCCAATTCAACGTACGTTTTTAAGCCCTTGAAACGTGGTTTCTTTGAAAAACACTTGAACACCTACTGCTATTCCGGCGAACCAAAAACATTAGGCCGTCTGTTGGAGTCGATTGAGCTGGTCTTAGAAATCGATGGAGATGATTACACTCAATATGAGGGCACCACACCTCAAGAAGTCGAGGAACACTACAACGATCACCGTTCCCTTTTCAGTTTCAATTTATTCTCTCAAAAAAGGTCGCGTTTATCGCTGTCACCATTTACGCAACAATGTATTGGTATCGAGACCGTTCAGCCGTACAAGGTATATTTGTTACAAGAAAAGGTTGATTATGTACGTCTCATGCTGCTACTTGGTGGCATAACGATATTTCTGTTTTCCGGCGTACTGAGTACAAATGTAATAGTTTATTATATAACTGGAACTATTATTGGTATTTGTTCTTTCTTTCTGTTGTTAATATGGCTCATTACAGCAACATTTTTATTTAATCATTGATGGAAACCCTTGTTTTATAACACTCTAATATAATTATACAAGAAAAAACAACAATTTAAAAATACTATTTCATAAACATAAACTACAGCAAAAATTACAAAACATTCATTCAAATAAAACATAACAACAAATGAACCTAACTAAGCTACATTTCTACTTTAACAACAAAAGAAAAGATCACAAAAAACGGAAGAAAGAAGAAGAAAATATATTACAAAAATAACAACTATACTAAATGAAAATCTAAATAAATAATATTGCTATTGTGAACACATTTTTTTACTTATACATTTATATTTTTTAAAAAACAAAACTTAATATTATTCAATTTTATGAATTTAACCTATATATAAAAATCAATTGTTGTTTGTTGGTAATGGAATCAGTTGAAAACGGCTGGACCGATTTGCATAATTTTTTGTACAAACGTTCGTCATACCCCGAGTTAGGTTTTTAAAGAAAAAAATTATTGACCACGCCTCCTTTTACGCCCACTATTACGATTTATCTAAAATCTTTATATTTGCCAAAATAGCGAAGATATCGGTTTGAGAATTATTACACGAGATGCTGTTGGCTTTCCATTCAACCCTAAGTACTTATTTAGGGGCTGAGGAACGCGCCTACTTTTAAATCTATCTCTCTATATGTAAAAGAAAGTTGTGTTAGTTACTACTCTTATAACATAAAGACCGCCGGTCTGATTTTAACGATTTAGACAAATTCGGAATTGCCTCTTGGCAGAAAAGAATAAAATCCAAAAAAATCGCGTAAAAATGTGAAATTTGAACATTTTTTTAAAATGTACAATAGTAATGCATATTTTTTTCCATTTTGACTTCCTTTTTTCGAATGTACATTTGTAGTGTTTTTTTTTTTTTTTTTGAGTCCTACACATCATAGTAGGTTTTTTTGGGTAGTATAAAGCCGCAACGGATAAAACTGTTATTTATAGATTTTATCCGTTGTCGCTTTATATGAAAATTCTAAAATCGGGAAAAATCGACAATTTTTCAATGGAATCGAATTTCAAAATAATAGTACATTCTACAGACAAACTTCGTAAGGACCTTTAAAAATTTGCCGCAAAAAAAATCAGCAAACCAGTTGAAGATTCTTTTTCTTTTTTCTATATTGAAGTGTACATTTTTTTATTGGTTTGAATTCTGAATGAATAATATTAAAAATGAAATGAGGGCGCAATACGATGTTAAATGCTTTCTACTCCAGGACCTACATCGTGCTGCAGCTGGAAGATGCGAACACATTTAAACAAAAAAAAAAATGACCGATGAAGCGTTATGGGGTTAATTTCAAAAAGTGGACCTGCTTCTTTCATATGACAATAAATGTCGCTTTATATGAAAATTCTAAAATCGGGAAAAATCGACAATTTTTCAATGGAATCGAATTTCAAAATAATAGTTCATTCTACAGACAAACTTCGTAAGGACCTTTAAAAATTTGCCGCAAAAAAATCAGCAAACCAGTTGAAGATTCTTTTTCTTTTTTCTATATTGAAGTGTACATTTTTTTTTATTTATTTATTTTGGTTTGAATTCTGAATGAATAATATTAAAAATGAAATGAGGGCGCAATACGATGTTAAATGCTTTCTACTCCAGGACCTACATCGTGCTGCAGCTGGAAGATGCGAACACATTTAAACAAACAAAAATGACCGAAGAAGCGTTATGGGGTTAATTTCAAAAAGTGGACCTGCTTCTTTCATATGACAATAAATGTCGCTTTATATGAAAATTCTAAAATCGGGAAAAATCGACAATTTTTCAATGGAATCGAATTTCAAAATAATAGTACATTCTACAGACAAACTTCGTAAGGACCTTTAAAAATTTGCCGAAAAAAAAAATCAGCAAACCAGTTGAAGATTCTTTTTCTTTTTTCTATATTGAAGTGTACATTTTTTTATTGGTTTGAATTCTGAATGAATAATATTAAAAATGAAATGAGGGCGCAATACGATGTTAAATGCTTTCTACTCCAGGACCTACATCGTGCTGCAGCTGGAAGATGCGAACACATTTAAACAAACAAAAATGACGAAGAAGCGTTATGGGGTTAATTTCAAAAAGTGGACCTGCTTCTTTCATATGACAATAAATGTCGCTTTATATGAAAATTCTAAAAACGGGAAAAATCGACAATTTTTCTATGGAATCGAATTTCAAAATAATAGTACATTCTACAGACAAACTTCGTAAGGACCTTTATGTTGGTATTTGCAATTGTACATCACATGAGCACGGTAACCCATGAGAATACCCAAATGATTAATAATAGAATTAGATGTGGCAACATTGTTTTTATGTACATTGTACAAATACACATATACTCTTATACATGCATCACATACATCATCCTAACATTCCATGTAATAAATATAGTTTACTGTTGTAACGTTCAGTTAGTTGTCTTTTACTTCTTCTTAAATAAAGAACATGAATTGTTAAACTTAAACGATCCTCGTGCCTCAACAATCATTTCTAATAGGTTATGGGCCCAGGCTATCGCATCTAGAGAGGATTTTGTTTTTTTTTTTTTCGCTGTTTCTTGGAGAATTGAATTAAATATTCTTGGTACCTGGATTCTGCTATTTGTTCATATTTGCAAATTTTATTGTGAAATTTATCGTGAAAATTACCTGATTGGAGCGAATCATGGCAGACTCAAAATTGTTGTTCACAAAGCTGAACAGGGATAATTATGAGTTGTGGAAATATAGAATGCAGCTGTTGTTGAAGAAGGAAAAAGTGTGGGACGTTATCAGTGATCCTGTGCCGGCGGTTCCTGATGAAAAATGGATAGAGCGTGACACTGAAGCAACAATTCTGATTGGATTAGCTGTTGAAGACAGTGAAGTGCATCGCATTGCAAATTGTGCAAATGCAAAAGCAGCTTGGGATACACTTAAATCGTATCATGAAAAATCTTCTTTGAGTAACAAAGTGAAACTTATGAGGAGTATTTGTGAACTCAAGCTACAACCTGGGGAAGATATGGATTCCCATATAACAAACATGAAGTTGATGTTTACAAAGTTGCAATCGTTGGGTGAAAAATTGTCTGAGTCATGGATAATATCTATGCTGTTGAGTAGCCTGCCTGCTACATATGACACTCTGATAACTGCTCTTGAGGTAAGGGATGAAAAAGATCTCACAATGACTGTTGTGGAAAATAAATTATTGGAAGAGCACGAGAAATTAAAGAAAAGGCAAGTGAGCGAAGACTCTGTTTTGAAAGCAACAAATAAGTTTGCACACAACAAAAGGAAAATTATTTGCCATCATTGTCACGGTGTTGGGCACATTCGTAAGAATTGCTGGAAGTTAAAAAATAAGCAGTCGGATCAACACAAAGCTAAAATCGCACAAGAAAATGTATGTATGGAAAATGCATGTTTCATAATGAACGGTGCTGAAGGTGAATGGGTTGTTGACTCTGGAGCAACGTGCCATATTTGTAGCGATAAATATCAATTTGTGGAACTTGATACATCGTGGTGTGAGAAGGTGACCGTAGCAAATGGTGATGCCGTTTATTCAAATGGTAAAGGTGTTTGTAAAGTATCGATGGTGAATGCCAAAGGGTCTGAAGTAGTCATTACTGTTGGCGATGTTTTATACATTCCATCATTTAAAGGAAATTTATTGTCGGTGAAAAAGTTGTCAACTAAGGGTTATACATTTACGTTTTCTGGTAATATGTGCAGAATACGCGACGATAAGGATTTGGAAATTGGATTAGCGGATTTGGTCAACAATTTGTATCAATTGCGTTGTAAAAGCACAGAGAAGGTAAACGTTGTTTCCTGCAAAATGGATCGTTGTCAACATTATTATCATAAATTGTTTGGACACAGAGATATTAATACGGTTAGATCTATGCAAGTTGGTAAGCTGGAAAATAATTTTAGCATCGTGGACTGTGGCGTAAGAAAGACTTGTGAGGTATGTACCAAATGCAAATTGACTCAAAAACCCTTTCCAAAAATGTCAAAGTCAAAAACTGGGGAAGTGTTGGAAGTTATCCATACAGACGTTTGTGGACCCATGCAAACAATAACACCTGGAAAGAAGAAATATATCCTGACATTTATTGACGATTACAGCCGTTACACCGTTGTATATCTGTTACATGAAAAATCAGAAGTTTTTGTAAAATTGAAGGCATTTGTTGAAATGGTCAAAAATAAATTTGGAAGGTATCCAAAATGCTTCAGATCAGATAATGGTGGGGAGTATAAATCTAGACGATTGGCTGATTTTCTTTCTAGTCGTGGCATAAAACCTCAGTTCACTGTTCCCTACTGCCCGCAACAGAATGGCGTGGCTGAACGAAAAAACCGGTATTTATTGGAAATGGCCCGATGTCTTCTGGAAGAAGCTGAATTACCTAAACAGTATTGGGGCGAAGCAGTGATGTGTGCTAATTATCTGCAAAATAGATTGATTTCAAATTCTGTTCCGTGTACCCCGTACGAAAGATGGGAAGGTTCAAAACCGAATATAGCCAATTTTAAGGTGTTTGGAACAAAGGCTTATGTTTTGATACCCCATGTGCAAAGAAAAAAGTTGGACAATAAATCCAAGCTTTTAACTTTCATGGGATACGACGAAGAAAGCAGAGGATTGCGGTTTGTTGATACCGATACCAATAGAGTGACAATAAGCAGAGATTTTAGATTTGTAAATTCAAATGACACCATTGAAGATAAAAGCGATAAAGTCAAAGAACCAAGTCAAATAGAAATCAACCTTTCGTCAAAACGGGAAATGGAAGAGGAAGAAGCAGTGGCGATTAACTCTCCTGTTGGCTCGTACAGTAGTTTGAGTAGCGATTTGGAATATTTTACTGAGGATGAAGAAGAGGTGCCTACTACAAGCAATGGTAATCACGAAAGTACCCTTCGTAGATCTTCAAGGAAAAATAAAGGTGTCCGCCCTGCTCGATACTCAGCATGTGTTATGGAATCTGAATCATTAATTGAACCAAAGTCTTTTAAGGAAGCTGTTTTGTCAAAACAAAAAGAAAAGTGGTCTGCTGCAATGCAGGAGGAGATCGATTCTATGATAAAAAATGATACATGGGAGTTGGTTACTAAACCTGAAAAAGCCAATGTGATAGGATGCAAGTGGATTTACAAATTAAAAACTAATTGTGACGGCAAAGTTAAACGCTATAAAGCTCGCCTTGTTGCAAAAGGATTTAATCAAAAATATGGGACTGATTATGATGAAGTTTTTGCGCCTGTAACACGGCAATCAACATTTCGTATATTACTTTCAATTGCTGGCCAAAACAAGATGCATATTCATCATATGGACGTCAAGTGTGCATTCCTGAATGGTAATTTAAAGGAGACAATATACATGGCACAACCACCTGGTTTTGTGAAGGGCGATTCAAACAAGGTTTGTAAGCTGAAGAAAAGTATTTATGGTTTGAAGCAAGCAGCAAACGTTTGGAACAATGCTCTTAATGATATTTTGATTAATAATGGTTTTTCGAGAAGCAAAGCGGATCCTTGTATATACACCAAAATCATCAATGGGGAAGAGTTATTTATATTGCTGTATGTTGATGATTTGTTGGTATCTTCGAGAAATTAAAATCATATTGCGGATGTTGGTAAAATGTTGAACAATCATTTTGAAGTTAAGAATCTCGGTCCGGTAACAACATTTTTAGGAATTGAAGTCAAGAGGACAAGCAGTGGTGAATTTCTAATTGGGCAGAAGGCATACATCAATGAGGTAGTTAACACATTTGGCCTTAAAGATTCTAAAATCGCAAAGTACCCGTTAGAACCTTCATATGGAAAAGAAGATTCAGAACCCTTGTTAAGAAATACTGAATATCAAAGTTTATTGGACTCTTTGCTGTATGTTGCTGTTAACACTCGTCCTGATATTGCTGCCAGTATATCCATTTTATCAAAGAAAATAAGTTGTCCTACTCAAAAAGATTGGATTGAGCTGAAGCGTGTGGCGAAATATCTTAAAGGCACTGTAGACATGTACTTGAAACTTAGTTGTGAGACTGTTACTCCGAATACTTTAATCGGATACGCTGATGCTAATTGGGCTGAATGTCGAATTGACCGGAAAAGTAACTCTGGATATTTGTTTTTATTGAATGATTGTCCAATCAGCTGGGCTTGTAAAAAGCAAACACTTGTCTCTCTGTCTACAACCGAAGCTGAATTCATTGCTCTGTCGGAAGCTGCAAAAGAAGCAAAGTGGTTGAGAAATGTTTTAGCAGACTTCGGATGTCAACAAATCCAACCGACGACAATTTACGAAGATAACAGAAGTTGCCTAAACTTAATCAAGGAGGAGAAATTAAGTAATAGAACAAAACATATTGACACGAAATATCACTTCGTAAAGGATTATATTGATAAAAAGGTCATCGAATGTAATTATTGCCAGTCCGAAGAAATGCTTGCTGATATGCTGACTAAACCATTACCATTGTCAAAGCTGGAGAAATTCAGAACCTTGGCACAAGTCGTGTACAATTGAGGAGGAGTGTTGGTATTTGCAATTGTACATCACATGAGCACGGTAACCCATGAGAATACCCAAATGATTAATAATAGAATTAGATGTGGCAACATTGTTTTTATGTACATTGTACAAATACACATATACTCTTATACATGCATCACATACATCATCCTAACATTCCATGTAATAAATATAGTTTACTGTTGTAACGTTCAGTTAGTTGTCTTTTACTTCTTCTTAAATAAAGAACATGAATTGTTAAACTTAAACGATCCTCGTGCCTCAACAATCATTTCTAATACTTTAAAAATTTGCCGCAAAAAAAATCAGCAAACCAGTTGAAGATTCTTTTTCTTTTTTCTATATTGAAGTGTACATTTTTTTATTGGTTTGAATTCTGAATGAATAATATTAAAAATGAAATGAGGGCGCAATACGATGTTAAATGCTTTCTACTCCAGGACCTACATCGTGCTGCAGCTGGAAGATGCGAACACATTTAAACAAACAAAAATGACCGAAGAAGCATTATGGGGTTAATTTCAAAAAGTGGACCTGCTTCTTTCATATGACAATAAATTGTCAAATGAGAACACAAAATGCAAAATACATTGGGACTGCAATCAGTCAAATACCGACTATAAAGAATACAAAATACCTTTAATCGCTTTGGCAGGTCATGATATGGGTCATAACACCTGATAACGGAACAACCCGATTTCAAGTATATTCTACATTTTAACCATATTTTTCGTACTATTTTTAGCTTATGTTGATAATTTAAGAAGAAACCATCTTTGCAAAAAATTATCACGTTTTGATATCACCATCATATGATTTAAGGTATTTTCGGGGTCTTGGCCACTTTTTTAATTTTTTGGCCCTTATTTGACATCTTTGTTTCTAAGGGGGAAGAAAACCTCTTCTTATAAAGAAATAAACTCCGAAATGTCAATCTGGGACTCATTTAGTCGGAAATTGTGGCAGAAACATGAAAAAAATACGAAATTATAAAATTATTATTTATTGTCTCCACCGCACAATTTAAATGACAAACAATTAGATGATAGATGTTCTTTATCATATAGGTATTTAATACTCAAATTAAAGGCTATAGCTGAAAAATAAGATGAGGCTAATCAAAATATGTAAAACCGACGGTAATTATAATTTTTGCCATGAATATTAATTTATATTTAGTCATTATACATAATCAAGTTATTACTTATAATCAAAATTGTGCCGCCTACATAAGTCAGATCTGTGATTTATTATGCTTTAAAGACTAAAAGTACGGGCCGCAACGCAGACCGGGCCAGCTAGTTATACATACAATATTTAAACAAATAAAAAAATACAACTTATATATTGAATAAAGTAATAAGGCCCACGGCAGCCGGTTCATAAGCTTTCCAACGATACCCATATTGTCTATATCGGGTAAGTGGATCCGGGTCTAGTCGGGGTCTCAAACCCGGACTTTCGGGTCAAAATTCTGGGGTCCCAGGTCCGCCCCCCAAGAAAAAAATAGTTTTCCGAGATCAGGGTTAAAATACCTACCACTGAAAAAATTTTCGAAAAAATTGAAGAGTTTTTGCTAAACTAGAGTTAAGCCAATATTTCTTTATAAAATTTTTCATTTGACATTTCTTTCCTTTATAAAAGTTTAAATTTCACATTAAATTTTGTTAGATTTTTGTTCTATGAAAACAAAAACTGAAGAATATTTTCTTATTTTTTCATAAAGGGGAAATCTGCAACAGACCATCATATGTTAAAACAAACTTTTGGAAAGTCTCTGGTGTAGTGTAATTTCTTATTAATATCTCACTTTATCCCATGGCTAGTTTAGATCGCTTATTTGTCTCTGTGTAGTAATTTCAAGTTATCGAATATCGATGACATTTTAATCGGGAAAACAACAGTTATTATTTATCATTTCAAATTGACATATGAATTCCATGACACAACTTAACCAATTACCAATTACAACAAATGGACAATATTGATAATAGTTTAATAAAATAAACAAAATGGACTTGCTGGTGTTATTTCTTTCATTGCTAATACAAATATCCTTAGCTGAAGATGGGTTAGAATCGATTCCTACAGTGGCAAGAGCTCCAGACAAATTTAAAGGTTAGTCTGACATGTTTAGTGTGTGTGAATAGGCATCGATATTGTTTCTGTTTCAGTCCATTTCATGGAAGCTAATTCCACGTACGTTTTTAAGCCCTTGAAACGTGGTTTCTTTGAAAAACACTTGAACACCTACTGCTATTCCGGCGAACCAAAAACATTAGGCCGTCTGTTGGAGTCGATTGAGCTGGTCTTAGAAATCGATGGAGATGATTATACTCAATATGAGGGCACCACACCTCAAGAAGTCGAGGAACACTACAACGATCACCGTTCCCTTTTCAGTTTCAATTTATTCTCTCAAAAACGTTCGCGTTTATCGCTGTCACCATTTACGCAACAATGTATTGGTATCGAGAGCGTTCAGCCGTACAAGGTGCATTTGTTGCAAGAAAAAGTTGATTATGTACGTCTCATGCTGCTGCTTGGTGGCATAACGATATTTCTGTTTTCCGGCGTACTAAGTACAAATTCAATATTTTATTATATAACTGGAATTATTATTGGTATTTGTTCTTCCTTTCTGCTGTTAATATGGCTCTCGGGGAAATTGATGCCAAGGTCTGCTTTGATTTCAAAAATATTTAAATATCCCTTAATGTGATTTACGGTTTTATCTTATTCCTCGCGTAGACGTGCCATGATGTATGGAGTTTTAATTGGCGGCTGGACCGTTGGTATTTATGTCATTCGCATGCTTTGGGATAATATACAAATGATCATGATGACATATCATAATTATGTATGCTGGTACATCGGAATAACCGGTCTCATATCGTTCTTTTTGTGCTATCGCTGGGGTCCACCCAAGAATCGCCGTTCAAAAAACATTATCAAATGGTTGCTACAACTAATGTCCTTGGCCTTGATTTACATCTCGAGTAGTTTTAAGGAAGCCATTGTTGCTGTTATACTCATGACGATTATATTATATTATTTTCCCCGCGTCCTGCGTAACATAATGTCTTTTAGAGGTAAAAAATCATCATCGCTGGATAAGAAGGAATCACGATATGGCAGTGGCAGCAATTTGAAGACTAAAGACTTAAGAGAGGATTGTAAAGAATGGCACATAAACAGCCCACGAACAAAGGAATGGAAGGTAAGATATGCAGAAAATGAATAAAGTTCATACTACCGAAGGTCCTGTGAAGGAATTTGTGGCATATTTACGAGCCAGGATATTAGTAATATTTTAAAGATGACGCTGTAACTACAATTCCAAACAGCTACCGAATATGGTTATTTAGATGATATCTCGAAATCTTAGATTTTTTAATGGCGCATAAGCAGCCCACAAACTAAAGAATGGAAGGTAAGATATTCAGAAATTGAATAATTGTCATATTAGCGAAGGTCCTGTGAAGGAATTTGTGACATATTTACGGGTCAGGGTATTAGCAATATTTTAAAGATGACTACATTTCCTAACAACCGTCGAATATAGTTATTTAGATAATATCTCGAAATCTCAAAGATTTATTTTAAATGTTTTAACATTTTTTGTATATTCTCTAGATAAAATCGAAATCAAAACTTTCCATGAATAGCCCTCAAAATGTAATGGGCTCAAGAGCATCTTTCCACTTGGCTGATGATTCACATGTTTTGGATAACTCAAATTCAAATGTTGATGAAAATCAATCGGAATCCGATATTAGTTTAAATGAAAACAGCATGTCCAAACAAAAACTGTATCCATTGCCCGATGGCTCATTCATACTAAGTGATAAACGTCCAATTATCATAACACCTCGTCAAGTTACACCGACTTATCATCGTTCGTCGCCGATGGTTGCATCGGATGTCGGAGAACACGAGGAAGATAGTGAATTAACACCTAAACTACATCCGCATATGCCATTGCCTGCACACACACGTCGCCTAACTGCTGCCCTATCGTGTCAGGAACTATTCGCAAAAAATCGCCGAAATACTCCATCGCCATCACAATTCCAACGTTCTAGTAGTGCTCAACGTAGCATTCAATCTCGTTCATCTCGTATGGTTTCTTCGGAAAAAAAGGCCTACGGCAGTAATCCTAAAATTAAAGTTTCCAAAGCCGAGTCCGATGATAGCGAAGACTGAGATTGTAGAGGATTTTAGAAATAATAATATTTTTTTGCTTTTGGATTTTTAATATAAAAAATAAAGAAAATATATGTTTTAATAAATATGTTACGATACTATGTTTATTACGAAATTAGTAAATGAACTTCGTGAAATTCAAAGGCTATATCAGTTGAATACAAAAATATACATAAGCTTCGACAAACATTATAGAAGAAATGATCCGAACTCTATCCGAGGTACCCGAAGGGGTAGACCGATATATCCGATCTTCACACCAGATCTTGGGTTAAACAAATATTTTGAAATGTTTAATTTGAAGAGAACGGGATGCTTATTTCGGATGTTGTAATCGTTCCTGTACCAGAAGGAATGGTTCGATCTCTACCATATTCTTAACAGATCCTATATTTTTGGAAATATTGAGATGTGCAAAGTCAGAATGGAATCGTATTTTATGAGCTTCATCAATATTCAAATTTTTGAAGGAGTGGACAAATATATTCCATCTTCACACCAGACTTACATCACATTTTATAAGAGGAATAATTATTCAAAGGTCAACTCTTTGCGGGGGACGTACCGGATGGAGTGGACCGATATGGTCCATTTTCGCACATGACCTAGCACTGATGCAAATAATAGGATTTGCAGAGTTAAAGCAGTGCCGGATTATCCTTTCTCTTTTTCTGTGCAGTAAATTATTTTCTTTGAAAATGTTGAAATTTTGTGGGGAAGATACCAGAACAAGTAGACCGATCTCCGAACTCGGTCTAGGTTAGGTTAGGTTAAAGGATGCGCGGTTGTATAAACAACCACTCCACTCGGTGACCTATTGGTCCACTGTGTTCATCCTAATTGAAAGAAGCGGAGAATAGAATAAAGAAAAGAGAAGGAAACGAATAGCGGATAGTGAATAAGCGAGAATCTGAAAAAAGAGTAAAGCAAAACTCGATCTAAGTTTGACAATAATATTACGATGTTCCAAGTTTGGATCAAATCGGATGCTCCCTTCGAGAGTTACCCTGGTGCGCAGCCAGGCAGACAGACGGACGGACATCGCTAGATCGACTGCAAATGTCCTGAAACAGATTTGGTCCAAAGAGACCTAGGTTCTAAAACCATTATTTCGATGAGGCCGTATCAAATGATATATACCCTCTCTAGCCATATGGCTGAGGGTATAAAAATCAAAGCCGCCGATCAAGATTTGTTGTGTTCCAGGCCTTTGCAACGTCTCATCTAGATCCAAGTCGATCGATTTGTATATCGACAACTCGATGAAGTCTCCTGGCTAGATATGACGAGAAGATATCAGGGTCGCTCATCTCCATGGCTATAGCAAAAGGGTCATGTCAAGATGAGGAGGAAACTGAAACGGTCGAACATTTATTCTGCCACTGTCCAAGTCTGTTCGGTGTGAGACATAGGCTTATGGATTACAAAATAACTTTTCATTTTAATATATAAGGCTAACAGTTTTGGTTTAAAGTATCAAAAACTATCGGTCCAGCTCAAAATGAAACCGTTGTCTCTTTTCATTTTATCTAGATCTAAGAAGGATTACGATTTGCATATTAGGTGCAGTGATCCTGAGGAGGGTATATTAAGTTCGTCATTCCGTTTGTAACACATATTCTCGATGAGCGTAAAATTCTAAGGCGATTTCCACGATATCGTATAGCACCCATATAACGGTACCCCCTCCCCCCAATATTCGGTATTTTCATGGTTTTAACATTTTTCAATGGAATTGTCTGAAATTCTATACAAGGAGTTCTTCGTCACTACATTTTTCGATGGAATAGTCTGAAATCCAAATTAGGAGTTCTCTCTCTCTCTCTCTCTCTCTCTCTCTCAACGGTATAATATTCGATATTATGATGATATTAGCGACATTATTCAAAGGAATTGTTTCGAATTTCGTATTTGAAGTTCGGAATTGACAAAAAATATGACAAAAAATTACTTATCCAGCACCACATCTTCGCATATCCCCCATATAAAGCTTTTCAATTGAGCAGTATTTTTCGACGTATTTTTTTTAGTTTTTCAAGTTCAATCCAAATGGTGGAGGTTGTAAAAAAACGGTCGAACTTAGCTGCTGGTTTATTTGTTTTATTTTTCTCAGGCGTGAGACCATTTTCATTTATATTTCTGCTAACATTCAAATTTTATATCGAATCCGTCAAAGATTTGTCGTTGTTATTTGCTTATGACAAATTTGCTATTATCTCTTCTTTTGTCTTCTCTTAACATTTTGACTAGACTTGAGGCTAAAGCTGTCCACAGTGACTAGACTTGAACCAATGCCAATTTTTCGTTTCAACAACTAGCTATAGGTGTCCAATTGAAGCATCTGCTAAATATATGGTGTCTTTCATGGTCAAGTTTAAAATCAAAACAAGTGGAAATTTTTACTTAAAAATAAATACAACTTTATTTAAATATTTCTCATTTGACTGTCGACAGCAATGAAAATGTAACATTATTTAAAATAACTATAATATTTATTATTGTATATATTTACGAGTGTCTAAGTATAGTCTAAAATATATATATGTATGTATATTTCATTATTAAAAATACATATGAAAACAATGTTATTTTAACTGTATTCATTAACATAGTGGACTTTATGTTGTTGTCGTCAACAACAAACATACAAAAAAAACAGTTTCGTGCCTTATTTAAAATAATAACAGCATACATATTAAGGCATCTATGTAATTATATCAAGATGGTCACAATAGTGCTACTACCAAGACGCAGAAAACAAATGCCAATTAGATTGGAGTCATCTTCCACGGATTACATCAATTTTCTTTTATAATTCTGGGCAGCTTTAGTTATAATTTATTAATATACCCTAAGACTGATTATTTAAGGAAAATATTCCAAAGAAATCCCCCTACTCTTTTCTTAAAAACATTTCTTAATAACAATAACAAAAATATTGACTTTATTCATGTTGAAACAATAAAAAAACAATAAAATTGGAAATCAATTGATTTCACAGCCTTAACTTGTTCAAGACTTTTGATTGTTTGCCGATTGCTTTGTTTTTCGATTATTCGGTTAGGCTATTTTATCTGTTTATTTTCATTACTAACTGTATTGCACATTTTGGTGGATTCATTTTGAAATGACCATAGGGTTAAACAAATGATTAAAGCATGAGTTAATAACATTAATTGTAAATTAAAGTTTAATATCCATCACTTGAGCGAAAAAGAGAGATCTTTAAACACACTTGACTATTGTATGGGGAAAATATGATTTGCTTTACATTCTTGAGAATTCATTGCCAAATTTGAGCTATACCATTTGTTTTTTGTGAAAATAGAATTTATGTTTCCACAATAAAGCCATTACAATTAAAATAGATATTTAGAATCCATACTGGCGCCAATATTGTTTTTAATATCGTCATAAATTGACTGATTTTTTTTTTAAATTACATTTTAAAAATATATATTTGTGATGGAAGTTATAAGTGTAGTAGTAGTAGATTAGGGGTGGGAAAGAGGAGATTGTTTAACTTATATACTAACATGATGTCTCTAGATAAATATCATTTGATTTTCTAAATGTGTTTCTTTTTCCTTATCAGTATTTCATTGTTTTAAGAACTACTCTTTTTTTATTCAGTGCGATTGGCAGCGACTTCGGCCAGTATGAGTAAATCTGAGGTAGATGATGTATTGTCATTTAAGGTATTGTTGGTCAACAACTCTTTGCTCGTATTTTTGGACATTTGCAGCTCACCACCGGTTGTTGGGTGAGCTGTTGCTGTTGGAATGATTGGTGATGTTGATTCGGGATTAGAGTTCATGTCTTTTGTATTATTCTTGTATGATGATGATGATGACAATGGCAAAGAAGCTTCCTGATAATAACAACAACCATTTATGGTTAGAGGCATCAGGGAGGCAACTTCCTCCTCAATGGCCGAAACATCTCTTCGGGTAATGCTTTCTTTGCGTGCTTTACGTTTTTGACTACCAACTGCCTGCTGCTGTTGTTGTCTTCTTTGTTGAATTATTCGGGGATCCAGGATATTATAGCCATATGATGTCGAAATTGGATTTTGGGAACCCTTGCCCATAGCATTCGCTTTATTACCTTGAACACTACCAGTTGTGCTGCTGTTGCCGCGGTTGCTGCGTTTTTTGCCATTGGTGGTAAACTTCTTTTTCTTTTTAGTATTACGTTTACGTTGCAGATATTCGTCTAAACTTAAGGCTGGAAGTTCTTTGATTTTCTCCTCCAAATCGAAGCTGGCCATATCATGTGGACTAGTGTTATTCGCCGTTTCGGAGTTTGAATCAAAAACATCTTGCTTCTCCAATTGTGTACTGGCATTAGTGTTGTTGTTAATGTTTACCATCATCTGGTTGGTGGTTTCATTTGAATGTCTATGGCCTATGTAATCCGAAAAACAATTTGAACTTTGTTGGGTTGTCGATTCAGTTGTCACCCGTTGCATTGATTTGGATTTTTTAATAGCTGGTGCTGCTATTTGACCAGAATTTATTAATTCTTGGTATATTTTACCCTTACATGATCTGGAGCTTTTTTTCTTTGGTATTAGAGCATCTTCTTCGCTGCTGTTACTAGAAAAACTGTTCTCATTGTAGATGGGACGTTTCAGGGACTGATGTTTCCGTTGCATTTCAATTTCCGGCTCCTCTACGTTGCCGGTGATGTAAGACCTTATGAACTGTGATGTTTCACCGAGGGCCTGTTGGAGTGCACATTGTTGAGTTCCCGATTTATTTTGCATCAATTGACTTAAATCGCCCATTTGTGCCTCATCAGCTAATTTGAAAAAATTCCTATGATTGGTCATATTATTAACCACGGGCACAGGGGTGGTGGTGGTGGTGGTATTGTTGACAACTGTCATATGTTGATGGTTGATGGCATCGTCTTGTTCCAACATATCTCCAATACCATCGCCAACAGCATTTGGGCGTGTATTCAGAGTACGTAGGGGAGGTGCTGGCAGTTTGTACCATTTAAAATTGGGATTGGCCGAGAAGAAGGCATCCTTATTCTGAAACAAATAGATGTGGTGTTAATTATATATTGCAATTCTTATCTATTGATTCAAGTTTTACCTGTTGAGCCAAATTCGTAAAACATTTTTTATCGCTGACATCCAATGATGCCCACCAATCACCCAAGATTTTTGTTATTGCCCTGTTGAGAGATGGAAAAAATACAGTAATAAGGTTGAATTGGTTTCTAATTGGTTTTTCGATTTGTATGGAAACACGTGAATAATGACATACGAAAAGTCCAAAATGAAACCAAAGTAGTTTTTCTACATTTTTGGGACAATGTTCAAATTATGCACATCATAAATGCTCAGCCCGACTTCCCAATAGAATAACTATTTCTGTGCCAAAAACGTTCAAGCACTTATTATACCCTACACCACAAGGTGGTCAGGGTATTATGTATTTGTGCATTTGTTTGTTATAGGCAAAAGGAAACGAGATAGACCCATAGTTCCTTTTAATGATCTGCATAGAATCCCATTCTGAGTCGATTTATGCGTTTCCGTCCGACTGTCTATGTATTTTTGTAAACATGGCAAAGGTCGTATTTATTGCGCGATCCAAATAAAATTTTGCACAAATCATTTGTTTGGCCCAAGGACGAACTCTATTGAAATTGGAGATAACGGTAAAAATTTAGATATAGCTCCCATATATACCTTCGTCCGATTTGCTTTTATTGTGCACCAAACGTGTAATATCAGCCCAGATAGTATGGAATTTTACACATACGATCAAATTGGGCCTGAAAATATATATGACAAATTTGATCGAAATCGGTTCCGATATAGTTATAGCTCCCACATATATTGTTCATCCGATTTGTTATTTTTACCCTCCGCAGCCCTAACATGCATTCTGTAACAACGATATTTGGGTAAATATATCAAATACAGCTTGGAAACACCTTCGCTAAATTTTATCGAAATCGGAACAGATTTGGATAAAGCTCCCATATATGTATCTTCGTCCGATTGGCCTTTTATTGTGCATCAAACGTGTAATATTAGCCGAAATGGGATGGAATTCGGCACTGACGACCATATTGGGTCTAGAAACAATTATGTCAAATTTTGTAAAAATCGATTGAGATATAGCTATAGCTTTCATATTATTTTTGATCCGATTTGTTGAATTTGTTCTGCACAGCGTATCTTTATATATGCCAATTTCAAGTTAGTTGTGCACCAAATGGGTAATACAAGCCCGAATTGAAAAGGCACAAATGCCTCGGCAAATTTAGTAGAAATCGATTCTGAGTAGGATATTCCTCTCAAATATTAGTTCCTTCAGACTTTAAATTATAACTATAATCATAGTAGGTATGATTTAATTCTCACAAATTCCCCATAAAAATGTTTATTTGTTATGTGAAGCTCTACTAAATATGCCAAGTGGTGTAGGATATCATAATGTCGGCCCGCCTGACTTTAAGACTTTTGTTACTGGGTTTTTAACTATTTTTCTGATGTGGAAAGCGTTATTGCGGTACAGTACCCGTAAATACTAGATCGTCGAAACGCCGGTATTTGATAGCAAACGACATATGTTCCACTCGGTCTTAAAAATATATATTGGTTCTGACCCATTCTTAGTGTTCGGATGTGAGGACAAATGAAATATTTGTCTTAAAAACCTTTAACTATAAACCATAATGAATTGAAAATACTTGGCCAGAAATGATCTTCCTCGTGCAAAAGCACCCTCAACCAATTCATTTGTATAACTGAATCATTTAAAAACTTACCTATTTTCCAAATTCTTATAACGATCCTTGACAATGGCACGATGACGTTTGCAGAATATTAAAAAGGCATTCATTGGACGACGAGCATGATGGTCGGGCTTACTTATGACAGCATCATCACTAGATATTCCACAATTTGCTGGTGTAGCTGTGATTGGGCGATTTTGGACATCTGCAGCATGATCTACTGTTTCCACGTCTACATCAACGTGTATGTCAACATCTTCGTCACTTTTTTGGTCCTTTGTTGCAGTTTGAAGTTTTTGTGGTGGTGCGCTAAAACTATTACACCTTTTATTGTTGCTGTTACCGGACTTTGGTTTTTCCACCATTCTAAATGCACCAGCATCCATTGATGTTTGCTTGGTTAATTTGGGGAGTTTTCTACGTTTGAATATATCTTCATAAACACCATCCAAATCAATCATCTCATCTTCTTCGGCATCATAGTCAGCATCATTATTGTCATCATCCACTTCATAGTCTTCTTCGTCGTCCTCGTCATCATCGTCTTCCTCGTCGTCCAAGTAGCTGCTGTTACGGCTACCGTTTGGCGATTGACTTTCTGACGACTCATCTTCGTACGACTTCAATTTTGCATAATTATGAACGATTTCAATGCGTCGATGAGCATGTTCTTGATCTTCAGTACGGCGTGGCAATAAAACCATCATTGTTTTTTGTTGTGGTTGATGCTGCGGTTGTTTATTTATAAAGCCATTTTGTTGGAGATTTTGTTTGAAAAACAAATCATTGTTATTTGTCTCTGGTGTTGGTGATGACTTATTATTATTGTTGTTGTTTCTATAGATTTTCTGTTTATTTAAGTCTAGATTAAAGGCACTTTTTGTTTCCAAGTCAGCATCAGTTTCCCTCTCGTTTTGTATCTCTCCTTCCTCTTGTTCTTGTTGCTGGGGGCACACACCATCAGCATCATCCATAATTTTATATTTGGAGGTGTTTATTAAATCGAAAATATTAATCCCACAATCATTATTTTGTAATTTTTTGTGATTCTGCAAAAGTTGCACCTTAACGCGTTCCTGATTTGGTTCCTCGTGAGCCACCTGGTGGTCAGCACCGCCAACAATGTTGTAAAAGTTCCTAGTTGCAGTGTGTCCAAACAATTGATGATGATGTGTTCTTGCGGTTGAGTTGGTGCTACCAACCTTATCCATACCCAACAAATTTGGTTTAAGAAATTCCAAAGTATTTACGCTGTTGATCATGCTTGTTTCTATAAAATCATTTAAGAACTTTCCAAGATGAATATATATTGATGACGATATTGGTCAATTTTTGCTGACAGTGAGTTTTTCAGAGAATCCTCATCGAAAATAAAATGTGGGATTGTTTTAGAAGAGCTTTATTGAATGTCGGACAAACTCTGTAAAATAAATGGGAAAATAAAAATATATATATTTAAATATGTTTGAAATAGATAATTTTGAAATAGTTGGAAATGTTTTTTCACAAAATTCAATACATCTGGTAATTAGCAATAACGACACTTTGACTAACATAAATTATAATAAACTAGCTGGCCCGGTCCGCGTTGCCGGCCCGTACTTTTAGTCTTTAAAACATAATAAATCACAGATCTGACTTATGTAGGCGGCACAAATTTGATTATAAGTAATGACGCCATTATAATTACTCCAATTTTGATTATAAGTAATGACTTGATTATGAGTAATGACTCCATGACTAAATATAAATTAATATTCATGGCAAAAATTATAATTACTGTCGGTTTTAGATATTTTGAATAGCCTGATCTTATTTTCCAGCTATAGGCTTTGAGTGTTAAATACCTGTATGATAAAGAACATCTATAATAGCCCCATGTGAAAATTCAGCTCAATTTTTGATATTGTAAAAAGCATTCAAATGAGCTATAATTTGAAATTTGTATTTCCAACGTTTAAAATCCCGTACTGCGTGGTATTCAGTTTTGTCCACCTCATACTTGAATGCAAAATGTAATCAGAATAGCCAAAAAATTACTCTTTTGCTCCGATTACCGTAAGATGGGCATTAATTGTTTGTCATTTAAATTGTGCGGTGGAGATCCAATAAAGTTACTTTATAATTTCGTACTTTTTTCATGTTTCTGCCACAATTTCGGACTGAATGAGTCCCAGATTGACATTTCGGAGTTTATTTCATATAGACGTACATCCCAAATCTACGTTCCCAACCAATATTCCCTTGGGGGTTACAAATTCAATAAAATACCAAATTTTCTTTTCTGACCACACATTGGTTGGGAAAGTGGACTTGGGAGTATACTAATGTGGGAACTATACTTAAATAAATTCCTATGAGGATAATTATCTTTAGGATGATTTTCTACCCCAGGGCTTTTTACCCCAGGTAGCCTCAAGGCTAAGATGAGCACTTTTCCGAAAAATAAAAATTTATAAGAAGATGTTCTCTTCCCCCTTAGAAACAAAGATGTCAAATAAGGGCCAAAAAATGAAAAAAATGGCCAAGACCCCGAAAATACCTTAAATCATATGATGGTGATACCAAAACGTGATAATTTTTTGCAAATATGGTTTCTTCTTAAATTATCAACATAAGTTAAAGTTAGTACGAAACATATGGTTAAAATGTAGAATATACTTGAAATCGGGTTGTTCCGTTATCAGGGGTTATGATCCATATCATGACCTGCCAAAGCGATTAAAGGTATCTTGAATGTTTAGTTAGAATTTCTATTTCGCGTTCTTTATAGTCGGTATTTGACTGATTGCAGTCCCAATGTATTTTGCATTTTGTGTTCTCATTTGACAATTTATTGTCATATGAAAGAAGCAGGTCCACTTTTTGAAATTAACCCCATAACGCTTCTTCGGTCATTTTTTGTTTGTTTAAATGTGTTCGCATCTTCCAGCTGAAGCACTATGTAGGTCCTGGAGTAGAAAGCATTTAACATCGTATTGCGCCCTCATTTCATTTTTAATATTATTCATTCAGAATTCAAACCAATAAAAAAATGTACACTTCAATATAGAAAAAAAAGAAAAAGAATCTTCAACTGGTTCTCTGATTTTTTTGCGGCAATTTTTTAAAGGTCCTTACGAAGTTTGTCGGTAGAATGTACTATTATTTTGAAATTAGATTCCATTGAAAAATTGTCGATTTTTCCCGATTTTAGAATTTTCATATAAAGCGACAACGGATAAAATTGTCATTTATAGATTTTATGTATTTATTGAGTCTTACGAATAAATACATAAAATCTATAAATAACAGTTTTATCCGTTGTGGCTTTATACTACCCAAAAAAACACTACAAATGTACATTCGAAAATATTAAGTCAAAATGGAAAAAAATATGCAATATAAAACATTACTATTGTACATTTTAAAAGTCAAAATGAAAATGTTCAAATTTCACATTTTTACGCGATTTTTTTGGATTTTATTCTTTTCTACCAAGAGGCAATTCCGAATTTGTCTAAATCGTTAAAATCAGGCCGGCGGTCTTTATGTTATAAGAGTAGTAACTAACACAACTTTCTTTTACATATAGAGATATAGATTTAAAAGTAGGCGCGTTCCTCAGCCCCTAAATATGTACTTAGGGTTGGATGGAAAGCCAACAGCATCTCGTTTAATAATTCTCAAACCGATATCTTCACTATTTTAGCAAATATAAAGATTTTAGATAAATCGTATTAGTGGGCGTAAAAGGAGGCGTGGTCAATATTTTTTTCTTTGAAAACCTAACTCGGGGTATGACGAACGTTTGTACAAATAATTATGCAAATCGGTCCATCCGTTTTCAACTGATTCCGTTACCAACAAACAACAATTGATTTTTATATATATAGATTGTAATTTCATATTTGTAGTTGCTAGATAAAACAAAAACAGTTAGAGGGTGAGATTAAAAAACTGCAACCAATTACAGACTTCTGTCATTTCTAAGCCTATTTATATTGTTTATTTATTCGTGATGGAATTCAAGATAGTGTGATTTCTTTATATTTGGCTGGAAAACCAAAAATAGCTATCGTTAGAACACTCTAGTATTTAAATGTGAATAAATCTTTTGTGTTTCGTACCATCGTTCGTTACCGTGATACTGCTGAAATGGGTTTTCTCCGATGATAAAACATTCGTTGTCCAGCACTTTGTAAACAAACAAACTGATCGTGTTTACTTGCCAAAGAGGTCAGCTGAAAATGTGCACCTTTGGAACTTCCAGAACTCAAGCGCCGGCCATGGTGATGATGTGGGCCGCCATAACAGCCGATGGTCGCTTTCCTCTCGTATTAATCGACCGTGGCATCGGCACGCGCCCCCATGATTGGTTACAAAATGAGGTTCCTCGCTTCATTTCCAGCGCACAATGGCCACCAAAATCTCCGGATACCAATTCGTTGGACTGTTGTGTCTGGAGTATTTTGGAAAGCAAGGTTGGCACTAAAAACTACCAAAGTGTCGATCACCTCAAGCAAGCGTTTCGCCGGAAATGGGCCAAAATACCGTAAAGCAACATTAGGGCAGCGTGTGACGGTTTCATTGGTCGTTTGAAGGCCATAATTCGTGCCAAAGGTGACAAATTCGAACAAATCTGAACTTATTCTAAAATTTGATGCTGTTTCCGACATCCAACAATATTAAAAAAAAAAAAATGTAAAAATTATGGCGTTTGACTTTGTTGTAGTTTTTTTTATCTCACCCTGTATATTTTTCAAATTTTACTTTGGAAAATCAATTTTTTGTTACTCTTATCCAGGGATGTAGTTTTGGATTAAAATAATCTGATCACATGTTGGCTATTAATTCGAAAATAGGTAGGTACTATTGTATCCATGGTAAAAGAATATAGGTAGATGCATCAACACTTCGAAACATTGATGTGTCAACATTTTAAAAATCTTTTTTTCCAAAAAGAAGTAGATTTCTATATCTTTTCATATACGACGCCAATCGGAGGTTCTGATGATATGCATTTTCCAACAATTTTAACGAATTTGAATAATATTTCATTTAACATTTTCAATTTCAAAATTGGTTTGACAGTTCACTGTCCCAGCAGCTGCATCGAAGCGACTACCTGTATTCTTCTACCATGATTGTATCTTATGATTTTGTCAAATCTCTGCAATGATTGACACTTGTTATCCATCGTTGTACATCACACCAAACATATGTATGTTAGAATCGGTCCAATTATTGAGGAGAATTGTTTTCTATTCTATAAATATCACATTCACATTGAACTTTTTAAACTACTCTGTCTTGATTCTCATGGCGTGAATCATGATAGATCATTTTTTACAATGTAAACGTAGTTCAAAAACTTTGCATTATCGTACGACGTCGCTGTGCATGCATATACGCAAGTTGTATACATATCGTATTGTTATAATCGTGTTATTCCCCACATTTTTAAACCAATAGGAAAAGAACTTATAACAAGTAATAAATGTTGAGTTTCTATTTAAACCGATTGTGAAATTGAAAATGTTGAATGAAAAATTATTTTTTGCACCGTGTAAGAAAACATAAAAACCTACTTATTTTCCTACCTGTATTCCTCTACCACGGAATAAAACAAAACATGTAATAATATATTATCAAGAAACAGCATGTACATAAATATTCAATATTCCAATTTTTACTTTAATATATAAGTTAAAATAAGTTATTGGCATAATCAATTGTTTTTTATTTGACCCCAGGGCAATGTGACGTTTTAGAAACTCCGTTATGTTTACTTAATTTGTTTTTTATTAGAAAATATGGCAACACTTCACACCTGCTGATCGATAAATTGCATGCAAAAGCTTATTGACATCGAACCAACGCACATATATTCCGAGAGAGAAAGAGAAAAGAGCAGCACTACAAATGGCAAAAAAATTGTTTACAAAACAAAAATTTGTTTTCTTTCTGGCCACCAAACGAAAACAATGCTCTCTTTGCACTCACCCATACCAATGCACACACGCACACTTATTATGGGAATCTGTGTATGCCCCCAAAGAGAAATTCAATCAAATTTGCAGATAAAGTGAGAACGAACAGAAATAAAAGAAACTACGATTAAAAAATACATAAAAATTAAAATGCATAAAAAATTGACGAAGCAATCAAAAAACGAAAAATGGATCACTCTCTCTTTCATAAATGGTATTTTTCATTGAATTAAAATTTAAGTTATACATTTTTTAGTTCAATGAAAATGATTCTATTTATTCCATTTGTTGGTGAAATTGTTGTTATTTCATTGTAAATTTTTCAAAAGCATAACGAAATTAAAACGATTTTTCACTTGCTGATCATGAAGAAATTTTTTTTCGAAGACACATATTTGCACACACACACACTTGATTTTATTATTTCCCTTACTATTAAACTTACTTT